ATCATTAACACAACAGCTTGACATTCAAGCATCACTTACTGGGAACAAAGGTTACGTTGGACGAAAGAGAAATGCCGTGTAAAAAAAAAAAACTATTGGATGTGTGCATAATGCATGCGGATGAGCGTGGTTTTTCCGTGCGACTGAGCCGAGAAAGCTCTCACCGATTACCTCCTTTGTGCGTGAGCGGCGCATACTTAATCTGCGGCTGTGACTCTCACGGAAACATGAAGTTTGATACCTTTCATCAGACTCTTCACACAGATGTGAGAAGCTGCATGGTTTGATCCAGCCCGGGATTAGTGATGGCCACTGTCTCCTAATGGATCGGTAACTGCACCGAGTTGACAAGCAGCGAAGGGATAAACCTGTCAAATCTGCCTACTGACTGTGAAGTCAGCGCGGCTAATTAGCACTTCTGTCCTGCACAGCCTGATTGATTTGCTCAGCACAGCCTCATTTATTTAATCACTAAAAAAAAACCTCATTTATTTGCATTAACATTTTTCTTTTTTTACACACCATTGCCACTTGCCATCTTAAAAACAATAAAAAAGCTGTTAACTTCACTATAACCAATCAAATGTGCAGAAGATGACAAGCAATACTCCCCTAAACACCTTTTTCACAGATCGATTGTGCCGTTGTAAAAAAATAAAAGGCCGGGCGCAAAGTGTGTAAATAAACCCTCTGCTGGTTGCTCCAGTGAGGTCAATAAAACGACAAGCCGAAATGCATTTGGAGATCCTCAATGAGAATCTCATTCTTCATTCTACCCCTGCAATTTGCGAGGATACCCCAACCAATCAATACAAGGACCATTAGGCTTAACAAAACTTGGTCGTCTATAAACAGCCCACGGGCTCTGTAAAGCAACAACACGCGCACGAGGACAGCATGCCCACCTGTCAGGGCTTAGAGGTGCGTAAGAAATGCTCTGTTCAAAGACGGATGTTGTTTTATTCTGACACTCATTTATCATTCTCACTTTAATGTGCACATGGTGACGCAGGTAACCCACCAACTTAATGCAATAATACCCATAATGTTTGTTTGTGCCTGCGCTGTGTTTATCCCCTCACTGTTTTCTATAATTTGACATTTAGTAATCGGGGAGATACATGACCACCCCCCCCATAATGATACGTTATATTACAGCCGTTGTTGTTGTGCTTTTTAACGTTGTCAGCCATGTGACTCTCCGGCAACATGAACTGGGTGGCTGCAACGGTGAGTCGAAAGAATGAGGACAAAGCCTGAAGGACAAACTGCAGCTGCACGTGCAGCATGTCCCGACACCGTAGACCAAGAACGAGAGCAGCATATTGTTACTCAATCACTACTTATTTAAGTATATTTCTAATTTTGAGTAACTCTCTGACAATGGTGGACAATTCATCACCTCAATGTAATGAAGCGTAAGGCCATTCTTCCCACTGCCTGATTAATATAACAATGCGTACCATTTGATTTAAGAACATTGCTGTTTGATTGCTACTTGAAACCTGAAACGTATCAAAAGGATGTGAGCAAAATGCAGTTTCCGGATGAACTACCAGGAAAGGGTAGAAATGAAGCAAAGCACATGTAACTATATAACACATCACATTGGACCAGCTCGCTGTGTGCTCACTCTCGTACCTTTGTGAGCGGAAGCACACAGAGGAACCCTGCAACACACAATTTAGTTTCACCACTTAATTGCCTTACTTAGCCTCACTGCTTTTGTAATGGGTAATTGGTTGTCATGACAAACACTCTGTCTATTCACAGCTATGGGGTTCTATGCAAAAAGAAAAATTATTTGAAGACAAAAAGGTTATTTATCAAAGCTTTCTGCGACTCCAAAAGCTGCAGATAATCGGTCAGCGTGATTCAAAGAGAGACGCCTCGGGCAAAATGGACCCCGGCTCTGAGTACCTTTTGTTTTGTGTAAAGGCCTGAATAACATGATGTCTCATTGACAGAGAATTATGTCTTTGTTGCTATTTGAATGCTGAAAGGCAATGCTTCAAGGAAGTGAACAGGCAACGTAAGGCCACTTCTGTTTCATAATAAAAAAAAAATGGAAAAATGGAAATCTGTTTCTTCTGAGTCACAATCATGCATGACGGAAGCAATAGAGAATGTCTTTTGCCGACCGCCCGCCAACAGTTTTCATTGATTCATTGTTCATTTAACACGTTTAGTGGATATGTTTTCAAAGCTATAAACTATAGCTACAACTAAACTACAGCTATAAAATAACTATATACTGTAAAACATCTTGCTTAAGTGCGATATTAACAACAGTTGTTCACATGGAGACAGGTCGCAGGACACTTTGTGACGGTTGCCGTGCAGAATTCTTTTCATAGTACTTTGTTTAACATCTATATCTGCAATACACCTTATAACATGACTGAGCCTGAATGTCAGATTTTTTGGGAAAATTGTAGGCTACTTCTTGCATTGAATATTATATTATTATTACAGTGAAGAATGCCGTTCTTTAACTTTTTCTGACATATTTCCTCTTCCCCATCCCCAGTGAGCCAATCCTCTCTCGACCCTCTTCTTCTTCTTTTTTGCGAGGACCATGTTGTTCCTTTGATTTCAAAAATCCAGGTTCAAGTGTCTTCTCGAAAGCCACTTTTCTTCTGGAACAGAAGTAACCCTCAAGTACTAGATGACGTTGTGTTCTGAATTTTGAGGGTTGAAGACACAAGAAAGGAAATTCATGGTTCCTTTGTCTGATTCTCTGAAAGAGAAAATGAGCTTGTGCGTGAGTCGGCTATATATCAGGAACACGGAGAAAAGGCAACAACGGGGTAAGATGGTCAAGCAAAGAGAATTGAACACTTGTTGTCATCTTGTTAAAATTGTCATATCTCACGTCACGTTCAGGCTAAACATGACGCAGCACACATTGTTGACACAAAACTGGACTGACAAATACATTTTCAAATTTAGAGGATATTGATCTGAGTGAGAAGGACGCCGCTGATCCTGCGGCTGCAGCAGGGATTGATTCGTGCGGACTGATTGATTTAGCTCAAACAAGCAGCGAGCTGGCATTTTCTGACATACTTGAAGACAATCTGCCCCGACAAACCCAAGCCCTTCAAGCACCGCAAGCACTGCTGTTTACGTCAGTCACAACAAACACGTGCGTGCATGCTTTTTTCCTCTAGTCATGCATGACACAAAGTCTGTCATCCCAAAGAGTATGTTAAATAAATACCTTTCACTTTGGGACAAAGCCTTCAATTACTCCAGCACACTGCTCTGGAGTGTTTTGATTTTGCAAGGACGGAACTAGTATTTGGGATATTTATTTCGCTGCTTATATTTTCAATTGTCTCCTTTGCATTACATTATTAGAAATATAATGTATCCATGACACTTGTTGGAATCAAGGAGAAAGATGACTGTAGGACAACGTTTTTCTTTTTCTTTCGCAGTGAGTTTTTGGGATGTGACCTGAAGCCTTCTCAGCCTCACATGGCTCTGTGCTGCTGGGCTCCGAGCTGTGGGTTTGACACCGGATGTAAAAAAACAAAACGCTTCCACTGTGGCCTGAGTTTGGCAGGCAGCTGCTCCTTTGAGCTCAAATGCACACACACACACACACACACACACACACACACACACACGCACGCGTATGTACACACATACATTTCTTTCGTCACAATATCCCTGCTAGTCACCATGGTAACACCCGAAAAGTACAGCTGTCTGACATCGGATTGATGATTGACAGGAGTAACTTACTCTGATTTGTGTATATTGAGGATGTTCTGAGGAGGCGCCAGAAAAGATGCAGAGCTTTGGGACGGTTGGTCGGTAATAAACAATAATAAACAAACCATTTCCGTATCGTGTGATGATGCCAATTTAATTCCAATACTGCCGGTTATTGAGACGGATGCTTCTTTTTTTCTTAAACAAAATGCTTTAAATATTTCAGTCCTGTCTTCTATCTTCCTCTCTTACACCTTCACCACAGACGTGCCCCGGGTTGGTTTTCGTTGAGTGAAATTTTGTGGTAGATGTCCCCATTCGAGACAGGTTCATATTGATTTGGGCTCAGAAGGGGACGGGCGATTGATCGTAATGTGTGACAGACCTATTTCTTAAACTCATAAGGAGGCCTCTCTAAAAAGGTCTCAGGTCAGTCAGAAACAAACTAATGGAAAGGACCCCGCTAATCAATGCATGCTGTTTTGTGATTTAGGGCAAATTAAACGGCAACTCAGAAGAATTTCTCCGAAATGTAGAAGTCTGTATTGATTGAAATGAAACATCTTTGGATCTGATAGATGGAGAACTTTTGAAATGTTTCTTTCACCCCTGTTTCTGGGAGATTGCTATGACACATAAAGAGGAGATACTGATGAATCATAACCAATCAAAAGGAGATTCAAATCCTTCTTTGGAAAGATTATTAACTGGCGATATGTCAATCACTCTCTCCAAGCTGTGTCTGTGTAGGATACAGAAAGACAAACATAGATTTACAGGGTTCACGTGGATTTAATACTCAAACTTGAAAATCTAATTCACGGTAATGTAATTTAACTTTACCATGAAGTAACTTCATCGTAGCTAGAAGTTAAGCGTCGCGGTCATTTTAGCAGTTTCAAGCCTGTGCGAGCTTTTAAGAAGGTCTGCATGCGGTGCTGATATTTCAAAGAAACATCAATCATCTAACAGAACTTTGGGCAAAATGACGGGTGAGATGGCCTCTAATAATGCTTAACCTTCTCATAATTGTAAACACATCAAAGGGGGATGGACATACAATATATAGCTGCTGTCTGTTAAAAGCTATGTTGCTTAGTCGTGCAACCTAATGGGATCCTTTGTAACAATATTTGCAGAGCAATGGTGATTTTGAAACTTTAATTAACATAACCTAGTATTTTTGTGAGCCACCCAACAAAACCTCACTGTGTCAGATAATGAGTTACTATACAAGCAAAAGAAGAAGCATAACTTAAAAAAAACGGAACACTATGTAAGCCTTGTGACTTATAGATTTATTTTATTTACCTTTGCTTCATGCCGATGAAGGGGAAAATAGAGACAGAGCGATGATTGAGTCTGGGTGAAAAAACACACGGTTCAAAATGGTTTTGTACTGCGCATTAAGATACTCCCGTTGTTTTCAGATGGAGGAGTTGCATATTAATTGGCAGTAAAAACTAAATACTAAAAATAATCACCTGTTTAACGCAAGCTAGCATGAATACTCGGCTATGTGTGATGAAGCGTTTTCGTGGAATTATTCCTTCAAAGCACCACATGTCTTTTTAAAAAGAGAAGAGAAGCAGCTAACATCTCTCCCTGCTGCCAATTCAAGACTTGAATGTGATAATAACAAGAGAAAATATTCACAGCATATCAAAGTAAGTAACTAGATGGGACAGCAGATATGTAAAACACAACTGCCATTACCCTTTTATCTTCTCAATAATAATACACACGTTGTAGTGACATACATACAAGTACTTATAGTGTCTTATTAAGTGTAATGTTAGGCTATGGGTTTACGGAGGGCTGAGAGTGCTCAGGTTTTTTGTTCCATTTGGAGACAACACCACAGGACGTACTGATAGATGGTGTGACTACCTGGCGAGAGAAAACCCTCCTTCATAAAGCCCGGAGGAACAAAAAGCCACACTTGAGAAGAAAGAGGCTTCAGTCTGCCATGTCTTATTCACAGTAGAAGTCCATGTTCTGAAAAAACAGCAAAACAAAGTCTTTTAACATGAGAGAAATTTTCTTCCAGAAAATGAGAGTATTCACTTCTGATATCATACTCACAGTCGTGGGAATCTTAACTTCATCTTCTGTAAACGTCTGTGTCTCCTTTACCATAGTTGCAGGAAAGTATCCAATGACGCCCATCTGGTGCATATACTGCTCGCTGTAGACCTGCCAGTACAAATAACATTTTAACATGCACCACATTATTTAATACGCTTCACACATTTTAACCTTCTTAACTAACCATCTTGACATTGAATATTCAACTAAATGGCTTTCTTCAATTTTTTTTTTTACAGATTGTAAGCGACACTCCTGATGAAAGAAAAAACATTCACGTACACTCCCAGACCAGAAGACTCCGGCGCCCTCCTCTGGAATGAGTTTAGAATACACATAGACCGTCTGACCCATCTTAATGTTGATGAACCTGCAGTCAGGAGCTGTGAAGTCATCTAAGGCTGTGGCCATGGAGAGGACATCTTATAAAGGACAGAAAAACAAAAAGGAAACGGAAACATGAGTGAAAAAAGTATCAAGTAAATGCATTTTATTGCATTGTTTTAACATGTTTCAGCTTTCACATTGCATCATTATTCTCCTTTGACTTACGTGAGCATTCTGCATCTCCACAGATCTTGTTATCTGCTAGTTTATCCATACGGACGGCCCTCGCAGTCGTTTGCAGGAGTCCCATACAGAGCAGAAATCCAAGTGAATAATTCATGCCGATCAAAAGAGCAGAACTAAGAAAGTGTGGTGTGTGCATGCGGGTGCGGATTTGGGGCGTTTAATGGAACTTCAAGCTGTGAAAATTCCAAAACAGTTCTCTCGGTCAGGAGAAAATGGGCTGAGCTCTTACGTCAGAGGTTGCCTGACCAATCAGACTTGAGTTTCAGAAATTCCACACTGTAGAAGTATTCATTCCCCACAAGGGAGTTGGCTGACTTTTCTCAAATATCAGTCTCTTAGCAATCACGGTCCATGAAACGTTGAGTCTTAAATTCTGTAAAAAAGATGTTAAATGTTCTTTTAATGGGTCTTTGAATAAGCTCCACATTTTTAGAGTAAATTAAATGTCCTATGCAATAAGCATAAATGTTGAGGTGCTTATTACTTAATCATCTCTCGAAATTACATTCCGTTTTCATGTGATTGAAAGGGAATATAGATGACACAAAATAACTGAGATACAGATATTATGAATGCAAAATACAAAACAACAAGAAAATAGCAAGTAACCGCACCGGAACCACTGATTTTATACAATTAAGGACTCTCTCAGTGGTAGAGCGGGGTTGTTCTTCAGAGGATTGACTGTTCACTCCCTGGCTTTGCTCGCCCATGTGTCCATGGGAAAGACACTTAACAACAGATTGCTCCTGCAGGCTTTTCCTGCAGTGTATGGATGGTTAGTTATGGCCCTGATGGCCCGGTGGCCTCTTGCATGATGCCATCGGTGCATGAAATCAGTGTGAATGAATGCTGACGTGTAGTGTTAAAGCGCTTTGAGGAAGAACAGAATAGTGCTATACAATTACAGTCCATTTTACCATTTACAACGATATAGAAACACGACTTGAGCCTCAATAGCATAAGATAAGTAATAACAACTACAGGAGCGGAAGGAATCGAAAGTTGGTTGGCGACATACTTCAATTCTAGAAATTTGCTAAGCAAAGAAATGTTTTCAAATAGTCTTCCTCATAAGTAATTGAGTAATCGAGACATACTGCACACATAGCCATTTGGTGTGAAAAATCAAGATAGTCAAAATAACTTATTTTAAACGTTGGATTGCAACCATTGGTCCTCTCCCCTTTTGTTTTAAAATAAGAAAAAACGATAGCAAAAAAGTATTCATAGGCTCAATACTCCACTGTGATAATAGACACGTTGCAGCATTCTTGACCTTTACAAGCAAGTAACTTTGTAATGTTTTCCTTGTTTTCGTCTGATGCAAAGCTCTGCAAAGCGGTGCAACTGTAAGTGTGTGCTCGCTGTTTATACAGACCTGGCCAGGCGGGCGGAGTTTACTATTGTGCATATCAGAAAACAGGACCGCTCACTTGCACTCTCCAGCTGAGCAAATCAAGCACGCCCCCTGACATGTAGGACTGTGACGTAGAACACCGCACACTGATCGCTAGTTTCGGACGGTGCTGTTATTGTTCGGTTTGAATAGTTTGCCCCGGCGGTCGGTGCGTTTGTTTTTTTTATTTTTGGGGGGCTAGTAAGCAACCATTAGCTGGCTAATTCCACCTCAAACACCACCTCCCGCATGCCTGGACCGACGTTCATTTCAACGGAGCAGTGCTTTTCATGTAGTGGCACAAGTTAAGGTCCCATATAAGCCGATGGATGCGCGGGTGTCGGAGTTATTTGACTCAGGAAATGGATCTCACGGCGGTGCGTCCAACGTCAAGCAAGGAAACGACTACGCGGTGGCACACAAAAAAGCTTGTGTCAAGAACAAAAAGATATCCAAGGCTCGACTCTCACGCAACTTCAAACCAAACAATAACGCCCCGTATCTACCTCCGGAGGTAAGGCGGGAGTCACGCGCGCAACTACGCCGCTAACGTTGGCGCAGTTTAGCTAATGTCAATGCCATTCAAGAGCCACAACAATGTGTGTTTTGTTGTATGTAAACAATAATAACCGTGTATCTCCCATGGCGCCCCCCCCCTCTCTCCCCCCTCCCTCCCGACGCGTCGACACTATTGACACGTAGCGTTAGCATAGCTGGGGAGTAACTTGACGTCAAAGCGAAAGTAAACGCGGACATGGCAATTAAACCCACAATGTCCATCGTCCGCGATGGCTTTACATGCGTCACAATGCGTGTGTGGTTAAAAGTGACGTTACGTTAGCTTGACTCCGCAGGTTAGCATCCGGCTAGCTAGCGGAAGAGGAACAGCTGTGTTTGTAAATAACCGAGGGGGGCGGGTGTGTTACTCGATCGAACTATATCTAGCTAATGTTATTATTATCTTCCCCGACACCCACCCGGCCAAGGACTGAGCTAACAACTACTACCCGGAGTACTTCGGTCACCTCATAATCAGTTTAATCACTCCAGCTTTGACTCACTCGAAAGTTAATGGGACGTTCATTTTCTAAGAAACCCTCAACCTCACTTCGCATTATTATTAATGCTAACATTATTAATGATGCTAACACTATTAATAATGTTAGTTTCCGTTTTCAAGAGATGCGCAGTGTCCTCACAGCAACTGTGGTCATAAACAAAGGGACAAGTCTCAACATATTCCATGGCTCATCCCTCACTGATCTCAATAGTAAACATTTGAGTTACAGCTCAAAGGAATATTGACCAGTTCACCGTAAACGTATATTGACATTGACACGTGTTTGCGTATTGTGTAAAAACAAGTATTAGGCTCGCTGAGTACTTTGTTTAGCTCCCAGTGACTATATTCTATTCAGAGTCTGGCTCATTCAGTCGGATTGCTTTTCTTTGTGTCTTTTAGCAAGTCAATAGCCTGTTGTCTCACTTCTCTGCAGTCTGACCGCTGTTGTTCCCGTTCTGTCTCTGTCTCCCTCTCTTTGTGTCTCTCTTAGGCCGAAGAGGGAAACATAGAGTACAAGGTAAGCAAATAAGCGGGGACCCGACGGCCTCAAAATATATTTTAGTTTTGCTCTTTTGTTTTTAATACAACACCATAACAATAAGCAGATTGTGGTTAACCTTTTATGAGTAAAGGTCAATCATAATTCTAATGAGCTATCAGGTAAGTTTATTACCCAGCGTGGGTCATATGTTAAGTGGGGGGGGCACAACTGCGTTCTCACATCAGAGGAAACATACACCACACTGCAACTCGTCGGTGATCCTTTGTTGTTCTTGTTATTTACACGAAAAGTATTAACAACTGATTGACTTTCCACCATTCAGCGCTGATATAGCGTGTTCTTTCCTGTGTGCAGCTGAAGCTGGTGAACCCCACGCAGTACCGCTTGGAGCACCTGGCCACACAAATGAAATGGCGGCTGCAGGAGGGTCGAGGGGAAGCCGTCTACCAAATCGGCGTTGAGGATAACGGAATGCTGGCGGGGCTTTCAGAGGAGGATTTGAGGACATCACTGACGACGCTGCATAAGCTGGCAGAGAAGTACGTCAGGATATCAAGAATACTTTTTTTTTTTTTAGTGGAATAAATCTGGCTTTAAAAACAAAAACAAAGCCATGGTCCAATTCACATATGTCTACTATAAACAAAAAGTAGTAATTTTGTTTATTTATTTTAATTACTCATATGTTTGTGTTTCTTTTGTGTACAAGGGTTGGCGCCGACATCACTATTCTGCGAGAGCAAGAGGTGGACTATGACTCTGATGTGCCTCGAAAGATTGCTGAAGTACTCATTCGCAAAGTACCAGATGATCAGCAGGTTAGTGCAGCTAATTTGGGGGATTGTTGTTCGTTCACTGTTCATCTGTTCATATTTTACGATCATCCCTCCTTCATTCTCCTCTGTGTCTTCCCTGCAGTTCTTGGACTTGCGAGTGGCTGTACTGGGTAATGTGGACTCGGGCAAGTCCACTCTGTTGGGGGTTTTGACGCAGGGCGAGCTGGACAATGGACGAGGGAGAACGAGGCTAAACCTCTTCAGACATCTACATGAGATCCAGACTGGACGCACATCAAGCATTAGCTTTGAGATCCTTGGCTTTAATAGTAAAGGAGAGGTGAGAAAAGGAGCCATAGAATAAAAAACAGTACCCCTTTGATATACTAAATAAATACAAACAGATGGTCAAGATGTTTTTGGTAAAATGGTGCGGAGGAAAACATTTTTTTTCTTACAATGGAAGACTAATGTTGTGTATTAGCATGCAATGTTAACTGATATCCAACCGGAATTATACTCTCAAAGAGTAGCAGGAATATATTGTCATGAGATTTCGATGATGACCAAATGTTATGCTTTTTTTTTTTTTTTGTCCCAGGTTGTGAATTACAGCGAGTCTCGGACAGCAGAGGAGATTTGTGAAAGTGCCTCTAAAATGATCACATTCATTGATCTGGCCGGTCACCACAAGTACCTTAAGACCACCATCTTCGGCCTCACCAGCTACTGCCCGGATTTCGCTATGCTGGTCGTCAGCGCAAATACTGGCATTGGTGAGTGTTGATCAATTGAAACATGCCGGCGTCTGCCGGTGTGCACTCCATCCCCCAGTTGCTATACTACTCTGATGAGACGAGCTGTAAGTGGATCTGTCACGGGGTCGCGGGTCGGTAATGGACACCTGCGGGGCCGGTCTCACCGAGAGCCTATGTTTGTGTACACTTGCAGACTTGGCCAGCTGCGACTTTGCAGTCATGCGGTATCTGAGCTTATATAACAGACCTTCATTCCTGCCACCGCCGCTTTACCACCACTTCTTCTCCCCGCCTCGCACTACTTAAATATCTCAAAAACATCCAGTCTAATGCACCTCTGGGCTCGTTCTTCAGTGCGTTGATTTTTTTTTAAATATCTGGTTAGTCTCAAGACAGCTGGAATCCCACAGTACTAATATAATATATTCATTTGCGTGCAATTGAAAATGAATGGGGGACATTCAGTCAGTCAGGCCGCAATTAGTGGGTCCTTAATGCCTCTTCAGCATTGCATTTGAGAGTCTGATGCTTTCACTAACCTGGGCCTTTTATCCCGACAGCAAATGAGATTGAGTGCAAGAAGCATGTACAATATCGAGGTCATGGAAGGACAAACGTTGAAACACAAGTGTCTGAAAATAGTGGGACAGGCTGGGCAGTCCTTTGATTGGCTTTTTGCGACATTCTCTTACTATTCTGGCTGTAATTGGAGAAAACTGATTTAAGTTTGTAAGATTATTTATAACTTATAAAATGAACGTAGCGTCCTCAACCGCTTGGAGTCCCCTGACGGAGTCCCCTCTCTCATCTGACTGGGGCGGGTTCGGGCTTCGACTGCCACAGCAAGTTGGCTTGAGGGACGAGCGTGTTGTTAACAGCTTGCAAATGGCAAGGAGACATGTAGATGACACCCGAGCCTCGGATGCAGCACTTATTACGTATAACTTTAGCTCTTAGCGCGCAGGAGTTATAAGGTGAACTATATTCAGCTGTCGTGATTGTATGGCTGGCAGTTTACAAGCTTATTTTTATGACTTTTTGAACATGATTTTTAATTGAATTTGCTAAAGGTTATCAGCAACAGAAGTACTGCTGACTCAAAAAGTCTGGTGTCAAATGTATTTCTTCATTCAAAACAAAGTGGTTCTATGACATTTTTGGGGATTTAAATAAAGAATGGGATGAAGGATGTCATGTGTTTGTGCGGGTGTATAATATTTTAAAAAAAAGGGCATGCTGGGAGAAATTGGATCACTAATGATGAACACCAATGAGACAGAACAGGGACACACTGTCTGCAACCCGAGAGCAACCGCTTTAACCGCGAAACGGGATAAAGTGTAAAGCACGGGGCTCGTCTTATGTATCCACGGCACGCCAAAAAAGCCAAAGGCTCTTGTATCATTCTGTGATGCATCTCTAAATATCCCGGCACCTCCCGTGAGGGATGAGGGGCTTTCGTTTTTGCTCTGCACCTTAACCTTCGATGCACTGAAAACAACCCACAGCTGGCAAAACAAGCCAGTGAGGGTTTACTCTGGTTTTTAAAGTTGTCTTATTACTGATACTACTTCCTTCCTGTTGCCCAGCTGGAACGACGCGGGAGCATCTCGGACTCGCCATGGCCCTGAAGGTGCCCATCTTCATCGTCATCAGCAAGGTGGACCTCTGCACGCGCGCCACAGTGGAGCGCACCGTGCGGCAGCTGGAGCGCGTCCTGAAGCAGCCGGGCTGCAACAAGGTGCCCATGGTGGTCGGCAGCACGGACGACGCCGTCACAGCAGCGCAGCAGTTTGCCCAGTCACCAAGGTACAAAACAGCCGCACACATAATCCCATGTGTCCTGTAATATTAAAAGCCCTTAGAAGTACAAGATAGACACTAGCCGATGTTGTATGTGTGTGCGATTGTCCTGACATGCTTGCGTTCTTGCAGCATCACGCCCATCTTCACCTTGTCCAGCGTCTCCGGCGAGAGTCTTGACTTGCTCAAGGTCTTCTTCAACATCATCCCTCCGCTCAGCAACAGCAAAGAGCAAGAGGAGCTTATGCAACAGCTAACTGAGTTTCAGGTGCGTCAGCTGCCGGGCACACGTTGTTTCAGAGACACTGCCGATACACACGCATTACACACACACAACTTTGATAGGATTGATTGATATGCGTGTGTGCGACAATACAGGTGGACGAGATCTACACGGTGCCAGAGGTGGGGACCGTGGTGGGAGGCACTCTGTACAGGTCCGTGTGTGAATCATCTGACTCGTATGGTTCTGTTGTTTGGCATGGACGCCGTCTGACCCTGCGTCTTCTTTGAATGTGCAGCGGCATTTGCCGTGAAGGGGATCATCTTGTTGTAGGGCCAACCGACTCCGGCCATTTCAACATTTTGACCATCGGGAGCATCCAAAGGAACCGCTCGGGGTGCCGGGTGCTCCGGGCCGGCCAGGCCGCCACCCTCGCCCTGGGAAGCTTTGATCGCTCTCTACTACGCAAGGTCAGACACGTTGTTCCTTTGTGCCAAATGGGACCGGCTCTTTCTTTCTTTTCAAAAATGTCTCCGTATTGAGTAGCACTGGGTGTTCATTGTATTTCCCGCTCATAGGGCATGGTGATGGTGAGTCCAGAGATGGATCCCACCATCTGCTGGATGTTTGAGGCTGAGATTGTGCTGCTCTTCCATGCGAAGACCTTCCACAAGGGCTTCCAGGTTACTGTGCACATTGGCAACGTGAGACAGACCGCCACAGTGGAAGCCGTATACGGCAAGGTTAGTCCACCTGACAGCTGCAACTGTTCGCATATCTCTCAGTATGTTACAGACAGCCATTTAAGTTCAACATTTGGTTCATTCTGAATGCTGTCGTTTTTCTTTTCTTACGATACATCGCCGAACCACAGGAGGAGCTGAGGACGGGGGAGAAAGCAGTGGTTCTCTTCAAGTTCATCAAGCACCCAGAATACCTGAAGGTGGGAGCCAAGGTGCTCTTCAGAGAGGGCGTGACCAAAGGTATCGGCCACGTCACCAAGTTGCAGCCCAAGGCCCACTACCAGCTATCCCAAAGCGAGGATGACGAGGCCTAAAGTTTCTTGGAGAAAGCCAGAAAACGCCGTCCCGTCCCCAAAAACCAGGTGCTTTATGAACCTCCCGCTTCCTCGGAAGGCGCCTCTGTCCTGCTCCCTGCACAGTAAAGTCCTGTCACAGAAGAACGTTGTTGAAGCGACCTTTTCTCCAGCCTTGTTGTCACCATCCTCCTCAGTCTCCCCTCCAGCCACCTCTGTAACACCTTCTCCCAGCAACATCTGCCCAAGTGATATTGAGTGTCAAGAACACACGCTGGCTACTGACTACGCGGCTACGTTGAAGTGCTGATCCCTGTTCACACCTAAACGCACGCACACACAGTCGCACTGAAGCACAACAACAACAACATGCCAGCGTCGATATACCTTCGGCAGACAATCGTTTACAATCAGGTGCGAGCGCGCGGTCCTCGGACATCAAGGCGTACCGCCACCGACCAGCGTTGTGCCCAAACTGGGAAGCGTAAGCCTCGCCGTGTTTTAACGCGCCGCCCTCGTCTAAGTAATGAAGTGAGGTGATGGTAAATCTCAGTTCCTCAGCTCGTCGGCCGAGCACAAGCTGAACCTCCTCGTCTCGAGTCATTTTAAAGCTCACCGGCGCACTCGCCGAACGAGGAGAGTAGTCGAACTAGACCCAGTTTGTACGTCGGCCTGCCAGGGTAACTCAAGATTGGCGATAACCGGCGAAGTGGTTCCCTTGTGCCACCAATGCCCGTCAGAATAATGTTTTTTAAATTGTTTTTATTCACAAATAATGCCTCCCGAGTGCAGTGGGATGGTACTGATCTCGCCACCAGTGTCTTCAAGTGCTTTAGTTCCTCAGGTCAGTCTAGATAGCGTGACAGACGGCATTCCCCTCTCACACGGCGCTTTCTGTTGCTTACGTATGGGGGGGGGGGTCGGCGGGGAGGCAACGGGGTACCTCCCTAAGAAATGTTAGAACCCAGATTATATAGTACGCAAAGCTGCTTTTTTTCTAAAGGAAATTATGTTTGTCGTCTCTTTGTTCCAGTTACTGATGTCACTAAGTCTGAGGGGGTTTTACTCAGTGCCTAAGCTACTGTTTGAGTACCATCACGCCCCCGAGATGTACGACTCAGTACAGAAACGGTGCTGGTGCTACTCCTCAAAAACAGCTTTTGATATTTACAGGACAACGAATGTTAATTACTTCTGTGTTCATGTCTTCTTATAGCCGGTTGTTCCACTAACAGCAATGAGTGTGAGCCACGTTTTGTTGCGCCGGTGTTGTTGCGGTTATGCACATTTTCTGTGCATCTAAGAGGAAAAAAAGAACACATTTCAACCAAAATGTATATAGCGTTTCTAAAAAGTATCAGGTTTGTTCCTTTGCAGCTGAGAAGTATTTTATAGATTTTTTTGTAGTTCCAGATTTTATGATGTAATAAACGCTTTCATGTTCTTCTTAATGACAAACACGCTTTCACATTTTTGAAATCCCATTTAATACTGTTTCTGTTAAAATGTGTATTTTTTGTATCTTTTATGGGTGAACTGCAATCCTTATGTACAGATCTAATTTGTGTATCATGTTGTACATGAATTAAAGTTTTATTGTCTCATTAGCACGTATTGCATTTTTCTTTAATGTAAAAGACGAGACACAGCCTTTCCTCTACTGGCTTGGATGCCACAAAGCCATGACTCAATATTCAAAGTGAGTTGGCTGTTTTATTGTTCTTCAAAAACGTATATACAGTTCCTCTATTCAAGGCACCTCCACAGCACCATGGTAGGGAAGTCTAAACCAAACCACCTCTTAATGGTGCAATTATTCTCACCATGTGAGCGATCACATGTTCCGTAAAACATTTCAAATAATGATCCTTGATTCCTGATCCAAATAATGAAACTTGACATTGACACTCGAGTTTGGATTCCGGCTACAAACTCAACTTATCGGTGGCATCTGCTGCCACATCGTGGTACAACATCATTTACACCACTACTTGGTGGAAAACGTTTCTTTAGTACGCTGTTTAGAAAAAACATTTATTCAAAGTACTGCCATTCTCTTTTTAAAAAAAATAACTTTGTGATATGCTTAATGTGCATGTACAGTAGCTTGTATCTTATTCTACTTTTAAATGCAGCTCGACATCACACCGTCAGTTCCTCTTAAAAAAAGAATCCAAGGGGCCCGAGCTTCCCCCTTGGGATCGGTGCCTTTTCGGTTGAGGTCCTGACTGGCTTCCGGTTTTTGTCTTCCCGCGTGAGGACTGCGCTCTGACAGGAGTAAGTGAACCGGTGGAGGGAGAGGAGACGGGCGCTGACGCAGTGGATGAAGAGAGGGAATTCTGGAGATCCAGGGCAAAGTGATAGTCGTTGTGTTCAGGCATTTCCCAGGCCGACACTTCCTTGCCGCAGTGTTCACAGCTCAACACGTCTTCTCTGGCTGCAGCAGCAGCAAGACGGCGATTTGTCTCTGCATCGATGCCAGCTTCGTCCTTTACCTCCTCGCACAGTGACCGCTGAGACGAGCTACGTTTTCCCCGGAGGCCTGACGCAGCAGCGTCTTCGATATCTTCTTCTTCAGGTCCGAGCTCTTTGAACGTCGAGGCCTGCGAGCTTCTTTCAACACCCTTCTTGTGGAAGAAAGAGGAAATGCCAGATTGGGTGCCAGCTGGACCACTTTTAGAGTGGGAAATAAGCGAAAGGGAAGACACGGGGGAATTGGTATTTGCCGCCAACCGACCATCAGGAAGAGAGGTCTTCTGAGAGGAGGAAGCCGGGGGAATCCCAGTGGATCCGATATTGTCATCATCGTCCTGCTCGTCTACGTCTTCTGTCACCTTGTGTCTTTGTTTCTCGGCGGCCTTCTGAAAGAAGGACCGGATGGTGCCAGGCTGTTTGCAGGCCGACTCATTTTTCTGTTCAGAGAGTGGCCGGGCGAAGGGCTGAGTGGGGGAGAAAAGACTCTGGCTCGACGTGACGTCACCGGAAAGAAAGCCGGCAATGCCGCCTGCTGACGGAGCGTCGCTGAATTTGCTCGCCGAAAGGTGCAGCAGAGTGAGGGGCGGCGTCCTGGGAGACATCAAGGCGATATCAGTCAGTCACACGGCCCTCCCCACCTGACTTATAATAAGAATAATATCTCGGAGCCGTTATATTTCTGATTACCAGGCTGCCTGGTGGTTTCCTGCCGTGTTGAGACTCTTGATGATGGCGAAGCTGTCGTCGGACAGCTTGGTCGCCTCGTAGCGCACTAGAGCGCAGCAGCGAGAGAAGCTGCTTGACCTCTTGTCCCCGAGCTGACGGACGCCGACCGTCAACAACTTAGCCACACGGCCGTTCTGTGTGAGACGAGGGGAAGTGACATGAAAAGTGGGTTCCATTTATTGCGGGCGACATCAATGTGAGATCCAGAAAGAGGTAGTGCTGTCATAATAAGGGAAGGTATTAAACTACTTAATCACCCATCGCTCACCACTTCTCTGTCCTTGGTAAGCCTCTCGTCCAGCTCCAGGGCCAGCTGATGGAGCCAATACTGTACCTACGCAGAGGTTAGAGAGGCAATCATACAAATCATTCAGCAAAAAATAGGAATGTTCTAAAAAGATCGTTCTCCCAAAGGTTCATCACTCCGTGTCAATACGTTCACATTTGCTTCTTGTTTTAACACGTGGGAAACCCCGGGGCTGGGAGTCAGTACCTGCTCTTTTGTAGCCAGCGATGTCTTCCCGGGGAAGTTTTTACTGCAGCCGATGGACTTGGGAAGCTGTCTGGGTTTCACCGCTTCAAAATCAATCCCCCGACACAAGTCGTACAGCCACTGGCTGAAAGCAGAGAGGTTCAATGGGGCATGTGGTTGTTATCAGGAGGACACGAAACGCTCATCGTTCAAGAGAATCGGCGCGGCACTTTTATCACAGGTTTGTCTTCGCGGGAGAAATCTGATTCTGTAAGAAACATGTAAAACAATAAATTAAGACGGCTAATAAATACGTCGAAAAGCCCTTTCAACTTTATGGTTTAACTTTATGGTACTTAGCTAACGCTAAGCCAGCCAGATGTCCACCAGTCACCTTCTGACATTCGACTTTTATAAAGAAGGAATACATGGGCTTGTCTTACCCCGTCTTTTCTCCAAAGTGCTGGACCAGTTGAGCCTGAGAGAAGCGGGTCAGATCTCCCATATTCTCTATGGCCAGAGTTTCTGTGATGGAGGCACCCAGCTTACCCCCCAGGTTCCGGCTGCACGGGTGAAATACAGGTGATCAGCACTCCTAGTGACCTTTTGTTTTTACACTTCTATGTTCGAATACGAGTTTGTTCTGTGACTTGTAGATTCTATATGGCGGAGTAGTACTTTGAACTCACATCTTGCTGACAGGTAGAGAGTTGAAAAGTTCCGTCACCGAGTCCAAAGGCAGAACGGTTTGTCGATCCGGTTTGTTCAGACCGCAAGCTAATTTGGACAAAACCTGAAAGAGGTGGGCGGTGAACTGTGACCGTGGCAAAGATAATTACTACTGTTAAAAGCACCACGTAGGGAACCAAACACCGTACCTTATTGTGTGATATCCCTGCTGAACAGCAGTAACCTGTGTCTTTTTCCACGGCTGCCCTCATCTCCTCGATGATGAGTGCCCCCACAGTTAGATTCAGTTCCGCGGTGCTCTGCTCCCCGGGCAGAGGGTAAGGCAGGGATGCCAGCCACTGCTGAAGACCTCTGGACCTCAGCTCCTCTGGGGACAAGCACCTTGCTGTTAATCGGATCCACCCAAAAAAAGCTTCCCGTGTCCAGTGCAGAGGGATGAGAAATCATCACCTTATGACCCACCTTTACCCGAGGCAGCGTCCTCCGCAGATGCTTCGTGTTCAGGTACAGTTTGCGGGAACCCCTGGATGTACGTCGCCCTCAGCAGGTGAGGCTCAATTGGTTTGTCCATCAGGTTTTTCAGCCGCTGCTGGACCGCAGCAGTCAGATCCATGTAGGCCTCGTCGATGCTGGCTCGCTCAATCACGGCGAAGCGAGACATCACCTCGATCACCTCCACGCTCGCATCCCTGTAGCTACACAGAGGCAAGTAGGTTTTGCACCTTACAGGTCACAGGATCGGTGATGTGGATCTTACAGTAGACCGTCGGCACTTACTGTGTCAGGTCTGCCTTGCCGTGAGACTCACGCACTCGTGCCACTTGGAGATCGGGGCAAAGTTTCTTGGCATCGTCCACCCACATGTTCCTGGTGACACCATGGGCCCTGGCCTCGTAGCTCACAGCTATGATGCTGACAAAGGAGGGGGTTAAGTGGAGATATGCAGGCTAACATGCTGGGAGATTATGGCAATAGTACAGAAGCACCCGTCTTTGAAAATGGCAAGTGAGGGTAATGATTTTCCTCTCAGTTCCCCATATGTCCTATGACAACGATTGAGCAATCTCCATCCTCTGGGGAAGATATTTCAAGTTAAAGTTCTAAGAAAAGGTAGCGATTAGTTTTTTTAGTATAACTTATTTTTATTTCTTACAAACGTCTGGTCAACATGGTGGGTATTGCAATATTACAGTATGATATATTTTACATTAATTTGTCTAATTGTAGCCAACTCATCTATTTGATATTTATGCCCCTCCCACTTTTCAATTCATGAGGTCGCTTTGGTGATGTGGGGTCATAATGACCATGTTCATAACGGTAAGACCAGTTGAGAGGGAAAGCGCTGTTGTTTGCATCAGTGTGATAGCAAGACAAGACTGTTTCACGTTCTGATGTTATCCGGAAGGCATAACAATCGCGCCTTAATGGACATTAACTCCCACAAAGCAGTTTCAGTTGCGTTGACCGTGAAGATAAATGTCTCACCCGCCTCCTTTCCACGTCTTGTACTGCGCCACCACACAGGGGGTGTTCCTCAGAGCTGGGTCGAGTCTCTGCTCCACCTGGACGTAGAAACAGTCCATGTCTACTAACGCCACCACTCGCTCCTTTCCGTACTCCATCACTGGAGCTAACTGGCCTACTAAAGTCAGCCCGGGAACAGAGCGATATCCTTCCGTGAGATAACGTTAGTTTTTCGCGCTGTCGCCAGAAGTTACATAACTACGTCATCAAAAGTCGACGATGACAACCCGACCGCCCTGAACCAATGAGAGCTCGCGACTCAACGACACACCCGGGGACGAGCACGAGCACGGCTCGAGCTTGTTGTTGTCCTCAGAAACACACATTCGCTAAAGCAAAAGTTAATACATTAGGTACGTAAGTGTAAAACGTAAGCACGTCCTAATAGTAACTTAGTAACCAAACCCACCATAACTCATACGTTAGATAGATACAGTCCCGAGCGCTACAATAAAGTAGCAGCTCAAGTCTGTGAGTAATGTTAATGTTGTTGGTCCTTCAGCTTCACTTGGCTTTAGTTTATTTTTCTCAGGTATTCATACAAGAAAAGCAGTTGAATGTTAGACTAGTCACGTAGACATCAGTGTAGTCCGAGATACTCCCTCAGGAAGCACCTGTTTTTGCACTCTGGGGATTTTTTTTTTTTTTTATGTAACGGAAACCCAATAATTCAGGCACCGAATAACAATTGAAAATATAAGGCAGTATTGCTCTCAAATAGTGATGCTCCTGTACATTAACTCTTATCCCTGATGATGGAACTCAAATCAAGGTTATCATTTATTTTCCCTCTTTTATACGTTTTGTTTGGTGACCTAACTTCATTATTGTAGATGTGTATAGTCCCCACCCATATTCAAATATTTAAACAAACAAATATGACCAATAGACGAAGAATAAAACCATAAAATGAGGAAGCAACCGAGTTAGAGTCAACAACCACGATACAGAAAGTGATAGTGACATTCCGTTCTGGAGATGGATGCAAGCATGACTTCTCAGTATGTTTTTCACCTAATACTTGCTGGACTGATGGGTAAGTGCTAAACTGTAGCTGGAATGCAATACATATATCTGGGTCTGATTTATAATTATTAAGATATTGTTATTATATTGCTGTTTGAGTCCTGTATTTTAATTGACCATAAGACACTAATATGTATCATTAATTTTGTGATTTTATTTAAAAAATGAACTGATGGTCATTAAAAATGCATTTGATCCCACCACTGTAAAATAACAGTCGGTGTGTTTTTTTTCAGGAATTCACAGTGAAATTGTGACAGTGGGGAAAGTGTCTGTCAAGGCCGGAGGATCCATCTCCATCCCATGTCTCTATGATCAGAGCTACAAAAACCATGTGAAATACTTGTGTGAAGGTCGGCCTTTCTGGTCCTGCTCCATAATAGTTGAGACAACAACAACAACAACAACAACAACAAAGAAGAACATGATTTCAGGAAGGTTCTCAATCTCTGATGACACAAACCAAGGAATCTTTACCGTGACTATCAACAAATTGACGGATGAGGACACTCAGAGTCATTACTGGTGTGCTGTGAAGATTAGAAGGAGTTTGGATGTAAAAAAAGAACTCCAGCTTTCAGTCACCAGCACAGGTAAAATCCATTGACTATTTAAAACACAGTTGAAATCTTTTCTCTTAAATCATTTTGGGTTTATGAAAACCAAGTTGAATCTCTGGCATGTTTTTCAAGGTGTGCCAAGTCTATATGTGGACCAACAGGAAATCAGCGCCTTTGATAGAGGAAGTGTGACTATCAGATGCTACTATAAAAATCCCTCCAAAAAAAAGTGGTGCAAGCTGAACGGGATGTGTGTGACCGATGGGCGTGGATCAATTGATGGAACAACAGTGACCATCAATGCAAGTGTCTCCAATGTCTTCAGTGTGACTATGAGTGGACTGAGGGCGGAGAGCAGCGGCTGGTATTTTTGTCTCAACGGAGAATTTGAGATGCCAGTGCGAGTGACTGTTCATGAGTTACCTGCTACTACTGCAACCACAATCATCCCCCATACACCAAGTGAGACACTAACCACTTATTCTCATGAATTAGCGCCCTGTTACAGACAATTAAGCCATTAAGTGCACCAATTTTCACATTTATTTATTCAGTCTTTACAGAAACGTCTCCAACTACTACGCAGCATTCCTCTCCGTGTACCAGTGCAAAACCGCATACAGCCCATCCCACCAACTCCACCCTGAATGGGACATTGGGAGACAGCCTGCAAGAACACACGAGGTCTGTATGTCTTTATTTGAATAGTTCAACAGATGACAGTATATGATATTTACTGAACATGTTTTTGAAAACACACGATAACACCTGGTTGTGAAAGTTCTTTTTTTTATCATTCGTGTTTACTAACTATGGTACACATGGATGTAATTGATTTGTAACTAATTATTTTTTGTTTTATTAAATTAAACTCTATTTCAGACAACGTTTAGAATTTATTTAGTTAAATGTATACATGATTTGCATTTCTCTCTTAGTTCTACCAAGGTTATGATTATCACCACCACCCTCTTTTTACTGCTGTTGGTTTTTCTCATGGCCTGTTTTGGATGGAGGACAGTGATGAAGAAATGCAGTAAGTCTGTTGTAAACGGCTGAAAAAACAGTTATTTTAAAAGCGTATTATTGTGGTTAATATTATTATTATCATTTTTAACTATTATTTATGAATTTCAGATAAGACCAAGCCTGAGCACTCTGATGGAACTGTGGTAAGATGTAGCCATGCTTTTCCTAATATTAAATTGAACTATTGTATGTTGGAATTTGGATGGATGGACACAACACATGCATTAAGAGCATTTAAGGAACATATAACATGAAATAAGTAAAGGTGAATAACCACAAACCTTGTATGAAAAACAACTGTTCTGAACTCATAGCAGAAATAACATACACGCTATATGAATACTCAATACTTAAGCTGAATTTTCTATTCATATAAATAATAAATATATAAATAAGTTTCCTTTAATTTAGAATACGATCCTGTCGTTCAGTCAGTTTTCAACACAACACAGGCGACACTCCAACAGCGCAAACCTTTGATATGCAAAACGACTGCTCCAGTTCAAATTAGCCAGACGAGTGTGCTGTGACAAGAAAAAGCAAGTGACTTTAACAAGACATAATATGTGGGATTATCGTCAAATTTCTAATTCATCCCTCATAGGGCTCACAAATTGGGAGTAATCCTGACGCACATTACTCCACCATCGCTGATACTCAACATGCAGCAGCCCAGCAGCAGGTAAACCAGATGACTACTTCTTATTTTCTTCAACACAGTATAAAAGTGAGTAGCAGCTGAAAACAAATCGGCTTAAATCGTATTACTGACTGCACATTTTATTAAGCAGAGAAATATACCGGAAGAGAGTTTGACATACAGTACTATTGTAATGAAGGATGGCATGCAACAAATGGTATGGGATTCATCTAAATTCATTTTTATAATTCTTCAAGTTTATAGTAGGTCAATAATTACTCAATATTCTCCTCTCTGTGCTTAATGTCATCTCTTAGACTGAACCAGTAGAAGGAAGTGTGACATATAGTACCGTTGTAATAAAGGATGGAGTGCGACAAATGGTACGGGATTCATTTCAATGAATTTTGATAACACCTGTATATTATTGTTGTCTTTAGGATTAGTCAGTAATGATTCACTGTTCCCCTCTGTGCTTGTTGTTTTCCCTCAGACTGAACCAGTAGAAGGAAGTGTGATCTACAGCACACTACAGATTCAGAGAATGTAAGGACATTAATCCTGCAATCTGATGAAGTAATTCTGCTGTGCACTGAATTTGAAATATCTTTCAACATTCAGTACTACTCATTATTGTGTGTGCAAGAGATGTGTTGAGATAATTATTTGGCATTATGATTATGCTTTTGGCATTGGTTATGAATCTAGATTGTTTTGCTATGTATTGCTAGTGTTGGTTACATGCGCTGAAGAGATATCTGCCTTCTCTCCAGCGTAATGGAACCTGATGTCGTTCGACTTGTGGTGCTTAAATAGCCCACAAGCCGAACGCCATAGTGTTTATGAGTTTTCATCCCCAATGATCCACACAATGGCTTCAATGTGATCCTCTACATACCGCCACAATATCTTTCATTCATATTTTCACTTCATCAGTAATCTCCAGCACATCTGGATTCATTTGAGTTGGATAACTTTGGGGTGCAATGTTGGGCATAATGAAGAAATGGCAGACTCAAAGAAATTAAGCTAAACAATGTAACAGGTGTTACTCTTTATTTTTGTGCAAATAAAACCTGAAAATTAAAAAAAAGAAATCAGTACTATTATTTTTAATTCAAGTGTTTTATTATTGTGTGTTTTACTGTTTTTTTCTGTCAATGTAAAACACTTTACTCCGGAAAAGCGTAACTATCTAAAAAGGAAGAGGAAGAGAGATGTTACAGTTGCAATTGCATGTTTAGGGAAGTCAGGAAGTACCAAATTAGTCCGCGCAGCAGCCGTGATGCTGTTTGTCCGTCTGGGCTCACTAACCAACATGGATGTTCCTCTCAGAGTTCTTCTCATCCTCGCTGGACTCACAGGTCAGTCACAGGGTAATTCTATTTGTTTGTTAAGTCAGGCTTACTGGGAAGGTGTGTTGGAATGAGTAATTAAATACTACACTTGTTTAAATGTCACACAGGAGAGGAACACAGAATATGTCTCATTATTATATGTTATTCTTTTATGTGAAAGAGAAATGTTGTAAACGGTTGTATATTTTCTTGTTGCAGGAATTCACAGCATAAGAGTCAGTGAAGTGTCAGTGAAGGCTGGTGATTCAATCTCAATCCCGTGTCTCTATTCCTCAAAATATACAAACCATGTGAAGTACTTGTGTAAAGGATATTATTGGAACTACTGCACTTATGAAGTTAGAACAGACCAAAACAACTCAGCAAAGTTTTCAATATCTGATGATAAAATCAAAAAAATCTTCACTGTGACTGTAAATGAACTGACAAATGACGACTCGTATTACTGGTGTGCTGTGGACATTAATGGAGGAGGAGATGACGGAGATTATTTTCACCTGTCAGTCACCACGGGTAAGAGTCTTAAAGCACATTCAAGCACTTCAAGTCCTTTACACTCACAAAAAATTAAACTGTCTCATTATTGTCTTTGGACAATGTTTATTTTTTGGACTCCACCATTTTTCTATTTGATTTCCCTGAAGGTACACGCAGTCTCTACGTGGATAATCAAGAGAAAACAGCATTTCTAGGAGGTGCCATAACCATCAAATGCCACCATCAGCGTAACCCTGGAGAAATGAGGTGGTGCAGGATGGGCAGCTCCTGTGTGACTCAACGGTCTGGATCAATATATGGAACAGAGGTCACCATCGATACAAATGTCCCCAATGTTTTCAGCGTGACTATGAGAGGACTGAAGACGGAGAGCAGCGGCTGGTATTTATGTGTCAGTGGAAACCTCCAGTTCCCTGTGCGCCTGACTGTTACTGAGCAACCTACCACAAGTAAGTACTACAATTATAAAAGAGAAACATATCGGCTGATGAATGTTTGTGAATGTCAATGAATTTGTGATTAAACATGGAAGACAGAAGGAATAAATATTTTTGTTTTACTCATTTTTTTTTTATATACAAGAAGCACCGTTACAAGAAACAACGCATACAGAGAATGTCTCCACCTTTTTACCCACAACGACACGTACAACAGTTCAGGAGGAACAAAACAGGTTAGAAGGCTTTGAATTGAACTCATAGAATATCATAGAATTGATATGCAGTATTTAGAGAACTGTGTCCATTTAATGGTAAATATAACAATTATAAAGGGAAATGTATTTAAATGGAATATATAGTAGATATAAATTTGAAGACTGAGTGGTAATAAAAAATGTTGTACTGTGTAATACGGTTGATGAATTCTATTTAATTCCTTTGCATTTTGTGTTCACATCTATTCACATAGAAGTGCTTCATTTGGCCGAACGGAAACCCTCATCCTTAGGAGCGTGTTGATCTTCACTTTAACGGTCGCCTTGTGCTTCTGGTTCATGTTGAAAAGACACAGTAAGCAGCTAAACTTTGATGAATATAATTATATCATTTCATTTTTTTCTTTATGTTTTCATATTTATATTGACAGTAATCAGATTCTTTACTGTTTCCCATTTAGAGCAGAATAAATCAGCATCTTCAGCAATGAAGGAGGTAAGATGAATAAATGTATTTTCACCAAAAAGAAGGAGCCACAGAATAAAATAAATAAATAAAAATAATAAAAATTAAGTGCAAAAAATGATACAGAACAACACTGCATCTTAACACCTAATATGTTGATGTGATATCACAATAAACGATCAGATAGATTAACTGAGCTGTGTCCCAACCATGGTCATTTCTGCTTTACTTGCAATTGCAAGTAAATAAAACAATGTATATTAATTAAAAAACAGAACCTGTTTGTTCTTCTCCCTCATACAATTTCACTTATTTTACCCAGCAGTCATATGTCGAGCAGGATGAGGACTTATAGTTCTGTGGTTTCCAAGAGGAAACAAAAGGTTCAAAAGGTAAATATAAAGAAAACCGAAACTCACTGGCTGTGACGTGCTTTTGTTCTGTCCCTCGGAATGGCCAAATGGTTAACTAATTGATACGGGCAGGACGCACATCTGCGGCGCGCATCCCCCCAGATGCCTGGCCAATAAAATCGGGTCATTATCCAGTCTAGTGTTTTCCCGTACCCCACATGCCCAGCCATCGGTTTTTAGTGAGCCGCCTGGAAAATCATTTCCCGGCGGGTTTTCGGCACCAGCAACTGGGTGTTTTCGTGCCCCGTCCGAGTGTCACGACTCACTCTATACAGTCTGTCCCTAATCAATGAATAGTGTGGATATGACTGCGCTGCGTCAGGGCGCACCAGTTGACCATCCATTCTTATCACTTGGTCATTGGCTAAGCTTAGAGTATCGTCCCGAGACTGCTCGAGTGGAACATCTTTCATGGAGTGAAACTCGGGAACAGGTGGAGTCTCCACGGGAGGCTCCGCCGGTTCCCCCTCCCCGTCTGCAGCGTCGGACGACCTTGCGTCACCACTGATTAAGTATGTATGTGGTATGTAAGCACAGCACACATACCACATGACCCTGTCGGTCGTGAACGCATCCCCGCGGCCAGCCCCATTAGCTTGTTAAATCCCGGCCAATCTGTTCCCAAAATTACAGGGTGCGTTAAGCGGGAGCAAACCGCAACCTTCACACTATGCTTTCCCCCCTATATGCCCCAGGAACTGCCGGTTAGCCTCCGCCTGGTCGCGCTGGATGGCCGCCGAAAACCGAAACTCACTGGCTGTGACGCGCTTTTGTTCTGTACTTAATTTTGTTATTGGTCTTACTACATTTTAGAACTTTCTTTGCAGAATGAGACATTCTGTTCCTTCTTCCATTTTCCCATTTGTTGTTGTTTTCCCAACAGGTTGAAGCAGATGAGGAGAATGTCACATACAGCACGTTGGCTTTGGACTAGTTCTGCTGAGCACACGTGACGCCTGTTTGTTCCACCTTGTCCCTACTTATAATGTCCTGCATGTATTTAGAAAGAAGCATTTCCCTGTTTGTTTGCAACGTGTTTCAGCATGTTTGAATACACAACTCTTGGCTTTAAATGTTGTGTCATTATTCAGTAGTGTTGGGATATGTTCATTATGTCCTCAGTTGTGGTGATGGTGTAGTACAGTGCTGATCTGTGTTGTGCATGAGCCACAAGGGGGCACTCGTTTGCTTTGCTGTTTTGTTTGTCCCAAAATGTTTTTGCTGTTTTATATGAAGAAGTAATGAAGGCTGTCTGACCGTGAGACTGATGTGTCAGCGGCAGCTCGTGAAATAAATATGCCGAAGACGGCTAAAGATGGCTCATCTGAATCGTCCGCTCTTTTCCTCCGAATGCAACGTTAGCTGCAAGAATGCGAGTAACGCAACTCAACAAATAGCATTAAAGTTCACATTATTCTGACGCAGAGAGAAGAGAGTAACCCGACTCGTGAAAAGGGAAATGATGAGAAGTAGAAATAGATATTTCTTAAATGTTTGATCTTGTAAACCCTCTGTTTACTTTAAAATGTGAACAATGTTACAAATGAATCCATGACACTGCTGCTTAAAAGTGTCAGCCGGGGGCAGATCAATACTTGACAATGAGTATGAGTGTGAATGCTGCTTAAGTAGAGCAGATAATGGGAAATGTGCCGGTGATTAGTCTCTGTACGGGCTTCTTGGGAAATGGAGTCCGGGAAGTCAATGCTCAGGTGATGGGGCCCTCCAGTGGCCATCAGAGGGAGCTAGAGGTCTGATTCATGACAGTTGAGTCAGAGGAAGAAGCTTCTTTTGAAAAACAAACAACTCTCTTTATCAACGGAGGTTCCTTACTCCATTTTTAACCACTGCCCCCTCCACTCACCAGAGACCCCTGGTTATATTCATGTTTATACATTTTCATATTTATATAGGAGATTTAAGTAATTTTTTAACTTATTTTTTTATGTAACTGAAATAATTCAGGCACCCAATAATAATTGAAAATATAAAGCAGTATTGCTCCTGTACATTAACTCTGATCCCTTGTTGGCCTCCACCATAGCGTAAAACCAAGGCGGACTTCCGAATGCAGTGTTCTGCTGCAGGACATAAGACCCCCGAAAAGAGTGTTCCTTCACACCCAGGTGTGATCTCTCTCTCTGCGGGTGAAACAGCTCTGAGATCTGATTGGCCAAGCCAGAGACACCACAGTGGTCCCCCAGGTCTCTACTGTGAGTTCCCCCCCTCACATTTTCTTTCCAAACTGGCGTTCGCCAGCGCAAGGTTAAAGAAAGCCCCCCTGCAAACTTTCTTTTCGGACTGACCTCAGGTCAGTGTGAGGTTAAAGACAGTCTCTTCTGAATCTTTCAGAACTGACTCTGGTCAATGTGAGGTTATCATTTATTTTCTCTCTTTTATGCCTTTTCTTTGGTGATGTAACGTAAAAAATGTAGATGTGTGTCCACAATCAAATATTTAACCAAACAAATATGACCAATTGATTATAAGACGATGAATAAACGCATAAAATGAGGAAGCAACAGAGTTAGAGTCAACAACCACAATACAGAAAGTGAAAGTGACATTCCGTTCTGGAGATGGATGCAAGCATGACTTCTCAGTATGTTTTTCACCTAATACTTGCTAGACTGATGGGTAAGTGCTAAACTATAGTTGGAATGCAATACATATATCTGGGCCCGATTTATAATTATTAAGATATTGTTGCTATATTACTGTTTGAGTCCTGTACTTTAATTGAGCATTTCAATGAATTTTTATAACTCTTTTACAGTATATTAGTTTATCGTAAGTCAGTAATGATTCACTGTTCTCCTCTCTGTGCTTGTTGTCTTCTTAGACTAAACCAGTAGAAGGAAGTGTGATCTACAGCACACGACAGATTCAGAGAATGTGAGGACATTAATCCTGGAAGCTGATGAAGTAATCCTGCTGTACACTGAAATCTGAGTATCTTTTAACATTCAGTACTACTCAGTATTGTGTGTAAGAGATGTGTTGAAATAAGGATTTGGCAAAAACAGTTGGACACACAAGAGCACTAGTTTAAATATGGACCAAAATAAATTGAACAAATCAGGAAGTGAGATTATCAGTTTAAATGTTTTGACTCACGAGTCACTTTGACTTGGTGCAGCTTTTCCAAACCGATTATCTTTATATTGAATACTGTCATGATCCAAAGCAAACCTTAAAGACACTGTTCACCCCAGAATCAATGATGTAAAAAACTAAACATTTTTCTAGTTATGAATCTAGATTGTTTTGCTATGTGTTGCTAGTGTTGGTTTTATGTGCTGAAGAGATATTTGCCTTCTCTCCAGCGTAATGGAACCTGATGTCGTTCGACTTGTGGTGCTAAAATAGCCCCAAAAAAACATCCCAAAAACTCAGCAGCATTGTCTATTTCCAGAGATAAGAAGGTGTTGTGAACAGTCCCTTTTATGAGTTTTCATCCCCAATGCTCCACACAATGGCTTCAATGTGATCCTCTACATACCGCAACAAAATCTTTCATTCATATTTTCACTTCATCAGTAATCTCCAGCACATCTGGATTCATTTGAGTTGGATAATTTTGGGGTGCAATGTTGGGCATAGTGAAGAAATGGCAGACTCAAAGAAATTAAACTAAACAATGTAATAGGTGTTATTTTTGTGCAAATAAAAACTGAAAATTAAAAAAAGAAATCAGTACTATTATTTTTAATTCAAGTGTTTTATTATTGTGTGTTTTACTTGTTTTTTTCTATCAATGTAAAACACTTTACTCCGGATTAGCGTAACTATCTAAAAAGGAAGAGGAAGAGAGATGTTACAGTTGCAATTGCATGTTTAGGAAAATCAGGAAGTAGCAAATTAGTCCGCGCAGCAGCCCGTGATGCTGTTTGTCCGTCTGGGCTCACTAACCGACATGGATGTTCCTCTCAGAGTTCTTCTCATCCTCGCTGGACTCACAGGTCAGTCACAGGGTAATTCTATTTGTTTGTTAAGTCAGGCTTACTGGAAAGGTGTGTTGGAATGAGTAATTAAATACTACACTTGTTTAAATGTCACACAGGAGAGGAACACAGAATATGTCTCATTATTAAATGTTATTCTTTTATGTGAAAGAGAAATGTTGTAAACGGTTGTATATTTTCTTGTTGCAGGAATTCACAGCATAAGAGTCAGTGAAGTGTCAGTAAAGGCTGGTGGTTCAATCTCAATCCCGTGTCTCTATTCCTCACAATATACAAACCATGTGAAGTACTTGTGTAAAGGATATTATTGGAACTACTGCACTTTTGCAGTTAGAACAGACCAAAAGAACTCAGCAAAGTTTTCAATATCTGATGATAAAATCCAAAGAATCTTCACTGTGACTGTAAATGAACTGACAAATGACGACTTGTATTACTGGTGTGGTGTGGAGATTAATGATGGAGCAGATGACGGGTATCCTTTTCACCTGTCAGTCACCACGGGTAAGAGTCTTAAAGCACATTCAAGCACTTCAAGCCCTTTACACTCACAAAAAAATTAAGCTGTCTCATTATTGCCTTTGGAAAATGTTGGTTTTTGGGACTCCACCATTTTTCTATTTGATTTCCCTGAAGGTACAAGCAGTCTCTACGTGGATAATCAAGAGGAAAAAGCCTTTCTAGGAGGTGAAATAACCATCAAATGCCACCATCAGAGTAACCCTGGAGAAATGAGGTGGTGCAGGATGGGCAGCTCCTGCGTGACTCAACCGTCTGGATCAATAAATGGAACAGAGGTCACAATCGATACAAATGGCCCCAATGTTTTCAGCGTGACTATGAGAGGACTGAAGACGGAGAGCAGCGGCTGGTATTTATGTGTCAGTGGAAACCTCCAGTTCCCTGTGCGCCTGACTGTTACTGAGCAACCTAACACAAGTAAGTACTACACTTGTTTAAAAGTCACACAGGAATATGTCTCAGAATTACATGTTATTCTTTTATGTGAAAGAGAAATGTTGTAAACGGTTGTATATTTTCTTGTTGCAGGAATTCACAGCATAAGAGTCAGTGAAGTGTCAGTGAAGGCTGGTGGTTCAATCTCAATCCCGTGTCTCTATTCCTCACAATATACGAACCATGTGAAGTACTTGTGTAAAGGATTTTATTGGATCTCCTGCACTTATGAAGTTAGAACAGACCAAAACAACTCAGCAAAGTTTTCATTATCTGATGATAAAATCCCAAAAATCTTCACTGTGACTGTAAATGAACTGACAAATGACGACTCGTATTACTGGTGTGGTGTGGAGATTAATGATGGACCAGATAACGGGTATGGTTTTCACCTCTCAGTCACCACGGGTAAGACTCTAAAAGCACATTCAAGCACTTCATGCCCTTTAAACTCAAATAAAAATGAAGCAGTCTCATTATTGTCTTAAGACAATGTTTGTTTTTGGGACTCCACCATTTTTCTATTTGATTTCCCTGAAGGTACACGCAGTCTCTACGTGGATAATCAAGAGAAAACAGCATTTCTAGGAGGTGACATAACCATCAAATGCCACCATCAGGGTAACCCTGGAGAAATGAGGTGGTGCAGGATGGGCAGCTCCTGTGTGACTCAACCGTCTGGATCAATAGATGGAACTAAGGTCACCATCGATACAAATGTCCCCAATGTTTTCAGCGTGACTATGAGAGGACTGAAGACGGAGAGCAGCGGCTGGTATTTATGTGTCAGTGGAAACCTCCAGTTCCCTGTGCGCCTGACTGTTACTGAGCAACCTACCACAAGTAAGTACTACAATTATAAAAGAGAAACATATCGGCTGATGAATGTTTGTGAATGTCAATGAATTTGTGATCCTTTGACAGAAGGAAAAAATATTTTTGTTTTACTTCTTCTTGTCTTTTTTTAAAAAATATACAAGAAGCGCCGTTACATGAGAATGTCTCCACCTTTTTACCCACAACGACATTTACGACAGATCAGGAGCGACAGAACAGGTTAGATGGCTTTGAATTGACATGCAGTATTTAAAGAACTGTGTCCATTTAATGGTGAATATAACTCTATAATTATGGAGGGAAATGTATTCAAATGGAATATATAGTAGATATAAATTTGAAGACTGAGTGGTGATGAAACGTGTTGTAGTGTGTAATACGATTGATGAATTCTATTTAATTTCTTTGCATTTTGTGTTTTTATTCACATAGAAGTGCTTCATTTGGCCAAAGGGAAACCCTCATTCTTACGAGGGTTCTGATCTTCACTTTATTGTCCGCCTTGTTCTTCTGGTTCATGTTGAAAATACACAGTAAGCAGCTGAACTGTGATGAATACAATTGTGTGATTTTATTTTTTTCATCAAGTTTTTATATTTGCAGGGACAGTAATCAGATTCTTTACTGTTTCACATTTAGAGCAGAATAAATCAGCATCTTCAGCAATGAAGGAGGTAAGATGAATAAATGTATTTTCACCAAAAAGAAGAAACCACAGAATAAAGGCACTTCTTTGAGAGTGAAAATGTCTTTACATCACATTGATGGGGTGATCATTTAAGTGCAAATGATACAGAACAACACTGCATCTTAACACCTAATATGTTTATGTGATATCACAGTTAACAATCAGATAGATTAACTGAGCTGTGTCCCAACCATGGTCATTTCTGCTTTATATTATTGTTCATGTTTGAGCAAGGCTGATTTTTTGTTGAAAGTGATGTTTCATTGAAACTGTGGGAAAGTACATTTACGGGACATTTATGAACGTTTAAAGGACCCTCTGAATTGTGGTTTGTTCCTTCTGCGCAGGCTGAAGAGGAAGTAACACATAGTGTGGTGAAGCCCAGGAGGAAACCTTCACGCCAGGTAATCCATGACTGCAGAGATGATCATAAATCATATACCATTCACAATTGCAAGTAAATAAAACAATGTGTAATAAATTAAAATCAGAACCTGTTTGTTCTTCTCCCTCATATAATTTACTTTTTTTACCCAGCAGTCATATGTTGAGCAGGATGAGGAAGTATAGTTCTGTGGTTTACATGAGGCAACAAAGGGTTCAAAAGGTAAATATAAAGAAAACCGAAACTCACTGACTGACATGCTTTTGTTCAGTACTTAACTTTGTTATCTATTTAGAAAGAAGCAAATTCATTATAATTAAAGCTCACATTATTCTCACACAGAGAGCAGAGAGAAACCCGACTCGTGAAAAAGGTCAATGATGAGAAGTTGTCTTAGATTATTTACCTAAAACAAAAAGGGTTTTCGTCAGGATATGAGAAAACATTTAGGTTTTTCTTTTTTTAAAGAGCCAATCATCCATATTTCATGCTCATTTCCAATAACATTATATTATCTTAGGTTAGGACAGAGGGGGAGGGTTTCACTCAACCGAAAGAAATGTATAATCTAACGTGTTGAATCATCGCCTCGTTAGTGTCTGAGAGAAAAGCTCAGTTTATTCGAGTGTGTGTTGCTCCAATATTTGTGTTCTGTGGATGTGTGGGTCCTCAGCACGAGTCAGATAGATAAACCAGTTAGACAATATACAGTAAGAGAAAATAGCCAACAACAACAATGATAATTATGCCCAAAAATACTTTCTTCTTGTATTATTTAAATACCAATAATTTCTTATTTGCTGGCTTTTCATTTGTCTCACAGGGATTACTGCCAGGAGTGCAACCACTAGTCAAAGCATTGTAAAACCTGTTGATAAAAACCTATATAATGTGTTCAAACAGGACTGTACTGCCTCCTTCAGTCGGTTTATGACTACGATCGCTTCTCAGCTTACATATTTCCTAAATGTTTGAACTTGTAAACCCTCTGTTTACTTTAAAATGTGAACAATATTACAAATGAATCCATGACACTGCTGCTAATCAACATGTTGCAGGCCGAGAACAAATGATCTTACAAAACAGATAAAGTGGGGAAATGTACTTGCTACACATGTCAGAGGAAGAAGCTTTTTTTTTTAAACAAACAACGATCTTGATAAACGGAGGTTCCTTATTCCGTTTTAACCACTGTCCCCCTGCACTTGTCACACCGCGGGGACGTCAAGTTGGGGTTTTGTCTTGTCATTTCCCGTTTTGAAAGATTTACCTTCCTCTCGTTTCAGGTTACTTGCCCCTCATGTGTCACCAGTCGAATTGTCTTCCCTGATTCCTGATTGTGTCCACCTGCTTCCCATTGCCCTCATGTGTCTTATAGTCTGCGCCTCCCTTCCGTCTGCCCAAGCCTGCCACCACAGACGCAGTGAGCCTCGCCTCGCCTCCTCACGAGTGATTTTTAGTTTACAAGTTTTCTTAAAAATGACCTTGAGTTTTTTCATAGCATTTTTGGTTTTCCTCCTAATGGAGCGATTTTAAGTTTTCTTTATGTATTCCTCTGTGAAGAGTGATTTTCTGTTTATAGATCATTTCTTTCAGATTTTGTTAATAGCTTTTTTCATAGCTGTTTATTTCATCCAGTGTGGGAGAGCCTAATAAAGACGACCTAATATGTTCACCCTTCTGCCCCTGAGTCCTTTTTAAAGTCCTGGTCTGATAGCGCTCATCAAAGCCACCTGGTCATATTCATGTTTATACATTTTCATATTTATAGACGAGATTTAAGTAATGTTATAGTTCTGCTCCTGTACATTAACTCGTATCCCTTGTTGGCCTCCCACCATAGCGTAAAACCAAGGCTGACCTCGGAATGCAGTGTTCTGCTGTAGCGGTGAATAGTAGCGGCGACGCGCTCCAACAGCGCCAAACGTGTCGATGTGCATAAAACAACTCTGATCAGTCAGAAGAAGTCAGCCACGTGCACAGATGGACCCCTGGTGGTGCTCAAGCACCTGCACTTTTGCTCGGGATGAGAAAAGTGCCCCTTCTGCTCGAGCCCTTTTTTTTCTTCATTCATCAATATTTAAAATAAAAATTACTCTCTCTGCCATCAATTCCCCGGAAGTGTGTTTTGATATCTGACCGCATCGGCGTAACCACGTATTCTGTGGGGGAGTCGTGTCCCCCCCAATATTGAAAAGGTACCAATCTGTCCCCCCAATATACAGCAGAGAATATGTAAAATATATCTATGTACTTATATGGACCGTACTGCCGGCCCGCGTTCGGTCGAAGTGGGCAGAATCTGGCGTGAACCTGAAATGAGTTTGTCACCTTAAGGTAGAGTAATGGAGGATTTTAGGTTACCTAAAAAGAAGGGAAAACTGTGACAGCAGCCGAGCATTCGCATTTTTTTTCAGACCGTAAGTAACTTGATATCGAGCTAAATGTGTAAGCAAATAAAACGAGTAGCCTCATAAAAGCACGAGTCGCTGTTTTTCTGATGAAATGACGCGTGGTCACAATGCAGGCGTCACAGAGAGACAGGCAAGATGAAAGCAGTGGCCAGACAGTGGTGCAATGTTGTGCATGAATGAGAAATGGCAGACTCAAAGAAATCAAAGTTAACATTGTAATATTTCTAACTCTTTATTTTTGTGCAAAAACCCCCTGAAAATTAAAAAAAGAAGTACTATTATTTTTAATTCAAGTGTTTTATTATTGTGTGTTTTACTGTTTTTTTTCTGTCAATGTAAAACACTTTACTCCGGATTAGCGTAACTATCTAAAAAGGAAGAGGAAGAGAGATGTTACAGTTGCAATTGCATTTTTAGGGAAGTCAGGAAGTAGCAAATTAGTCCGCGCAGCAGCCGTGATGCTGTTTGTCCGTCTGGGCTCACTAACCGACATGGATGTTCCTCTCAGAGTTCTTCTCATCCTCGCTGGACTCACAGGTCAGTCACAGGGTAATTCTATTTGTTTGTTAAGTCAGGCTTACTGGAAAGGTGTGTTGGAATGAGTAATTAAATACTACACTTGTTAAAATGTCACACAGGAGAGGAACACAGAATATGTCTCATTATTAAATGTTATTCTTTTATGTGAAAGAGAAATGTTGTAAACGGTTGTATATTTTCTTGTTGCAGGAATTCACAGCATAAGAGTCAGTGAAGTGTCAGTGAAGGCTGGTGGTTCAATCTCAATCCCGTGTCTCTATTCCTCACAATATACAAACCATGTGAAATACTTGTGTAAAGGATACGATTGGAACACCTGCACTTATCAAGTTAAAACAAACCAAAAAAACTCAACAAAGTTTTCAATATCTGATGATAAAATCCAAAAAATCTTCACTGTGACTGTAAATGAACTGACAAATGACAACTCGCATTACTGGTGTGCTGTGGAGATTAATGATGGAGCAGATGAAAGAGAATATTTTCACCTGTCAGTCACCACAGGTAAGAGTCTTCAAGCACATTCAAGCCCTTCAAGCCCTTTACACTCACAAAAAATTAAGCTGTCTCATTATTGTCTTTAGACAATGTTTGTTTTTGGGGCTCCACCATTTTTCTATTTGCTTTCCCTGAAGGTACACGCAGTCTCTACGTGGATAATCAAGAGAAAACAGCATTTCTAGGAGGTGACGTAACCATCAAATGCCACCATCAGAGTAACCCTGGAGAAATGAGGTGGTGCAGGATGGGCAGCTCCTGTGTGACTCAACCGTCTGGATCAATAGATGGAACAGAGGTCACCATCGATACAAATGTCCGCAATGTTTTCAGCGTGACTATGAGAGGACTGAAGACGGAGAGCAGCGGCTGGTATTTATGTGTCAGTGGAAACCTCCAGTTCCCTGTGCGCCTGACTGTTACTGAGCAACCTAACACAAGTAAGTACTACAATTATAAAAGAGAAACATATCGGCTCATAAATGTTTGTGAATGTCAATGAATTTGTGATCCTTTGATTAAACATGGAAGACAGAAGGAAAAAATATTTTTGTTTTACTTATTCTTGTCTTCTGTTTTTTTTTTCTAAATACAAGAAGCACCGTTACAAGAAACAACGCATACAGAGAATCTCTCCACCTTTTTACCCACAACGACACGTACAACAGTTCAGAAGGGACAAAACAGGTTAGAAGGCTTTGAATTGACTTGCAGTGTTTAGAGAACTGTGTCCATTTTATGGTGAATATAACAATTATAAACTGAAATGTATTTAAATGGAATATATTGTATATATACATATGAAGACTGAGTGGTAATACAAAATGTTGAAGTGTGTAATATGGTTGATGAATTCTATTTAATTCCTTTGCATTTTGTGTTTTTATTCACATAGAAGTGCTTCATTTGGCCGAACGGAAACTCTCATCCTTACGAGCGTGTTGATCTTCACTTTAATGGTCGCCTTGTTCTTCTGGATCATGTTGAAAAGACACAGTAAGCAGCTAAACTTAGATGAATATAATTATATCATTTCATTTTTTTCTTTATGTTTTTATATTTATATTGACAGTAATCAGATTCTTTACTGTTTCACATTTAGAGCAGAATAAATCAGCATCTTCAGCAATGAAGGAGGTAAGATGAATAAATGTATTTACACCAAAAAGAAGGAACCACAGAATAAAGGCACTTCTATGAGAGTGGAAATGTCTTTACGTCACATTGATAGGGTGATCATTTAATTGCAAACAATTATACTTTGACTTGCACAACACTGCATCTTAACACCTAATATGTTGATGTGATATCACAGCAAACGATCAGATAGATTAACTGAGCTGTGTCCAACCAAGGTCATTTCTGCTTTGTGTTATTTTTCATGTTTGAGCAAGGCTGATTTTTTGTTGAAAGTGATGTTTCATTGAAACTGTGGGAAAGTACATTTACGGGACATTTATGAACGTTTAAAGGACCCTCTGAATTGTGGTTTGTTTCTTCTGCGCAGGCTGAAGAGGAAGTAACATACAGTGTCGTGAAGCCCAGGAGGAAACCTTCAAGCCAGGTAATCCATGACTGCAGAGATGATCTTAAATCATATACCATTCACAATTGCAACTAAATACACAATAACAATAAAACACAATAAAACAATGTGTAATTATTCAAAAACAGAACCTGTTTGTTCTTCTCCCTCATATAATTCATTTCTTTTACCCAGCGGTCATATGTTGAGCAGGATGCGGATGTGACGTATAGTACTGTGGTTTCCGTGAGGCAACAAAGGGCTCAAAATGTAAATATAAAGAAAACCGAAACTCACTGACTGTGACGTGCTTTTGTTCAGTACTTAATTTTGTTATTGGTCACACTAGATTTTAGAACTTTCTTTGCAGAATGAGACATTCTTTTCCTTCTTCCATTTTCCCATTTGTTGTTTTCCCAACAGGTTGAAGCAGATGAGGAGAATGTCACTTACAGCACGTTGGCTTTGGACTAGTTCTGCTGAGCACACGTGACGCCTGTTTGTTCCACCTTGTCCCTACTTATAATGTTCTGCATGTATTTAGAAAGAAGCATTTCCCTGTTTGTTTGCAACGTGTTTCAGCATATGTTTGAATACACAACTCTTGGCTTTAAATGTTGTGTCATTATTCAGTAGTGTTGGAATATGTTCATTATGTCCTCAGTTGTGGTGATGGTGTAGTACAGTGCTGATCTGTGTTGTGCATGAGCCACAAGGGGGAACTCGTTTGCTTTGCTGTTTTGTTTGTCCCAAAATGTTTTTGCCGTTTTATATGAAGAAGTAATGAAGGCTGTCTGACCGTGAGACTGATGTGTCAGCGGCAGCTCGTGAAATAAATATGCCGAAGACGGCTAAAGATGGCTCATCTGAATCGTCCGCTCTTTTCCTCCGAATGCAACGTTAGCTGCAAGAATGCGAGTAACGCAACTCAACAAATAGCATTAAAGTTCACATTATTCTGACACAGAGAGCAGAGAGAAACCCGACTCGTGAAAAAGGGAAATGATGAGAAGTAGAAATAGATATTTCTTAAATGTTTGAACTTGTAAACCCTCTGTTTACTTTAAAATGTGAACAATGTTACAAATGAATCCATGACACTGCTGCTTAAAAGTGTCAGCCGGGGGCAAATCAATACTTGACAATGAGTATGAGTGTGAATGCTGCTTAAGTAGAGCAGATAATGGGAAATGTGCCGGTGATTAGTCTCTGTACGGGCTTCTTGGGAAATGGAGTCCGGGAAGTCAATGCTCAGGTGATGGGGCCCTCCAGTGGCCATCAGAGGGAGCTAGAGGTCTGATTCATGACAGTTGAGTCAGAGGAAGAAGCTTCTTTTGAAAAACAAACAACTCTCTTTATCAACGGAGGTTCCTTACTCCATTTTTAACCACTGCCCCCCTCCACTCATCAGAGACCCCTGGTTATATACATGTTTATACATTTTCATATTTATACAGGAGATTTAAGTGATTTTTTAACTTATTTTTAATGTAATGGAAATAATTCAGGCACCCAATAATAATTGAAAATATAAAGCAGTATTGCTCCTGTACAATAACTCTGATCCCTTGTTGGCCTCCACCATAGCGTAAAACCAAGGCTGACTTCCGAATGCAGTGTTCTGCTGCAGGACATAAGACCCCCGAAAGGAGTGTTCCTTCACACCCAGGTGTGATCTCTCTCTCTGTGGGTGAAACAGCTCTGAGATCTGATTGGCCAAGCCACAGACACCACAGGGGTCCACACAGGTGTCGACTGTGAGTTCCCCCCCTCACATTTTCTTTCCGAACTGGTGTTCGCCACCGCAAGGTTAAAGACAGCCTCTCTGCAAACTTTCTTTTCGCACTGACCTCAGGTCAGTATGAGGTTAAAGACAAACTGACTCTGGTCAATGTAAGGTTATCATTTATTTTCCCTCTTTAATACCTTTTGTTTTGTGATGTAAGCTAAACAATGTAGATGTGTGTAGTCCCCACCCATAATCAAATATTTAACCAAACAAATATGACCAATTGATTATAAGACGATGAATAAACGCATAAAATGAGGAAGCAACAGAGTTACAGTCAACAACCACAATACAGAAAGTGAAAGTGACATTTCGTTCTGGAGATGGATGCAAACATGACTTCTCAGTATGTTTTTCACCTAATACTTGCTAGACTGATGGGTAAGTGCTAAACTATAGTTGGAATGCAATACATCTATCTGGGCCGGATTTATATTTATTAAGATATTGTTTCTCTATTGCTGTTTGAGTCCTGTACTTTAATTGAGCACAAGACACTAATATGTATCATTAACATTGTGTTTTTATTTAAAAAACGAACTGATGGTCATTCAAAATTCATTTGATCCAACCACTGTAAAATAACAGTCGGTGTGGTTATTCATGAATTCACAGTGAAATTGTGACAGTGGGGACAGTGTCTGTGAGTAGCAAGTGAAAACAAATTGGCTTAAATCGTATCACTGACTCCAAATTTTTTCCTGCTGTGCACTGAATTCAGAGTATCGTTCAACATTCAGTAATACTCAGTAATGTGTGTAAGAGACGTGTTGAAATAATGATTTAGCACAAACTGTTGGACACACAAAAGCACTAGTTTGAATATGGACCAGAATAAATTGAACAATTCAAGAAGTGAGATTATCAGTTTAAATGTTTCGACTTACTTTACTGTCATGATCCAAAGCAAACCTTAAAGATACAGTTCACCCCAGAATCAATGATATAAAAAATGTTTTCATCCCCAATGCTCCAAACAATGGCTTCAATGTGATCCTCTACATACCGCCACAATATCTTTCATTCATATTTTCACTTCATCAGTAATCTCCTGCACATCTGGATTCATTTGAGTTGGATAACTTTGGGGTGTGGTGCAATGTTGTGCATAAATGAGAAATGGCAGAATCAAAGAAATTAAAGTTGACAATGTAATAGGTCTAACTCTTTATTTTTGTGCAAAACCCCCCTGAAAATTAAAAAAAGAAGTCAATACTATTATTTTTAATTCAAGTGTTTTATTATTGTGTGTTTTACTTGTTTTTTTCTATCAATGTAAAACACTTAACTCCAGATTAGCGTAACTATCTAAAAAGGAAGAGGAAGAGAGATGTTACAGTTGCAATTGCATGTTTAGGGAAGTCGGGAAGTAGCAAATTAGTCCGCGCAGCAGCCCGTGATGCTGTTTGTCCGTCTGGTCTCACTAACCGACATGGATGTTCCTCTCAGAGTTCTTCTCATCCTCGCTGGACTCACAGGTCAGTCACAGGGTAATTCTATTTGTTTGTTAAATCAGGCTTACTGGAAAGGTGTGTTGGAATGAGTGATTAAATACTACACTTGTTTAAATATCACACAGGAGAGGAACACAGAATATGTCTCATTATTAAATGTTCTTCTTTTATGTGAATGAGAAATGTTGTAAACGGTTGTATATTTTCTTGTTGCAGGAATTCACAGCATAAGAGTCAGTGAAGTGTCAGTGAAGGCTGGTGGTTCAATCTCAATCCCGTGTCTCTATTCCTCACAATATACAAACCATGTGAAGTACTTGTGTAAAGGATATTATTGGATCTCCTGCACTTATGAAGTTAGAACAGACCAAAGCAACTCAGCAAAGTTTTCAATATCTGATGATAAAATCCAAAAAATCTTCACTGTGACTGTAAATAAACTGACAAATGACGACTTGTATTACTGGTGTGCTGTGGACATTGATGGAGGAGTAGATGACGGAGATTATTTTCACCTGTCAGTCACAACAGGTAAGAGTCTTAAAGCACTTCAAGCCCTTTACACTCACAAAGAATTAAGCTGTCTCATTATTGTCTTTAGACAATGTTTGTTTTTGGGACTCCACCATTTTTCTATTTGATTTCCCTGAAGGTACACGCAGTCTCTACGTGGATAATCAAGAGAAAACAGCATTTCTAGGAGGTGCCATAACCATCAAATGCCACCATCAGCGTAACCCTGGAGAAATGAGGTGGTGCAGGATGGGCAGCTCCTGTGTGAATCAACCGTCTGGATCAATAGATGGAACTAAGGTCACCATCGATACAAATGTCCCCAATGTTTTCAGCGTGACTATGAGAGGACTGAAGACGGAGAGCAGCGGCTGGTATTTATGTGTCAGTGGAAACCTCCAGTTCCCTGTGCGCCTGACTGTTACTGAGCAACCTAACACAAGTAAGTACTGCAATTATAAAAAAGAAACATATCGGCTGATGAATGTTTGTGAATGTCAATGAATTTGTGATCCTTTGATTAAACATTGAAGACAGAAAGAAAAAATATTTTTGTTTTACTTATTCTTGTCTTAAATTTTTTAATATACAAGAAACACCGTTACAAGAGAATGTCTCCACCTTTTTACCCACAACGACACTTACGACAGATCAGGAGCGACAGAACAGGTTAGAAGGCTTTGAATTGACATGCAGTATTTAAAGAACTGTGTCCATTTAATGGTGAATATAACTCTATAATTATCAGGGGAAATGTATTCAAATGGAATATATAGTAGATATAAATTTGAAGACTTAGTGGTGATGAAACATGTTGTAGTGTGTAATACGATTGATGAATTCTATTTAATATCTTTGCATTTTGTGTTTTTATTCACATAGAATTGCTTCATTTGGCCTAACGGAAACCCTCATCCTTACGAGGGTTTTGATCTTCACTTTATTGTCCGCCTTGTTCTTCTGGTTCATGTTGAAAATACACAGTAAGCAGCTGAACTTTGATCAATACAATTGTGTGATTTCATTTTTTTGTTTGTTTTTATATTTGCATGGACAGTAATCAGATTCTTTACTGTTTCACATTTAGAGCAGAATAAATCAGCATCTTCAGCAATGAAGGAGGTAAGATGAATAAATGTATTTTCACCAAAAAGAAGGAGCCACAGAATAAAGGCACTTCTTTGAGAGTGGAAATGTCTTTCCATCACATTGATAGGGTGATCATTTAAGTGCAAATGATACAGAACAACACTGCATCTTAACACCTAATATGTTGATGTGATATCACAGTTAACGATCAGATAGATTAACTGAGCTGTGTCCCAACCATGGTCATTTCTGCTTTGTATTATTTTTTATATTTGAGCAAGGCTGATTTTTTGTTGAAAGTGATGTCTCATTGAAACTGTGGGAAAGTGCATTTACGGGACATTTATGAACGTTTAAAGGACCCTCTGAATTGTGGTTTGTTTCTTCTGCACAGGCTGAAGAGGAAGTAACACATAGTGTGGTGAAGCCCAGGAGGAAACCTTCAAGCCAGGTAATCCATGACTGCAGAGATGATCATAAATCATATACCATTCACAATTGCAACTAAATAAAACAATGTGTAATTAATCAAAAACAGAACCTGTTTGTTCTTATCCCTCATATAATTTACTTTTTTTACCCAGCAGTCATATGTTGAGCAGGATGAGGAATTATAGTTCTGTGGTTTCCATGAGGCAACAAAGGGTTCAAAAGGTATATATAAAGAAATCCGAAACTCACTCACTGTGACGTTCTTTTGTTCAGTACTTAACTTTGTTATCTATTTAGAAAGAAGCAAATTCATTATCATTAAAGCTCACATTATTCTCACAGAGAGAGCAGAGAGAAACCCGACTTGTGAAAAAGGGCAAAGATGAGAAGTTGTCTTAGATGAGAAAACATTTCGGTTTTTCTTTTTTTAAAGAGCCAATCATCCATATTTCATGCTCATTTCCAATAACATTACATTTTCTTAGGTTAGGACAGAGGGGGAGGGTTTCACTCAACCGAAAGAAATGTATAATCTAACGTGTTGAATCATCGCCTCGTTAGTGTCTGAGAGAAAAGCTCAGTTTATTCGAGTGTGTGTTGCTCCAATAAATGTGTTCTGTGGAAGTGTGGGTCCTCAGCACGAGTCAGATAAACCAGTTAGACAATATACAGTAGGAGAACATAGCCAACAACAACAATGATAATTATGCCCATACATACTTTCTTCTGGTATTATTTAAATACCAATAATTTCTTATTTGCTAGCTTTTCATTTGGCGCACAGGGATTACTGCCAGGAGTGAAACCACTAGTCAAAGCATTGTAAAACCTGTTGATAAAAACCTATATAATGTGTTCAAACAGTACTGTACTGCCTCCTTCAGTCGGTTTATGACTACGATCGCTTCTCAGCTTATATATTTCCTAAATGTTTGAACTTGTAAACCCTCTTTTTACTTTAAAATGTGAACAATGTTACTAATGAATCCATGACACTGCTGCTAATCAACATGTTGCAGGCCGAGAACAGATGATCTTACAAAACAGATAAAGTGGGGAAATGTACTTGCTACACATGTCAGAGGAAGAAGCTTTTTTTTTTTTAAAACCAACAACGATCTTGATAAACGGAGGTTCCTTATTCCGTTTTAACCACTGTCCCCCTGCACTTGTCACACCGCGGGGACGTCAAGTTGGGGTTTTGTCTTGTCATTTCCCGTTTTGAAAGATTAACCTTCCTCTCGTTTCAGGTCACTTGCCCCTCATGTGTCACCAGTCGAATTGTCTTCCCTGATTCCTGATTGTGTCCACCTGCTTCCCATTGCCCTCATGTGTCTTATAGTTTGCGCCTCCCTTCCGTCTGCCCAAGCCTGCCACCACAGACGCAGTGAGCCTCGCCTCGCCTCCTCACGAGTGATTTTTTGTTTACAAGTTTACTTAAAAATGACCTTGAGTTTTTTCATAGCATTTTTGGTTTTCCTCCTAATGGAGCGATTTTGAGTTTTCTTTATGTATTCCTCTGTGAAGAGTGATTTTCTGTTTATAGATCATTTCTTTCAGATTTTGTTAATAGCTTTTTTCATAGCTGTTTATTTCATCCAGTGTGGGAGAGCCTAATAAAGACGACCTAATATGTCCACCCTTCTGCCCCGGAGTCCTTTTTAAAGTCCTGGTCTGACAGCGCTCATCAAAGCCACCTGGTTATATTCATGTTTATACATTTTCATATTTATATACGAGATTTAAGTAATGTTATAGTTCTGCTCCTGTACATTAACTCGTATCCCTTGTTGGCCTCCACCATAGCGTAAAACCAAGGCTGACCTCGGAATGCAGTGTTCTGCTGTAGCGGTGAATAGTAGCGGCGACGCGTTCCAACATTACATTACATGTCATTTAGCTGACGCTTTTATCCAAAGCGACGTACAAAAAGTACATTCAACCATAGGGTACAAACTCAGGAGAACAAGAAACAAGAAAGTGCAATTTCCTCAAATAAGCCAATTTACAATTTGCTATAGATGAGTGACGTTACAAGTACAATTTAAGTGCTACAATTTGTTAGTCTTTAGTCGAGGTAGAGTCTGAAGAGGTGTGTCTTTAGTTTGCGGCGGAAGATGTGAAGGCTCTCTGCGGTCCTGGTGTCTTCAGAGAGCTCGTTCCACCATTTCGGCGCAAGGACAGCGAAGAGTCGAGACCTAGTTGAGTGTTTTGCTCTCAGTGAGGGAGGGACGAGTAGTTTTGCAGATGCAGAGCGGAGAGTGCGGGTTGGGATGTAGGGTTTGACCATGTCCTGGATGTAAGCTGGACCCGATCCATTCACAGCATGGTACGTGAGCACCAATGTTTTGAACTGGATGCGGGCGGCCACCGGTAGCCAGTGAAGAGAGCGGAGGAGTGGAGTAGTGTGGGAGAATTTCGGAAGGTTGAAGACCAGTCGAGCTGCTGCATTCTGAATGAGCTGCAGAGGTCGAATGGCGGTGGCAGGGAGACCTGCCAGGAGGGAGTTGCAGTAGTCCAGGCGGGAGATGACAAGAGCCTGAATCAGTACCTGCGCTGCCTTCTGAGTGAGAAGGGGACGTATTCTCCTGATATTGTAGAGCGTGTATCTACAGGATCGCGTTGTCGCGGCAATGTTGGGAGTCAGGGAGAGTTGGCTGTCGAGTGTGACGCCGAGGTTCTTAGCGGTCGAGGTGGGCGTTAGTACGGAGTTCCCAAATTTGACTGTCAGGTCCTGGGTAAGCGAATCTTTTCCGGGAAAGAGAAGTAGTTCAGTCTTGTCGGGGTTGATTTTCAGATGGTGGGCGGACATCCACTGAGAGATGTCAGTTAGACAGGCAGAGATCCGAGCCGCCACCTGGGTGTCCGAGTGAGGGAAGGAGAGAATTAGTTGGGTGTCATCGGCATAGCTGTGGTAAGAGAAGCCATGCGAGCGAATGACAGTGCCAAGAGAGTTTGTGTAAAGCGAAAACAGGAGGGGACCCAGCACGGAACCCTGAGGAACTCCAGTAGTAAGAGGACAAGGTTCCGACACAGATCCTCGCCAGGTTACCCGGTAGGTGCGACCATCGAGGTAGGACGAGAGAAGGGAGAGAGCAGAGCCTGTGACACCAAGTTCCTGAAGGGAGGAAATAAGGATCTGGTGGTTGACTGTGTCAAATGCAGCAGAGAGGTCCAGAAGGATGAGGACAGAGGAGAGAGAGGCGGCTCTAGCAGTGTGGAGTTGCTCAGAGACAGCAAGGAGAGCAGTCTCTGTGGAGTGGCCTGCCTTGAAACCTGACTGGTGGGGGTCAAGGAGGTTGTTACAGTGGAGATAAGAGGAGAGTTGATTAAAGATAGCATGTTCAAGTGTTTTGGACAAAAAGGGAAGAAGAGAGACCGGTCTGTAGTTGTTTTCTTCAGAAGGGTTGAGGGTGGGTATCTTCAGGAGAGGGTTGACTCTTGCCTCCTTCAGAGAATTGGGAAAACAGCCAGATATCAGAGCGTTGTTGATGAGACAGGTGAGGAACGGAAGAAGGTCAGGTGCAATAGATTGTAGAAGATGTGATGGAATGGGGTCAAGAGGGCAGGTGGTCGGACGGGCAGAGGTTACTAGGGTAAGAATTTGGTTAGGAGAGAGGGCGGTGAAAGAGGAAAGTGAGGGCGAAAGAGGTGAGGTCGGTGGGACGCGAGAAGTAGGAGGTGGGTTAGAGAAGGAGGAGCGTATGTCAGCTATTTTCTTGGTGAAGTAGTTGACAAAGTCTCCCGGAAGAAGGGTGGAGGGGGGAGGAGGGGTAGGGGGTTCGAGGAGATTGGAGAAGATCGAGAAGAGTTTTTTGGGGTTAGAGAATGAGGATTCAATTTTGGATTGGTAGAAAGAGCTTTTGGCAGCAGAGATAGAAGCAGAAAACGAGGAGAGGAGAGATTGAAATTCGAGCAGGTCGTCAGGTCGTTTATATTTACGCCATTTCCTTTCCGACGCTCGCATGGTGGCTCTCATGGCACGGACCGGTTGAGACAGCCACGGAGCCGGAGGGGATTTGCCAGTCCGTCGTGTCGTAAGAGGGCAGAGAGAGTCTAGAGAGGAGGAAAGAGTTGAGAGGAGAGACTCTGCAGCAGCGTTTGGGTGCAAGAGTGAGAAGGAGTCAGTTGAAGGGAGAGCTGATAGAACAGAGGATGCCAGCGAGGAGGGAGAGAGGGAGCGAATATTGCGACGAGCCGGTATAGAGTTAGTCAATGAGGGAGGTTTGTTAGTTATAGAGAGTGGAAGGGAGTAAGAGATGAAGAAGTGATCAGACACATGAAGTGGAGTTACAGAGAGGTTAGTGGTAGAGCAGTTTCTAGTAAAGATGTAGTCAAGGTGATTGCCGGCTTTGTGAGTAGGAGGAGAGGGACTGAGTGACAGAGCGAAGGAAGAAAGTAGGTGTAAGAGGTCAGGTGACTTCTCTGTCTGGATGTTGAAGTCACCCAGGAGGATGAGCGGAGGTCCATTTTCGGGGAAATTAGACAGGAGAATGTCCAGTTCTTCCAAGAAATGACCTAAGGAGCCTGGCGGACGGTAGAGGACAATGATGGTTAATTGTACCGGGTGAGTGATTGTTACAGCATGGAATTCAAAGGACAATGGGGTGGATGGTGGTAGAGGGTAGAGAGAAAAGCTCCATTTGGGTGAAATGAGTAGAGCTGTGCCACCACCCCTACCAGTGGGCCTGGGAGTGTGGCTGAAGGAGAAGGCGGAGGAGAGAGCGGCTGGGGTGGATGTGTTCTCAGGTGTGATCCAGGTCTCGGTCAGAGCGAGGAAGTCCAGTGACTGCTGGATAGCGAAGCCGGAGATGAAGTCAGCCTTGCGAGTCGCTGACTGGCAGTTCCAGAGACCTCCTGTGACGAGGTGCTGGACGTGTGTGGAGCGGCAACAGCGCCAAACGAGTCGATGTGAATAAAACAACTCTGATCAGTCAGAAGAAGTCAGCCACGTGAACAGATGGACCCCTAGTGGTGCTCAAGCACCTGCCCTTTTGCCCTGGATGAGAAAAGTGCCCCTTCTGCTCAAGCCCTTTTTTTTCTTCATTCATCAATATTTAAAATAAAAATTACTCTCTCTGCCATCAATTCCCCGCAAGTGTGTTTTGATATCTGACCGCATCGGCGTAACCACGTATTCTTTGGGGGGGGTCGTGTCCCCCACAAATATTGAAAAGGTACCAATCTGCCCCCCAAATATACAGCAGAGAATATGTAAAATATATCTATGTAGGACATATGGACCGTACAGCCGGCCCGCGTTTGGTCGAAGTGGGCAGTAACTGGCGCGAACCTGAAATGAGTTTGACACCTTAGGGTAGAGTAATGGAGGATTTTAGGATTTAGGATTTCACGTTTTTTTTTCAGACAGTAAGTAACTTGATTCCGAGCTAAATGTGTAAGCAAATAAAACGGGTAGTATTATAAAAACAAGAGTCGCTGTTTTTCTGAGGAAATGGCGCGTGATCACAATGCAGGCGTCACAGAGAGACAGGCAAGATGAAATCAGTGGCCAGACAGGGACGATCTCTTGACATGCAGATGATCAGGTGAGAAATTAATGTGAAATTTAATGCAATTTAGTATTGCACATAGACAGTGATTTTAAGTATGTAGCTAAGTAAGTGGTCCTCCTTTTTCCATTGGAAGCGATCCTATTTGCTACAGTACTACTGGAAAAGCATAATTGTAATTGGTAGGTGTGTTTAAGGTCAGTAAATAGTAAGCAACTCACCAAAACAAAGTGGAGGGGCAGTTACTGTCACAGAGAAATTACACTATTCCTTTAGATGTGAATTTAAATGGTCAATGTCGTCCTCAAAACTATGTTTTAAATGTGCGAATTTACATATAGAAATATAGAATTGTAGGCCATGCACTTAACAAAAAATAATAATGTGGGGAATGGTATTCATTTGGACCCCAATGTCTAAACCATGGTTACGCCATTGTCTGACCGGCATTTATTTCAGTTCTTTTGAGAATGTTTCCAAAAAAAATGAAATAACAGAAAACAAAATCCGTGATTTCAAAGCCTCGCTTGACAAAGCCTTGATGTTTGATGTTTGAGGGAGATAGAGATTCTATGTCTGTCTGTCTGTAGACGTGTCATTTGAAGGCAGTTTTACTGTTCTACAAATTAGAAAAGTTCACTAGTTTTGTTGAATTGAATTGAATTATTAAAAGCAAAGGTAGGTCTTAAGTTGAGCTAAACAACAGCAGTGAGGTATATTGTGGTATACTATTAGTGTCATGCTGCTTATCCTTCAAAAATGTGTGTGTGTGTTGTCAGCTTTGTAGAGATTAGGTAAGTCACTCTTAATTATTATGCACAACATTGTTTATCTCATTTACAAAATTGGCAGCATAATGCCAAGAAACCGAGAGACTCCAAAAGAAGAAGGTCAGGGAACTGCAGCAGCGCGACCGTTAGTTGTCATGTCAGCTTTTAGCTCTGACGCAATTCGCTGAGAAAAAAGGCCAGAAATGCTGTAACGGGTTTCAGGCAATGCAAGCTTTAGCAGCCATTTTTGCCGACGGGTGCCCTTTTCATTTGAGCACCTGCTCCCCAAAATGTCTGTGCACGTGCCTGAGAAGAAGGGTCATAAGTCACAAGCATTCCGTACATTCTTGGTCATTACCTTACTGGACTCCGCCTGGGTTGCTTTGGAATGAAATTAAATGCGTCCGTTAGTAAGCAAGGATTGCTAGTTAGCGTTAGCATTAGTTTCGGTAATCTCCCGCGGATGTGACGTCACGGCATTTTTTTTATCGATGGCACGATCGAGCTATTGAGCAGCCCTGCGCTATATGAATACTTGATACCTAAGCAGAATTTTTCGTTCACATTAAAAAATATATATATATATCTCGTTTAATTTAGAATGGGCTCCTGTCGTTTATTCAGTTTTCAACACAACACAGGCGACACTCCCAACAGAGCAAACCTTTGATATGCAAAACGACTGGTCCAATTCAAATTAGCCAGACGAGTTTACTGTGACAAGAACTAACATGTGGGATTATCGTCAAATTTCTAATTCATCCCTCATAGGGCTCACAAATTGGGATTTATCCTGACGCACATTACTCTACCATTGCTGATACTCAACATGCAGCAGCCCAGCAGCAGGTAAACCAGATGACTACTTCTTATTTTCTTCAACACAGTATAAAAGTGAGTAGCAGCTGAAAACAAATCGGCTTAAATCGTATTACTGACTGCACATTTTATTAAGCAGAGAAATATACCGGAAGAGAGAGTGATTTATAGTACTATTGTAATGAAGGATGGCGTGCAACAAAAGTGTATGGGATTCATCTAAATTCATTTTTTTAACTCTTTTACAGTATATAAGTTTATGGTAAGTCAGTAATGATTTACTGTTCTCCTCTCTGTGCTTGTTGTCTTCTTAGACTGAACCAGTAGGATGAAGTGTGATCTACAGCACACGACAGATTCAGAGAATGTGAGGACATTAATCCTGGAAGCTGATGAAGTAATCCTGCTGTACACTGAATTCTGAGTATCGTTCACCATTCAGAACTACTCAGTATTGTGTGTAAGAGGCGTGTTGAAATAATGATTTGGCACAAACTGTTGGACACACAAAAGCACTAGTTTGAATATGGACCAAAATAAATTTCAACAATTCAAGAAGTGAGATTATCAGTTTAAATGTTTCGACTTACTTTACTGTCATGATCCAAAGCAAACCTTAAAGACACAGTTCACCCCAGAATCAATGATATAAAAAATGTTTTCATCCCCAATGCTCCACACAATGGCTTCAATGTGATCCCCTACATACCGCCACGATATATTTCATTCATATTTTCACTTCATCAGTAATCTCCAGCACATCTGGATTCATTTGAGTTGGATAACTTTGGGGTGCAATGTTGTGCATAAATGAGAAATGGCAGACTCAAAGAAATGAAAGTTAACAATGTAATATTTCTAACTCTTTATTTTTGTGCAAAAACCCCCTAAAAATTAAAAAAAGAAGTCAGTACTATTATTTTTAATTCAAGTGTTTTATTATTGTGTGTTTTACTGTTTTTTTCTGTCAATGTGAAACACTTTACTCCGGAAAAGCATATTTGTCTAAAAAGGAAGAGGAAGAGAGATGTTGCAGTTGCAATTGCATGTTTAGGGAAGTCAGGAAGTAGCAAATTAGTCCGCGCAGCAGCCCGTGAGGCTGTTTGTCCGTCTGGGCTCACTAACCGACATGGATGTTCCTCTCAGAGTTCTTCTCATCCTCGCTGGACTCACAGGTCAGTCACAGGGTAATTCTATTTGTTTGTTAAGTCAGGCTTACTGGAAAGGTGTGTTGGAATGAGTAATTAAATACTACACTTGTTTAAATGACACACAGGAGAGGAACACAGAATATGTCTCATTATTAAATGTTATTCTTTTATGTGAAAGAGAAATGTTGTAAACGGTTGTATATTTTCTTGTTGCAGGAATTCACAGCATAAGAGTAAGTGAAGTGTCAGTGAAGGCTGGTGGTTCAATCTCAATCCCGTGTCTCTATTCCTCACAATATACAAACCATGTGAAGTACTTGTGTAAAGGATATTATTGGATCTCCTGCACTTATGAAGTTAGAACAGACCAAAGCAACTCAGTAAAGTTTTCAATATCTGATGATAAAATCCAAAAAATCTTCACTGTGACTGTAAATGAACTGACAAATGACGACTCGTATTACTGGTTTGCTGTGGAGAATAATGATGGAGCAGATGACGGGTATCGTTTTCACCTGTCAGTCACCACGGGTAAGAGTCTTAAAGCACTTCAAGCCCTTTACACTCACAAAAAATTAAGCTGTCTCATTATTGTCTTTAGACAATGTTATTTTTTGGGACTCCACCATTTTTCTATTTGATTTCCCTGAAGGTACAAGCAGTCTCTACGTGGATAATCAAGAGAAAACAGCATTTCTAGGAGGTGACATAACCATCAAATGCCACCATCAGCGTAACCCTGGAGAAATGAGGTGGTGCAGGATGGGCAGCTCCTGTGTGACTCAACGGTCTGGATCAATAGATGGAACAGAGGTCACCATCAACACAAATGTCCCCAATGTTTTCAGCGTGACTATGAGAGGACTGAAGACGGAGAGCAGCGGCTGGTATTTATGTGTCAGTGGAAACCTCCAGTTCCCTGTGCGCCTGACTGTTACTGAGCAACCTAACACAAGTAAGTACTACAATTATAAAAGAAAAACATATCGGCTGATGAATGTTTGTGAATGTCAATGAATTTGTGATCCTTTGATTAAAGATAAAAGACAGAAGGAATAAATATTTTTGTTTTACTCATTTTTTTTCATATACAAGAAAAACCAGTTACAAGAAACAACGATTACAGAGAATGTCTCCACCTTTTTACCCACAACGACACCTACAACAGTTCAGGAGGAACAAAACAGGTTAGAAGGCTTTGAATTGACATGCAGTATTTAAAGAACTGTGTCCATTTAATGGTGAATATAACTCTATAATTATCAGGGGAAATGTATTCAAATGGAATATATAGTAGATATAAATTTGAAGACTGAGTGGTAATAAAACATGTTGTAGTGTGTAATACGGTTGATGAATTCTATTTAATTTCTTTGCATTTTGTGTTTTTATTCACATAGAAATGCTTCATTTTGCCGAACGGAAACCCTCATTCTTACGAGTGTGTTGATCTTCACTTTATTGTCCGCCTTGTTCTTCTGGTTCATGTTGAAAATACACAGTAAGCAGCTGAACTTTGATCAATACAATTGTGTCATTTTATTTTTTTCCTTATGTTTTTATATTTGCATTGACAGTAATCAGATTCTTTACTGTTTCACATTTAGAGCAGAATAAATCAGCATCTTCAGCAATGAAGGAGGTAAGATGAATAAATGTATTTTCACCAAAAAGAAGGAGCCACAGAATAAAGGCACTTCTTTGAGAGTGGAAATGTCTTTACATCACATTGATAGGGTGATCATTTAAGTGCAAATGATACAGAACAACACTGCATCTTAACACCTAATATGTTGATGTGATATCACAGTTAACGATCAGATAGATTAACTGAGCTGTGTCCAACCAAGGTCATTTCTGCTTTGTGTTATTTTTTATATTTGAGCAAGGCTGATTTTTTGTTGAAAGTGATGTCTCATTGAAACTGTGGGAAAGTGCATTTACGGGACATTTATGAACGTTTAAAGGACCCTCTGAATTGTGGTTTGTTTCTTCTGCGCAGGCTGAAGAGGAAGTAACACACAGTGTCGTGAAGCCCAGGAGGAAACCTTCAAGCCAGGTAATCCATGACTGCAGAGATGATCATAAATCATATACCATTCACAATTGCAACTAAATAAAACAATGTGTAATTAATCAAAAACAGAACCTGTTTATTCTTCTCCCTCATATAATTCATTTCTTTTGTTCAGTGCTTAATTTTGTTATTGGTCACACTAGAATTTAGAACTTTCTTTGCAGAATGAGACATTCTTTTCCTTCTTCCATTTCCCATTTGTTGTTGTTTTCCCAACAGGTTGAAGCAGATGAGGAGAATGTCACATACAGCACGTTGGCTTTGGACTAGTTCTGCTGAGCACACGTGACGCCTGTTTGTTCCACCTTGTCCCTACTTATAATGTTCTGCATGTATTTAGAAAGAAGCATTTCCCTGTTTGTTTGCAACGTGTTTCAGCATATGTTTGTTAAACTCTTGGCTTTAAATGTTGTGTCATTATTCAATAGCATTAAAGTTCACATTATTCTGACACAGAGAGCAGAGAGCAACCCGACTCGTGACAAAAAGGAAATGATGAGAAGTTCTCTTTGATTATTTAAATAAAAGCAAAAGGTTTTTTTTGCCAGGATATGAGAAAATATTTTGGGTTTGCTTCTTTTAAAGAGCCAATCATCCATATTTCATGTTCATTTCCAATAATATTATATTACGTTAAAACGGGACACTAGCAGTGGGACACGGTCTCATCAGTGTGTGTGTGTGTGTGTAGGCGCGAGGAGACAGAACGGGGGGGTGAGACGGGGTCAACGACAGCAATGAGGAAGCCAGGCCGACATCGATGTAGCACAGAGGGCGGGGGGGCAGGTGAAGGGGGGGTAGTGTGAAAACATCAAAAGGACAGTTTTTCTGTTTGGACAGAGGGGGGAGGTTTCACTCAATCGGATGATGAAAGAAATGTATAAACTAACGTGTTGTATCATCGCCTCATTAGTGTCTGAGAGAAAGCTCAGTTTATTAGTGTGTGTGTTGCTCCAATAAATATCTGTGAATTGAAGAATCCGAATGTCCAGTGTGTTCTGTGGATGTGTGTCGGTAAGAGTTCCTGGTCTGTGAGGGTGTGTGGGTCCTCAGCACGAGTCACATAGATAAACGAGTTAGAGAATATAGGAGAAAACAGTTAAAACTGTAAAGAATTAGCCAACAACAATGATAATTATGCCCCACTATACTTTTTTCTGGTATTATTTAAATACCAATAATTTCCTATTTATTGCCTTTCATTTGTCTCACAGGGATTACTGCCAGGAGTGCAACCACTAGTCAAAGCATTGTAAAAACTGTTGGTAAAAACCCATATAAGGTGTTCAAATAGTACTGTACAGTCGGTTTATGACTACGATGGCTTCTCAGCTTAGATATTTCTTAAATGTTTGATCTTGTAAACCCTCTGTTTACTTTAAAATGTGAACAATGTTACAAATGAATCCATGACACTGCTGCTTAAAAGTGTCAACCGGGGGCAAATCAATACTTGACAATGAGTATGAGTGTGAATGCTGCTTAAGTAGAGCAGATAATGGGAAATGTGCCGGTGATTAGTCTCTGTTCGGGCTTCATGGGAAATGGAGTCCGGGAAGTCAATGCTCAGGTGATGGGGCCCTCCAGTGGCCATCAGAGGGAGCTAAAGGTCTGATTCATGACAGTTGAGTCAGGAAGAAGCTTCTTTTGAAAAACAAACAACTCTCTTTATCAACGGAGGTTCCTTACTCCATTTTTAACCACTGCCCCCCTCCACTCACCAGAGACCCCTGGTTATATTCATGTTTATACATTTTCATATTTATACAGGAGATTTAAGTGATCTTTTAACTTATTTTTTATGTAATGGAAATAACTCAGGCACCCAATAATAATTGAAAATATAAAGCAGTATTGCTCCTGTACATTAACTCTGATCCCTTGTTGGCCTCCACCATAGCGTAAAACCAAGGCTGACTTCCGAATGCAGTGTTCTGCTGCAGGACATAAGACCCCCGAAAGGAGTGTTCCTTCACACCCAGGTGTGATCTCTCTCTCTGGGTGAAACAGCTCTGAGATCTGATTGGCCAAGCCACAGACACCACAGGGGTCCACACAGGTGTCTACTGTGAGTTCCCCCCCTCACATTTTCTTTCCGAACTGGTGTTCGCCACCGCAAGGTTAAAGACAGCCTCCCTGCAAACTTTCTTTTCGCACTGACCTCAGGTCAGCGTGAGGTTAAAGACAAACTGACTCTGGTCAATGTAAGGTTATCATTTATTTTCCCTCTTTAATACCTTTTGTTTTGTGATGTAAGCTAAACAATGTAGATGTGTGTAGTCCCCACCCATATTCAAATATTTAACCAAACAAATATGACCAATTGACTAAAAGACGATGAATAAACGCATAAAATGAGGAAGCAACAGAGTTACAGTCAACAACCACAATACAGAAAGTGAAAGTGACATTCCGTTCTGGAGATGGATGCAAGCATGACTTCTCAGTATGTTTTTCACCTAATACTTGCTAGACTGATGGGTAAGTGCTAAACTATAGTTGGAATGCAATACATATATCTGGGCCTGATTTATATTTATTAAGATATTGTTGCTATATTGCTGTTTGAGTCCTGTACTTTAATTGAGCATTTCAATGAATTTTTATAACTCTTTTACAGTATATTAGTTTATTGTAAGTCAGTAATGATTTACTGTTCTCCTCTCTGTGCTTGTTGTCTTCTTAGAATAAACCAGTAGAAGAAAGTTTGATCTACAGCACACGACAGATTCAGAGAATGTGAGGACATTAATCCTGGAAGCTGATGAAGTAATCCTGCTGTACACTGAATTCTGAGTATCTTTTAACATTCAGTACTACTCAGTATTGTGTGTAAGAGATGTGTTGAAATAAGGATTTGGCAAAAACAGTTGGACACACAAGAGCACTAGTTTGAATATGGACCAAAATAAATTGAACAAATCAGGAAGTGAGATTATCAGTTTAAATGTTTTGACTCACAAGTCACTTTGACTTGGTGCAGCTTTTACAAAACGATTATCTTTATATTGAATACTGTCATGATCCAAAGCAAACCTTAAAGACACAGTTCACCCCAGAATCAATGATGTAAAAACACTAAACATTTTTCTAGTTATGAATCTAGATTGTTTTGCCATGTGTTGCTAGTGTTGGTTACATGCGCTGAAGTGACGTTTGCCTTCTCTCCAGCGTAATGGAACCTGATGGCGCTCGGCTTGTGGTGCTAAAATAGCCACAAAAAACATCCAAAAAAAAACTCAGCAGCATTGTCTATTTCCAGAGATAAGAAGGTGTTGTGAACAGTCCCTTTCATGAGTTTTCATCCCCAATGCTCCACACAATGGCTTCAATGTGATCCTCTACATACCGCCACAATATGTTTCATTCATATTTTCACTTCATCAGTAATCTCCAGCACATCTGGATTCATTTGAGTTGGATAACTTTGGGGTGCAATGTTGGGCATAATGAAGAAATGGCAGAGTCAAAGAAATTAAAATAAACAACCTAACAGGTCTTACTCTTTATTTTGTGCAAATAAAAACTGAATATTAAAAAAAAGAAATCAGTACTATTATTTTTAATTTAAGTGTTTTATTTTTGTGTGTTTTACTTGTTTTTTTTCTATCAATGTAAACCACTTTACTCCGGATTAGCGTAACTATCTAAAAAGGAAGAGGAAGAGAGATGTTGCAGTTGCAATTGTATGTTTAGGGAAGTCAGGAAGTACCAAATTAGTCCGCGCAGCAGCCCGTGATGCTGTTTGTCCGTCTGGGCTCACTAACCGACATGGATGTTCCTCTCAGAGTTCTTCTCATCCTCGCTGGACTCACAGGTCAGTCACAGGGTAATTCTATTTGTTTGTTAAGTCAGGCTTACTGGAAAGGTGTGTTGGAATGAGTAATTAAATACTACACTTGTTTAAATGTCACACAGGAGAGGAACACAGAATATGTCTCATTATTAAATGTTATTCTTTTATGTGAAAGAGAAATGTTGTAAACGGTTGTATATTTTCTTGTTGCAGGAATTCACAGCATAAGAGTCAGTGAAGTGTCAGTGAAGGCTGGTGGTTCAATCTCAATCCCGTGTCTCTATTCCTCACAATATACAAACCATGTGAAGTACTTGTGTAAAGGATATTATTGGCGCTCCTGCACTTATCAAGTTAAAACAAACCAAAAGAACTCAGCAAAGTTTTCAATATCTGATGATAAAATCCCAAAAATCTTCACTGTGACTGTAAATGAACTGACAAATGGCGACTCGCATTACTGGTGTGCTGTGGAGATTAATGATGGACCAGATGACAGAGATTATTTTCACCTGTCAGTCACCACGGGTAAGAGTCTTCAAGCACATTCAAGCACTTCAAGTTCTTTACACTCACAAAAAATTAAGCTGTCTCATTATTGGCTTTGGACAATGTTTGTTTTTGGGACTCCACCATTTTTCTATTTGATTTCCCTGAAGGTACACGCAGTCTCTACGTGGATAATCAAGAGGAAAAAGCCTTTCTAGGAGGTGAAATAACCATCAAATGCCACCACCAGCGTAACCCTGGAGAAATGAGGTGGTGCAGGATGGGCAGCTCCTGTGTGACTCAACGGTCTGGATCAATAGATGGAACAGAGGCCACCATCGATACAAATGTCCCCAATGTTTTCAGCGTGACTATGAGAGGACTGAAGACGGAGAGCAGCGGCTGGTATTTATGTGTCAGTGGAAACCTCCAGTTCCCTGTGCGCCTGACTGTTACTGAGCAACCTACCACAAGTAAGTACTACAATTATAAAAGAGAAACATATCGGCTGATGAATGTTTGTGAATGTCAATGAATTTGTGATCCTTTGATTAAACATGGAAGGCAGAAGGAAAAAATATTTTTGTTTTACTTATTCTTGTCTTCTGTTTTTTTTTTTTTTAAATACAAGAAGCACCGTTACAAGAAACAACGCATACAGAGAATGTCTCCACCTTTTTACCCACAACGACACGTACAACAGTTCAGAAGGGACAGAACAGGTTAGAAGGCTTTGAATTGACTTGCAGTGTTTAGAGAACTGTGTCCATTTTATGGTGAATATAACAATTATAAACTGAAATGTATTTAAATGGAATATATTGTATATATACATTTGAAGACCGAGTGGTAATACAACATGTTGTAGTGTGTAATATGGTTGATGAATTCTATTTAATTCCTTTGCATTTTGTGTTTTTATTCACATAGAATTGCTTCATTTGGCCGAACGGAAACTCTCATCCTTACGAGCGTGTTGATCTTCACTTCATTGTCCGCCTTGTTCTTCTGGTTCATGTTGAAAAGACACAGTAAGCAGCTAAACTTAGATGAATATAATTATATCATTTCATTTTTTTCTTTATGTTTTTATATTTATATTGACAGTAATCAGATTCTTTACTGTTTCCCATTTAGAGCAGAATAAATCAGCATCTTCAGCAATGAAGGAGGTAAGATGAATAAATGTATTTACACCAAAAAGAAGGAACCACAAAATAAAGGCACTTCTTTGTGAGTGGAAATGTCTTTACATCACATTGATAGGGTGATTATTTAAGTGCAAAAAATTATACTTTGACTTGCACAACACTGCATCTTAACACCTAATATGTTGATGTGATATCACAGCAAACGATCAGATAGATTAACTGAGCTGTGTCCCAACCATGGTCGTTTCGTCTTTATATTATTTTTCATATTTGAGCAAGGCTGATTTTTTGTTGAAAGTGATGTTTCATTGAAACTGTGGGAAAGTACATTTACGGGACATTTATGAACGTTTAAAGGACCCTCTGAATTGTGGTTTGTTTCTTCTGCGCAGGCTGAAGAGGAAGTAACATACAGTGTCGTGAAGCCCAGGAGGAAACCTTCACGCCAGGTAATCCATGACTGCAGAGATGATCATAAATCATATACCATTCACAATTGCAAGTAAATAAAACAATGTGTAATTAATCAAAAACAGAACCTGTTTGTTCTTCTCCCCTCATATAATTCACTCCTTTTACTCAGCGGTCATATGTTGAGCAGGATGCGGATGTGACGTATAGTACTGTGGTTTCCGTGAGACAACAAAGGGCTCAAAATGTAAATATAAAGAAAACCGAAACTCACTGACTGTGGCGTGCTTTTGTTCAGTACTTAATTTTGTTATTGGTCACACTAGATTTTAGAACTTTCTTTGCAGAATGAGACATTCTTTTCCTTCTTCCATTTTCCCATTTGTTGTTGTTTTCCCAACAGGTTGAAGCAGATGAGGAGAATGTCACATACAGCACGTTGGCTTTGGACTAGTTCTGCTGAGCACACGTGACGCCTGTTTGTTCCACCTTGTCCCTACTTATAATGTTCTGCATGTATTTAGAAAGAAGCCTTTCCCTGTTTGTTTGCAACGTGTTTCAGCATATGTTTGAATACACAACTCTTGGCTTTAAATGTTGTGTCATTATTCAATAGTGTTGGAATATGTTCATTATGTCCTCAGTTGTGGTGATGGTGTAGTACAGTGCTGATCTGTGTTGTGCATGAGCCACAAGGGGGCACTCGTTTGCTTTGCTGTTTTGTTTGTCCCAAAATGTTTTTGCCGTTTTATATGAAGAAGTAATGAAGGCTGTCTGACCGTGAGACTGATGTGTCAGCGGCAGCTCGTGAAATAAATATGCCGAAGACGGCTAAAGATGGCTCATCTGAATCGTCCGCTCTTTTCCTCCGAATGCAACGTTAGCTGCAAGAATGCGAGTAACGCAACTCAACAAATAGCATTAAAGTTCACATTATTCTGACACAGAGAGCAGAGAGAAACCCGACTCGTGAAAAAGGGAAATGATGAGGAGTAGAAATAGATATTTCTTAAATGTTTAAACTTGTAAACCCTCTGTTTACTTTAAAATGTGAACAATGTTACAAATGAATCCATGACACTGCTGCTTAAAAGTGTCAGCCGGGGGCAAATCAATACTTGACAATGAGTATGAGTGTGAATGCTGCTTAAGTAGAGCAGATAATGGGAAATGTGCCGGTGATTAGTCTCTGTACGGGCTTCTTGGGAAATGGAGTCCGGGAAGTCAATGCTCAGGTGATGGGGCCCTCCAGTGGCCACCAGAGGGAGCTAGAGGTCTGATTCATGACAGTTGAGTCAGAGGAAGAAGCTTCTTTTGAAAAACAAACAACTCTCTTTATCAACGGAGGTTCCTTATTCCATTTTTAACCACTTTCCCCCTCCACTCATCAGAGACCCCTGGTTATATTCATGTTTATACATTTTCATATTTATATAGGAGATTTAAGTGATTTTTTAACTTATTTTTTATGTAATGGAAATAACTCAGGCACCCAATAATAATTGAAAATATAAAGCAGTATTGCTCCTGTACAATAACTCTGATCCCTTGTTGGCCTCCACCATAGCGTAAAACCAAGGCTGACTTCCGAATGCAGTGTTCTGCTGCAGGACATAAGACCCCCGAAAGGAGTGTTCCTTCACACCCAGGTGTGATCTCTCTCTCTGGGTGAAACAGCTCTGAGATCTGATTGGCCAAGCCACAGACACCACAGGGGTCCCCACAGGTGTCGACTGTGAGTTCCCCCCCTCACATTTTCTTTCCGAACTGGTGTTCGCCACCGCAAGGTTAAAGACAGCCTCTCTGCAAACTTTCTTTTCGCACTGACCTCAGGTCAGTGTGAGGTTAAAGACAAACTGACTCTGGTCAATGTAAGGTTATCATTTATTTTCCCTCTTTAATACCTTTTGTTTTGTGATGTAAGCTAAACAATGTAGATGTGTGTAGTCCCCACCCATATTCAAATATTTAACCAAACAAATATGACCAATTGACTAAAAGACGATGAATAAACGCATAAAATGAGGAAGCAACAGAGTTACAGTCAACAACCACAATACAGAAAGTGAAAGTGACATTCCGTTCTGGAGATGGATGCAAGCATGACTTCTCAGTATGTTTTTCACCTAATACTTGCTGGACTGATGGGTAAGTGCTAAACTATAGTTGGAATGCAATACATCTATCTGGGCCTGATTTATATTTATTAAGATATTGTTTCTCTATTGCTGTTTAAGTCCTGTACTTTAATTGAGCACAAGACACTAATATGTATCATTAACATTGTGTTTTTATTTAAAAAACGAACTGATGGTCATTCAAAATTCATTTGATCCAACCACTGTAAAATAACAGTCGGTGTGGTTATTCATGAATTCACAGTGAAATTGTGACAGTGGGGAAAGTGTCTGTGAGTAGCAAGTGAAAACATATTGGCTTAAATCGTATCACTGACTCCAAATTTTATCAAGCAGAAAAATATACTGAAAGAGAGTGTGACATATAGTACCACTGTAACGAAAGATAGCGTGCAACAAATGGTATGGGATTCATTTCAATGAAATTTTATAACTCTTTTACAGTATATTAGTTTATCGTAAGTCAGTAATGATTCACTGTTCTCCTCTCTGTGCTTGTTGTCTTCTTAGACTAAACCAGTAGGATGAAGTGTGATCTACAGCACACGACAGATTCAGAGAATGTGAGGACATTAATCCTGGAAGCTGATGAAGTAATCCTGCTGTACACTGAATTCAGAGTATCTTTCAGCATTCAGTACTACTCAGTATTGTGTGTAAGTGATGTGTTGAAATAATGATTTGTCACAAACAGTTGGACACACAAAAGCACTAGTTTGAATATGGACCAAAATAAATTGAACAATTCAGGAAGTGAGATTATCAGTTTAAATGTTTCGACTTACTTTACTGTCATGATCCAAAGCAAACCTAAAGACACAGTTCACCCCAGAATCAATGATATGAAAAATGTTTTCATCCCCAATGCTCCAAACAATGGCTTCAATGTGATCCTCTACAAACCGCCACGATATCTTTTATTCATATATTCACTTCATCAGTAATCTCCAGCACATCTGGATTCATTTGAGTTGGATAACTTTGGGGTGCAATGTTGTGCATAAATGAGAAATGGCAGACTCAAAGAAATTAAAGTTAACAATGTAATAGGTGTTACTCTTTATTTTTGTGAAAATAAAAACTGAATATTAAAAAAAAGAAATCAGTACTATTATTTTTAATTCAAGTGTTTCAATATTGTGTGTTTTACTGTTTTTTTTCTATCAATGTAAACCACTTTACTCCGGATAAGCGTAACTATCTAAAAAGGAAGAGGAAGAGAGATGTTACAGTTGCAATTGCATGTTTAGGGAAGTCAGGAAGTAGCAAATTAGTCCGCGCAGCAGCCGTGATGCTGTTTGTCCGTCTGGGCTCACTAACCGACATGGATGTTCCTCTCAGAGTTCTTCTCATCCTCGCTGGACTCACAGGTCAGTCACAGGGTAATTCTATTTGTTTGTTAAGTCAGGCTTACTGGAAAGGTGTGTTGGAATGAGTAATTAAATACTACACTTGTTTAAATGTCACACAGGAGAGGAACACAGAATATGTCTCATTATTAAATGTTATTCTTTTTTGTGAAAGAGAAATGTTGTAAACGGTTGTATATTTTCTTGTTGCAGGAATTCACAGCATAAGAGTCAGTGAAGTGTCAGTGAAGGCTGGTGGTTCAATCTCAATCCCGTGTCTCTATTCCTCAAAATATACAAACCATGTGAAGTACTTGTGTAAAGGATACGATTGGAACACCTGCACTTATCAAGTTAAAACAAACCAAAAAAACTCAGCAAAGTTTTCAATATCTGATGATAAAATCCAAAAATTCTTCACTGTGACTGTAAATGAACTGACAAATGACGACTGGCATTACTGGTGTGCTGTGGAGATTAATGATGGAGCAGATGACGGGTATCCTTTTCACCTGTCAGTCACCACGGGTAAGAGTCTTCAAGCACATTCAAGCACTTCAAGTCCTTTACACTCACAAAAAATTAAGCTGTCTCATTATTGTCTTTAGACAATGTTTATTTTTTGGACTCCACCATTTTTCTATTTGATTTCCCTGAAGGTACACGCAGTCTCTACGTGGATAATCAAGAGAAAACAGCATTTCTAGGAGGTGACGTAACCATCAAATGCCACCACCAGCGTAACCCTGGAGAAATGAGGTGGTGCAGGATGGGCAGCTCCTGTGTGACTCAACCGTCTGGATCAATAGATGGAACAGAGGTCACCATCGATACAAATGTCCCCAATGTCTTCAGCGTGACTATGAGAGGACTGAAGACGGAGAGCAGCGGCTGGTATTTATGTGTCAGTGGAAACCTCCAGTTCCCTGTGCGCCTGACTGTTACTGAGCAACCTACCACAAGTAAGTACTACAATTATAAAAGAGAAACATATCGGCTGATGAATGTTTGTGAATGTTAATGAATTTGTGATCATTTAATTAAACATGGAAGACAGAAGGAATAAAGCTGTTAGTTTTACTTAATGTCTTCTTCTTTTTTCATATATACAAGAAGCACCGTTACAAAAAACAACGCATACAAAGATTCTCTCCACCTTTTTACCCACAACGACACCTACAACAGTTCAGATGGGACAAAACAGGTTAGAAGGCTTTGAATTGACTTGCAGTGTTTAGAGAACTGTGTCCATTTAATAGTGAATACAACAATTCTAAAGGGAATTTGATTTAAATGGAGTTTATGGAAAATGTGGTAAAAAAAAATGTTGTAGTGTGTAATACGATTGATGAATTCTATTTAATTTCTTGGCATTTTGTGTTTTTATTCACATAGAAATGCTTCATTTGGCCGAACGGAAACTCTCATCCTTACGAGGGTTCTGATCTTCACTTTATTGTCCGCCTTGTTCTTCTGGTTCATGTTGAAAATACACAGTAAGCAGCTGAGCTTTGATGAATACAATTGTGTGATTTTATTTTTTTCTTCATGTTTTTATATTTGCATGGACAGTAATCAGATTCTTTACTGTTTCCCATTTAGTGCAGAATAAATCAGCATCTTCAGCAATGAAGGAGGTAAGATGAATAAATGTATTTTCACCAAAAAGAAGGAACCACAGAATAAAGACACTTCTTTGAGAGTGAAAATGTCTTTACATCACATTGATAGGGTGATCATTTAAGTGCAAATGATACAGAACAACACTGCATCTTAACACCTAATATGTTGATGTGATATCACAGTTAACGATCAGATAGATTAACTGAGCTGTGTCCCAACCATGGTCATTTCTGCTTTGTATTATTTTTTATATTTGAGCAAGGCTGATTTTTTGTTGAAATGATGTTTCATTGAAACTGTGGGAAAGTACATTTACGGGACATTTATGAACGTTTAAAGGACCCTCTGAATTGTGGTTTGTTTCTTCTGCGCAGAATGAAGAGGAAGTAACATACAGTGTCGTGAAGCCCAGGAGGAAACCTTCAAGCCAGGTAATCCATGACTGCAGAGATGATCACAAATCATATACCATTCACAATTGCAAGTAAATAAAACAATGTGTAATAAATCAAAAACAGAACCTGTTCTTCTCCCTCGTGTAATTTACTTTTTTTACCCAGCAGTCATATGTTGAGCAGGATGAGGAATTATAGTTCTGTGGTTTCCATGAGGCAACAAAGGGTTCAAAAGGTAAATATAAAGAAAACCGAAACTCACTGACTGTGACGTTCTCGAGAAACCCGACTTGTGAAAAAAAGGGCAATGATGAGAAGTTGTCTTAGATTATTTAACTAAAACAAAAAGGGTTTTCGTCAGGATATGAGAAAACATTTAGGTTTTTCTTTTTTTAAAGAGCCAATCATCCATATTTCATGCTCATTTCCAATAACATTATGTTATCTTAGGTTAGGACAGAGGGGGAGGGTTTCACTCAACCGAAAGAAATGTATAATCTAACGTGTTGTATCATCGCCTCGTTAGTGTCTGAGAGAAAAGCTCAGTTTATTTGAGTGTGTGTTGCTCCAATATTTGTGTTCTGTGGATGTGTGGGTCCTCAGCACGAGTCAGATAGATAAACCAGTTAGACAATATACAGTAAGAGAAAATAGCCAACAACAACAATGATAATTATGCCCAAAAATACTTTCTTCTTGTATTATTTAAATACCAATAATTTCTTATTTGCAGCCTTTCATTTGTCTCACAGGGATTACTGCCAGGAGTGAAACCACTAGTCAAAGCATTTTAAAACCTGTTGATAAAAACCTATATAATGTGTTCAAACAGTACTGTACTGCCTCCTTCAGTCGGTTTATGACTACGATCGCTTCTCAGCTTATATATTTCCTAAATGTTTGAACTTGTAAACCCTCTGTTTACTTTAAAATGTGAACAATATTACAAATGAATCCATGACACTGCTGCTAATCAACATGTTGCAGGCCGAGAACAAATGATCTTACAAAACAGATAAAGTGGGGAAATGTACTTGCTACACATGTCAGAGGAAGAAGCTTTTTTTTTTAAAACCAACAACGATCTTGATAAACGGAGGTTCCTTATTCCGTTTTAACCACTGTCCCCCTGCACTTGACACACCGCGGGGACGTCAAGTTGGGGTTTTGTCTTGTCATTTCCCGTTTTCAAAGATTAACCGTAACCTCGTTTCAGGTCACTTGCCCCTCATGTGTCACCAGTCGAATTGTCTTCCCTGATTCCTGATTGTGTCCACCTGCTTCCCATTGCCCTCATGTGTCTTATAGTTTGCGCCTCCCTTCCGTCTGCCCAAGCCTGCCACCACAGACGCAGTGAGCCTCGCCGCGCCTCCTCACGAGTGATTTTTAGTTTACAGGTTTTCTTAAGAATGACCTTGAGTTTTTTAATGGCGTTTTTGGTTTTCCTCCTAATGGAGCGATTTTTTAGTTTTCTTTACGTATTCCTCTGTGAAGAGTGATTTTCTGTTTATAGATCATTTCTTTCAGATTTTGTTAATAGCTTTTTTCATAGCTGTTTATTTCATCCAGTGTGGGAGAGCCTAATAAAGACGACCTAATATGTCCACCCTTCTGCCCCGGAGTCCTTTTTAAAGTCCTGGTCTGACAGCGCTCATCAAAGCCACCTGGTTATATTCATGTTTATACATTTTCATATTTATAGACGAGATTTAAGTAATGTTATAGTTCTGCTCCTGTACATTAACTCGTATCCCTTGTTGGCCTCCACCATAGCGTAAAACCAAGGCTGACCTCGGAATGCAGTGTTCTGCTGTAGCGGTGAATAGTAGCGGCGACGCGCTCCAACAGCGCCAAACGAGTCGATGTGAATAAAACAACTCTGATCAGTCAGAAGAAGTCAGCCACGTGCACAGATGGACCCCTGGTGGTGCTCAAGCACCCGCCCTTTTGCCCTGGATGAGAAAAGTGCCCCTTCTGCTCAAGCCCTTTTTTTTCTTCATTCATCAATATTTAAAATAAAAATTACTCTCTTTGCCATCAATTCCCCGCAAGTGTGTTTTGATATCTGACCGCATCGGCGTAACCACGTATTCTGTGGGTGAGTCGTGTCCCCCCCAATATTGAAAAGGTACCAATCTGTCCCCCCAATATACAGCAGAGAATATGTCAAATATATCTATGTACTTATATGGACCGTACTGCCGGCCCGCGTTCGGTCGAAGTGGGCAGAATCTGGCGCGAACCTGAAATGAGTTTGTCACCTTAGGGTAGAGTAATGGAGGATTTTAGGTTACCTAAAAAGAAGGGAAAACTGTGACAGCAGCCGAGCATTCGCAGTTTTTTTCAGACCGTAAGTAACTTGATATCGAGCTAAATGTGTAAGCAAATAAAACGAGTAGCCTCATAAAATCACGAGTCGCTGTTTTTCTGATGAAATGACGCGTGGTCACAATGCAGGCGTCACAGAGAGACAGGCAAGATGAAAGCAGTGGCCAGACAGTGGTGCAATGTTGTGCATGAATGAGAAAAGGCAGACTCAAAGAAATGAAAGTTAACAATGTAATATTTCTAACTCTTTATTTTTGTGCAAAAACCCCCTGAAAATTAAAAAAAGAAGTACTATTATTTTTAATTCAAGTGTTTTATTATTGTGTGTTTTACTGTTTTTTTTCTGTCAATGTAAAACACTTTACTCCGGATTAGCGTAACTATCTAAAAAGGAAGAGGAAGAGAGATGTTACAGTTGCAATTGCATTTTTAGGGAAGTCAGGAAGTAGCAAATTAGTCCGCGCAGCAGCCCGTGATGCTGTTTGTCCGTCTGGGCTCACTAACCGACATGGATGTTCCTCTTAGAGTTCTTCTCATCCTCGCTGGACTCACAGGTCAGTCACAGGGTAATTCTATTTGTTTGTTAAGTCAGGCTTACTGGAAAGGTGTGTTGGAATGAGTAATTAAATACTACACTTGTTAAAATGTCACACAGGAGAGGAACACAGAATATGTCTCAGTATTAAATGTTATTCTTTTATGTGAAAAATAAATGTTGTAAACGGTTGTATATTTTCATGTTGCAGGAATTCACAGCATAAGAGTCAGTGAAGTGTCAGTGAAGGCTGGTGGTTCAATCTCAATCCCGTGTCTCTATTCCTCACAATATACAAACCATGTGAAGTACTTGTGTAAAGGATACGATTGGATCTCCTGCACTTATCAAGTTAAAACAAACGAAAAAAACTCAACAAAGTTTTCAATATCTGATGATAAAATCCAAAAAATCTTCACTGTGACTGTAAATGAACTGACAAATGGCGACTCGTATTACTGGTGTGCTGTGGAGATTAATGATGGACCAGATGACAGAGATTATTTTCACCTGTCAGTCACCACGGGTAAGAGTCTTCAAGCACATTCAAGCACTTCAAGTCCTTTACACTCACAAAAAATTAAGCTGTCTCATTATTGGCTTTGGACAATGTTTGTTTTTGGGACTCCACCATTTTTCTATTTGATTTCCCTGAAGGTACACGCAGTCTCTACGTGGATAATCAAGAGAAAACAGCATTTCTAGGAGGTGACGTAACCATCAAATGCCACCATCAGCGTAACCCTGGAGAAATGAGGTGGTGCAGGATGGGCAGCTCCTGTGTGACTCAACGGTCTGGATCAATAGATGGAACAGAGGTCACCATCGATAGAAATGTCCCCAATGTTTTCAGCGTGACTATGAGAGGACTGAAGACGGAGAGCAGCGGCTGGTATTTATGTGTCAGTGGAAACCTCCAGTTCCCTGTGCGCCTGACTGTTACTGAGCAACCTAACACAAGTAAGTAATTGTTTAAAAGTCACACAGGAGAGGAACACAGAATATGTCTCAGAATTACATGTTATTCTTTTATGTGAAAGACAAATGTTGTTTGCTATATACCCAGTAAATGGTTGTATATTTTCTTTTTGCAGGACTTCACATCATAAGAGTCAGTGAAGTGTCAGTGAAGGCTGGTGGTTCAATCTCAATCCCGTGTCTCTATTCCTCACAATATACAAACCATGTGAAGTACTTGTGTAAAGGATACGATTGGATCTCCTGCACTTATCAAGTTAAAACAAACGAAAAAAACTCAACAAAGTTTTCAATATCTGATGATAAAATCCAAAAATTCTTCACTGTGACTGTAAATGAACTGACAAATGACGACTTGTACTACTGGTGTGCTGTGGAGATTAATGATGGAGCAGATGACGGGTATCCTTTTCACCTGTCAGTCACCACGGGTAAGAGTCTTCAAGCACATTCAAGCACTTCAAGTCCTTTACACTCACAAAAAATTAAGCTGTCTCATTATTGTCTTTAGACAATGTTTATTTTTTGGACTCCACCATTTTTCTATTTGATTTCCCTGAAGGTACACGCAGTCTCTACGTGGATAATCAAGAGAAAACAGCATTTCTAGGAGGTGACGTAACCATCAAATGCCACCACCAGCGTAACCCTGGAGAAATGAGGTGGTGCAGGATGGGCAGCTCCTGTGTGACTCAACCGTCTGGATCAATAGATGGAACAGAGGTCACCATCGATACAAATGTCCCCAATGTCTTCAGCGTGACTATGAGAGGACTGAAGACGGAGAGCAGCGGCTGGTATTTATGTGTCAGTGGAAACCTCCAGTTCCCTGTGCGCCTGACTGTTACTGAGCAACCTACCACAAGTAAGTACTACAATTATAAAAGAGAAACATATCGGCTGATGAATGTTTGTGAATGTCAATGAATTTGTGATCCTTTGATTAAACATGGAAGACAAAAGGAATAAATATTTTTGTTTTACTTACTCTTTTTTTTTTTAAAGTAGAAACACCGTTACAAGAAACAACGCATGCAGAGAATCTCTCCACCTTTTTACCCACAACGACACCTACAACAGTTCAGGAGGAACAAAACAGGTTAGAAGGCTTTGAATTGACATGCAGTATTTAGAGAACTGTGTCCATTTAATGGTGAATATAACAATTATAAAGGGAAATGTATTTAAATGGAATATATAGTGTATATAAATTTGAAGACTGAGTGGTGATGAAACGTGTTGTAGTGTGTAATACGGTTGATGAATTCTATTTAATTTCTTTGTATTTTGTGTTTTTATTCACATAGAAATGCTTCATTTGGCCGAACGGAAACCCTCATTCTTACGAGGGTTTTGATCTTCACTTTATTGTCCGCCTTGTGCTTCTGGTTCATGTTGAAAATACACAGTAAGCAGCTGAACTTTGATCAATACAATTGTGTTATTTTACTTTTTTTCTTCATGTTTTTATATTTCCATTGACAGTAATCAGAATCTTTACTGTTTCACATTTAGAGCAGAATAAATCAGCATCTTCAGCAATGAAGGAGGTAAGATGAATAAATGTATTTTCACCAAAAAGAAGGAACCACAGAATAAAGGCACTTCTTTGAGAGTGGAAATGTCTTTACATCACATTGATAGGGTGATTATTTAACTGCAAAAATTATACTTTGACTTTGCAGAAGTTTAACTGAACAACACTGCATCTTAACACCTAATATGTTGATGTGATATCACAGCAAACGATCAGATAGCTTAACTGAGCTGTGTCCCAACCATGGTCATTTCTGCTTTATTTGAGCAAGGCTGAATTTTTTTTTGAAAGTGATGTTTCATTGAAACTGTGGGAAAGTACATTTACGGGACATTTATGAACGTTCAAAGGAACCTCTGAATTGTGGTTTGTTTCTTCTGCGCAGGCTGAAGAGGAAGTAACACACAGTGTCGTGAAGCCCAGGAGGAAACCTTCAAGCCAGGTAATCCATGACTGCAGAGAGGATCATAAATCATATACCATTCACAATTGCAAGTAAATAAAACAATGTGTAATTAATCAAAAACATAACCCGTTTGTTCTTCTCCCTCATATAATTTACTTTTTTTACCCAGCAGTCATATGTTGAGCAGGATGAGGAAGTATAGTTCTGTGGTTTCCGTGAGGCAACAAAGTGTTCAAAAGGTAAATATAAAGAAAACCGAAACTCACTGACTGACATGCTTTTGTTCAGTACTTAACTTTGTTATCTATTTAGAAAGAAGCAAATTCATTATCATTAAAGCTCACATTATTCTGACACAGAGAGCAGAGAGAAACCCGACTCGTGAAAAAGGGCAATGATGAGAAGTTGTCTTAGATTATTTACCTAAAACAAAAAGGGGTTTCGTCAGGATATGAGAAAACATTTAGGTTTTTCTTTATTTAAAGAGCCAATCATCCATATTTCATGCTCATTTCCAATAACATTATATTATCTTAGGTTAGGACAGAGGGGGAGGGTTTCACTCACACTTTTTATTCGAGTGTGTGTTGCTCCAATAAATGTGTTCTGTGGATGTGTGGGTCCTCAGCACGAGTCAGAAAAAACCGTTAGACAATATACAGTAAGAGAAAATAGCCAACAACAACAATGATAATTATGCCCAAAAATACTTTCTTCTTGTATTATTTAAATACCAATACTTCCTTATTTGCAGCCTTTCATTTGGTGCACAGGGATTACTGCCAGGAGTGAAACCACTAGTCAAAGCATTTTAAAACCTGTTGATAAAAACCTATATAATGTGTTCAAACAGTACTGTACTGCCTCCTTCAGTCGGTTTATGACTACGATCGCTTCTCAGCTTATATATTTCCTAAATGTTTGAACTTGTAAACCCTCTGTTTACTTTAAAATGTGAACAATATTACAAATGAATCCATGACACTGCTGCTAATCAACATGTTGCAGGCCGAGAACAAATGATCTTACAAAACAGATAAAGTGGGGAAATGTACTTGCTACACATGTCAGAGGAAGAAGCTTTTTTTTTTTAAACAAACAACGATCTTGATAAACGAAGGTTCCTTATTCCGTTTTAACCACTGTCCCCCTGCACTTGTCACACCGCGGGGACGTCAAGTTGGGGTTTTGTCTTGTCATTTCCCGTTTTGAAAGATTTACCTTCCTCTCGTTTCAGGTCACTTGCCCCTCATGTGTCACCAGTCGAATTGTCTTCCCTGATTCCTGATTGTGTCCACCTGCTTCCCATTGCCCTCATGTGTCTTATAGTTTGCGCCTCCCTTCCGTCTGCCCAAGCCTGCCACCACAGACGCAGTGAGCCTCGCCGCGCCTCCTCACGAGTGATTTTTAGTTTACAGGTTTTCTTAAGAATGACCTTGAGTTTTTTAATGGCGTTTTTGGTTTTCCTCCTAATGGAGCGATTTTTTAGTTTTCTTTACGTATTCCTCTGTGAAGAGTGATTTTCTGTTTATAGATCATTTCTTTCAGATTTTGTTAATAGCTTTTTTCATAGCTGTTTATTTCATCCAGTGTGGGAGAGCCTAATAAAGACGACCTAATATGTCCACCCTTCTTCCCCTGAGTCCTTTTTAAAGTCCTGGTCTGACAGCGCTCATCAAAGCCACCTGGTTATATTCATGTTTATACATTTTCATATTTATAGACGAGATTTAAGTAATGTTATAGTTCTGCTCCTGTACATTAACTCGTATCCCTTGTTGGCCTCCACCATAGCGTAAAACCAAGGCTGACCTCGGAATGCAGTGTTCTGCTGTAGCGGTGAATAGTAGCGGCGACGCGCTCCAACAGCGCCAAACGAGTCGATGTGAATAAAACAACTCTGATCAGTCAGAAGAAGTCAGCCACGTGAACAGATGGACCCCTGGTGGTGCTCAAGCACCTGCACTTTTGCTCGGGATGAGAAAAGTGCCCCTTCTGCTCGAGCCCTTTTTTTTCTTCATTCATCAATATTTAAAATAAAAATTACTCTCTCTGCCATCAATTCCCCGGAAGTGTGTTTTGATATCTGACCGCATCGGCGTAACCACGTATTCTGTGGGGGAGTCGTGTCCCCCCCAATATTGAAAAGGTACCAATCTGTCCCCCCAATATACAGCGGAGAATATGTAAAATATATCTATGTACTTATATGGACCGTACTGCCGGCCCGCGTTCGGTCGAAGTGGGCAGAATCTGGCGTGAACCTGAAATGAGTTTGTCACCTTAGGGTAGAGTAATGGAGGATTTTAGGTTACCTAAAAAGAAGGGAAAACTGTGACAGCAGCCGAGCATTCGCAGTTTTTTTCAGACCGTAAGTAACTTGATATCGAGCTAAATGTGTAAGCAAATAAAACGAGTAGCCTCATAAAAGCACGAGTCGCTGTTTTTCTGATGAAATGACGCGTGGTCACAATGCAGGCGTCACAGAGAGACAGGCAAGATGAAAGCAGTGGCCAGACAGTGGTGCAATGTTGTGCATGAATGAGAAATGGCAGACTCAAAGAAATCAAAGTTAACATTGTAATATTTCTAACTCTTTATTTTTGTGCAAAAACCCCCTGAAAATTAAAAAAAGAAGTACTATTATTTTTAATTCAAGTGTTTTATTATTGTGTGTTTTACTGTTTTTTTTCTGTCAATGTAAAACACTTTACTCCGGATTAGCGTAACTATCTAAAAAGGAAGAGGAAGAGAGATGTTACAGTTGCAATTGCATGTTTAGGGAAGTTAGGAAGTAGCAAATTAGTCCGCGCAGCAGCCGTGATGCTGTTTGTCCGTCTGGGCTCACTAACCGACATGGACGTTCCTCTCAGAGTTCTTCTCATCCTCGCTGGACTCACAGGTCAGTCACAGGGTAATTCTATTTGTTTGTTAAGTCAGGCTTACTGGAAAGGTGTGTTGGAATGAGTGATTAAATACTACACTTGTTAAAATGTCACACAGGAGAGGAACACAGAATATGTCTCATTATTAAATGTTATTCTTTTATGTGAAAGAGAAATGTTGTAAACGGTTGTATATTTTCTTGTTGCAGGAATTCACAGCATAAGAGTCAGTGAAGTGTCAGTAAAGGCTGGTGGTTCAATCTCAATCCCGTGTCTCTATTCCTCACAATATACAAACCATGTGAAATACTTGTGTAAAGGATACGATTGGAACACCTGCACTTATCAAGTTAAAACAAACCAAAAAAACTCAACAAAGTTTTCAATATCTGATGATAAAATCCAAAAAATCTTCACTGTGACTGTAAATGAACTGACAAATGGCGACTCGCACTACTGGTGTGCTGTGGAGATTAATGGAGGAGGAGATGACAGGTATCTTTTTCACCTGTCAGTCACCACGGGTAAGAGTCTTCAAGCACATTCAAGCACTTCAAGTCCTTTACACTCACAAAAAATTAAGCTGTCTCATTATTGTCTTTAGACAATGTTTATTTTTGGGACTCCACCATTTTTCTATTTGATTTCCCTGAAGGTACACGCAGTCTCTACGTGGATAATCAAGAGAAAACAGCATTTCTAGGAGGTGCCATAACCATCAAATGCCACCACCAGCGTAACCCTGGAGAAATGAGGTGGTGCAGGATGGGCAGCTCCTGCGTGACTCAACGGTCTGGATCAATAGATGGAACAGAGGTCACCATCAACACAAATGTCCCCAATGTTTTCAGCGTGACTATGAGAGGACTGAAGACGGAGAGCAGCGGCTGGTATTTATGTGTCAGTGGAAACCTCCAGTTCCCTGTGCGCCTGACTGTTACTGAGCAACCTACCACAAGTAAGTACTACAATTATAAAAGAGAAACATATCGGCTCATGAATGTTTGTGAATGTCAATGAATTTGTGATCCTTTGATTAAACATGGAAGACAGAAGGAATAAATATTTTTGTTTTACTTACTCTTTTTTTTTTTAAGTAGAAACACCGTTACAAGAAACAACGCATACAGAGAATGTCTCCACCTTTTTACCCACAACGACACCTACAACAGTTCAGGAGGAACAAAAGAGGTTAGAAGGCTTTGAATTGACTTGCAGTGTTTAGAGAACTGTGTCCATTTAATGGTGAATATAACAATTATAAAGGGAAATGTATTTAAAAGGAATATATAGTGTATATAAATTTGAAGACTGAGTGGTAATAAAACATGTTGTAGTGTGTAATACGGTTGATGAATTATATTTAATTCCTTTGCATTTTGTGTTTTTATTCACATAGAATTGCTTCATTTGGCCGAACGGAAACCCTCATTCTTACGAGGGTTTTGATCTTCACTTTATTGTCCGCCTTGTGCTTCTGGTTCATGTTGAAAATACACAGTAAGCAGCTGAACTTTGATCAATACAATTGTGTTATTTTACTTTTTTTCTTCATGTTTTTATATTTCCATTGACAGTAATCAGAATCTTTACTGTTTCACATTTAGAGCAGAATAAATCAGCATCTTCAGCAATGAAGGAGGTAAGATGAATAAATGTATTTTCACCAAAAAGAAGGAACCACAGAATAAAGACACCTCTTTGAGAGTGGAAATGTCTTTACGTCACATTGATAGGGTGATCATTTAAGTGCAAAAATTATACTTTGACTTTGCAGAAGTTTAACTGAACAACACTGCATCTTAACACCTAATATGTTGATGTGATATCACAGTTAACGGTAAGATAGATTAACTGAGCTGTGTCCCAACCATGGTCATTTCTGTTTTATTTGAGCAAGGCTGAAGTTTTTTTTTGAAAGTAATGTTTCATTGAAACTGTGGGAAAGTACATTTACGGGACATTTATGAACGTTTAAAGGACCCTCTGAATTGTGGTTTGTTCTTCTGCGCAGGCTGAAGAGGAAGTAACACACAGTGTCGTGAAGCCCAGGAGGAAACCTTCAAGCCAGGTAATCCATGACTGCAGAGATGATCATAAATCATATACCATTCACAATTGCAAGTAAATGAAACAATGTGTAATTAATCAAAAACATAACCCGTTTGTTCTTCTCCCTCATATAATTTACTTTTTTTACCCAGCAGTCATATGTTGAGCAGGATGAGGAAGTATAGTTCTGTGGTTTCCGTGAGGCAACAAAGGGTTCAAAAGGTAAATATAAAGAAAACCGAAACTCACTGACTGACATGCTTTTGTTCAGTACTTAACTTTGTTATCTATTTAGAAAGAAGCAAATTCATTATAATTAAAGCTCACATTATTCTGACACAGAGAGCAGAGAGAAACCCGACTTGTGAAAAAAAGGGCAATGATGGGAAGTTGTCTTAGATTATTTAACTAAAACAAAAAGGGTTTTCGTCAGGATATGAGAAAACATTTAGGTTTTTCTTTTTTTAAAGAGCCAATCATCCATATTTCATGCTCATTTCCAATAACATTATATTATCTTAGGTTAGGACAGAGGGGGAGGGTTTCACTCAACCGAAAGAAATGTATAATCTAACGTGTTGTATCATCGCCTCGTTAGTGTCTGAGAGAAAAGCTCAGTTTATTCGAGTGTGTGTTGCTCCAATATTTGTGTTCTGTGGATGTGTGGGTCCTCAGCACGAGTCAGATAAACCAGTTAGACAATATACAGTAGGAGAACATAGCCAACAACAACAATGATAATTATGCCCATACATATACTTTCTTCTGGTATTATTTAAATACCAATAATTTCTTATTTGCTGGCTTTTCATTTGGCGCACAGGGATTACTGCCAGGAGTGAAACCACTAGTCAAAGCATTGTAAAACCTGTTGATAAAAACCTATATAATGTGTTCAAACAGTACTGTACTGCCTCCTTCAGTCGGTTTATGACTACGATCGCTTCTCAGCTTATATATTTCCTAAATGTTTGAACTTGTAAACCCTCTTTTTACTTTAAAATGTGAACAATGTTACTAATGAATCCATGACACTGCTGCTAATCAACATGTTGCAGGCCGAGAACAAATGATCTTACAAAACAGATAAAGTGGGGAAATGTACTTGCTACACATGTCAGAGGAAGAAGCTTTTTTTTTTTAAAACCAACAACGATCTTGATAAACGGAGGTTCCTTATTCCGTTTTAACCACTGTCCCCCTGCACTTGTCACACCGCGGGGACGTCAAGTTGGGGTTTTGTCTTATCATTTCCCGTTTTGAAAGATTTACCTTCCTCTCGTTTCAGGTCACTTGCCCCTCATGTGTCACCAGTCGAATTGTCTTCCCTGATTCCTGATTGTGTCCACCTGCTTCCCATTGCCCTCATGTGTCTTATAGTCTGCGCCTCCCTTCCGTCTGCCCAAGCCTGCCACCACAGACGCAGTGAGCCTCGCCTCGCCTCCTCACGAGTGATTTTTGGTTTACAAGTTTTCTTAAAAATGACCTTGAGTTTTTTCATAGCATTTTTGGTTTTCCTCCTAATGGAGCGATTTTGGGTTTTCTTTATGTATTCCTCTGTGAAGAGTGATTTTCTGTTTATAGATCATTTCTTTCAGATTTTGTTAATAGCTTTTTTCATAGCTGTTTATTTCATCCAGTGTGGGAGAGCCTAATAAAGACGACCTAATATGTCCACCCTTCTGCCCCTGAGTCCTTTTTAAAGTCCTGGTCTGATAGCGCTCATCAAAGCCACCTGGTTATATTCATGTTTATACATTTTCATATTTATAGACGAGATTTAAGTAATGTTATAGTTCTGCTCCTGTACATTAACTCGTATCCCTTGTTGGCCTCCACCATAGCGTAAAACCAAGGCTGACCTCGGAATGCAGTGTTCTGCTGTAGCGGTGAATAGTAGCGGCGACGCGCTCCAACAGCGCCAAACGTGTCGATGTGAATAAAACAACTCTGATCAGTCAGAAGAAGTCAGCCACGTGCACAGATGGACCCCTGGTGGTGCTCAAGCACCTGCACTTTTGCTCGGGATGAGAAAAGTGCCCCTTCTGCGCAAGCCCTTTTTTTTCTTCATTCATCATTATTTAAAATAAAAATTACTCTCTCTGCCATCAATTCCCCGGAAGTGTGTTTTGATATCTGACCGCATCGGCGTAACCACGTATTCTGTGGGGGAGTCGTGTCCCCCCCCAATATTGAAAAGGTACCAATCTGTCCCCCAATATACAGCAGAGAATATGTAAAATATATCTATGTACTTATATGGACCGTACTGCCGGCCCGCGTTCGGTCGAAGTGGGCAGAATCTGGCGCGAACCTGAAATGAGTTTGTCACCTTAGGGTAGAGTAATGGAGGATTTTAGGTTACCTAAAAAGAAGGGAAAACTGTGACAGCAGCCGAGCATTCGCATTTTTTTTCAGACCGTAAGTAACTTGATATCGAGCTAAATGTGTAAGCAAATAAAACGAGTAGCCTCATAAAAGCACGAGTCGCTGTTTTTCTGATGAAATGACGCGTGGTCACAATGCAGGCGTCACAGAGAGACAGGCAAGATGAAAGCAGTGGCCAGACAGTGGTGCAATGTTGTGCATGAATGAGAAATGGCAGACTCAGAAATGAAAGTTAACAATGTAATATTTCTAACTCTTTATTTTTGTGCAAAAGCCCCCTGAAAATTAAAAAAAGAAGTACTATTATTTTTAATTCAAGTGTTTTATTATTGTGTGTTTTACTTGTTTTTTTTCTATCAATGTAAAACACTTTACTCCGGATAAGCGTAACTATCTAAAAAGGAAGAGGAAGAGAGATGTTACAGTTGCAATTGCATGTTTAGGGAAGTCAGGAAGTAGCAAATTAGTCCGCGCAGCAGCCCGTGATGCTGTTTGTCCGTCTGGGCTCACTAACCGACATGGACGTTCCTCTCAGAGTTCTTCTCATCCTCGCTGGACTCACAGATCAGTCACAGGGTAATTCTATTTGTTTGTTAAGTCAGGCTTACTGGAAAGGTGTGTTGGAATGAGTGATTAAATACTACACTTGTTTAAATGTCACACAGGAGAGGAACACAGAATATGTCTCATTATTAAATGTTATTCTTTTATGTGAAAGAGAAATGTTATAAACGGTTGTATATTTTCTTGTTGCAGGAATTCACAGCATAAGAGTCAGTGAAGTGTCAGTGAAGGCTGGTGGTTCAATCTCAATCCCGTGTCTCTATTCCTCACAATATACAAACCATGTGAAGTACTTGTGTAAAGGATATTATTGGATCTCCTGCACTTATAAAGTTAGAACAGACAAAAACAACTCAGCAAAGTTTTCAATATCTGATGATAAAATCCAAAAAATCTTCACTGTGACTGTAAATGAACTGACAAATGACGACTTGTACTACTGGTGTGGTGTGGAGATTAATGATGGAGCAGATAACGGGTATCGTTTTCACCTGTCAGTCACCACGGGTAAGAGTCTTAAAGCACATTCAAGCACTTCAAGCCCTTTACACTCACAAAAAATTAAGCTGTCTCATTATTGTCTTTAGACAATGTTTGTTTTTGGGACTCCACCATTTTTCTATTTGATTTCCCTGAAGGTACACGCAGTCTCTACGTGGATAATCAAGAGAAAACAGCATTTCTAGGAGGTGACGTAACCATCAAATGCCACCACCAGCGTAACCCTGGAGAAATGAGGTGGTGCAGAATGGGCAGCTCCTGTGTGACTCAACGGTCTGGATCAATAGATGGAACAGAGGTCACAATCGATACAAATGTCCGCAATGTTTTCAGCGTGACTATGAGAGGACTGAAGACGGAGAGCAGCGGCTGGTATTTATGTGTCAGTGGAAACCTCCAGTTCCCTGTGCGCCTGACTGTTACTGAGCAACCTACCAAAAGTAAGTACTACAATTATAAAAGAGAAACATATCGGCTCATGAATGTTTGTGAATGTCAATGAATTTGTGATCCTTTGATTAAACATGGAAGACAGAAGGAATAAAGCTGTTAGTTTTACTTATTTGTGTCTTCTTTTTTTTTTAAGCAGAAACACCGTTACAAGAAACAATGCATACAGAGAATGTCTCCACCTTTTTACCCACAACGACACGTACAACAGTTCAGGAGGAACAAAACAGGTTAGAAGGCTTTGAATTGATGCAGTGTTTAGAGAACTGTGTCCATTTAATGGTGAATATAACAATTATAAAGGGAAATGTATTTAAATGGAATATATTGTATATATAAATTTGAAGACTGAGTGGTAATAAAACATGTTGTAGTGTGTAATACGGTTGATGAATTCTATTTCATTTCTTTGCATTTTGTGTTTTTATTCATATAGAAATGCTTCATTTGGCCGAACGGAAACCCTCATTCTTACGAGTGTGTTGATCTTCACTTTAATGGTCGCCTTGTTCTTCTGCCTCATGTTGAAAAGACACAGTAAGCAGCTGAACTTTGATCAATGCAATTGTGTCATTTTATTTTTTTCTTCATGTTTTTATATTTGCATGGACAGTAATCAGATTCTTTACTGTTTCCCATTTAGAGCAGAATAAATCAGCATCTTCAGCAATGAAGGAGGTAAGATGAATAAATGTATTTTCACCAAAAAGAAGGAACCACAGAATAAAGGCACTTCTTTGAGAGTGGAAATGTCTTTACATCACATTGATAGGGTGATCATTTAACTGCAAAAATTATACTTTGACTTTGCAGAAGTTTCGCAGAACAACACTGCATCTTAACACCTAATATGTTGATGTGATATCACAGTTAACGATCAGATAGATTAACTGAGCTGTGTCCCAACCAAGGTCATTTCTGCTTTGTGTTATTTTTAATATTTGAGCAAGGCTCATTTTTTGGTTGAAAGTGATGTTTCATTGAAACTGTGGGAAAGTACATTTACGGGACATTTATGAACGTTTAAAGGACCCTCTGAATTGTGGTTTGTTTCTTCTGCGCAGGCTGAAGAGGAAGTAACATACAGTGTCGTGAAGCCCAGGAGGAAACCTTCAAGCCAGGTAATCCATGACTGCAGAGATGATCATAAATCATATACCATTCACAATTGCAACTAAATAAAACAATGTGTAATTACTCAAAAACAGAACCTGTTTTTTCTTCTCCCTCATGAAATTCATTTCTTTTGTTCAGTACTTAATTTTGTCATTAGTCCCACTAGATTTTAGAACTTTCTTTGCAGAATGAGGCATTCTTTTCCTTCTTCCATTTTCCCATTTGTTGTTGTTTTCCCAACAGGTTGAAGCAGATGAGGAGAATGTCACATACAGCACATTGGCTTTGGACTAGTTCTGCTGAGCACACGTGACGCCTGTTTGTTCCACCTTGTCCCTACTTATAATGTTCTGCATGTATTTAGAAAGAAGCATTTCCCTGTTTGTTTGCAACGTGTTTCAGCATATGTTTGAATACACAACTCTTGGCTTTAAATGTTGTGTCATTATTCAATAGTGTTGAGATATGTTCATTATGTCCTCAGTTGTGGTGATGGTGTAGCACAGTGCTGATCTGTGTTGTGCATGAGCCACAAGGGGGCCCTCGTTTGCTTTGCTGTTTTGTTTGTCCCAAAATGTTTTTGCCGTTTTATATGAAGAAGTAATGAAGGCTGTCTGACCGTGAGACTGATGTGTCAGCGGCAGCTCGTGAAATAAATATGCCGAAGACGGCTAAAGATGGCTCATCTGAATCGTCCGCTCTTTTCCTCCGAATGCAACGTTAGCTGCAAGAATGCGAGTTACGCAACTCAACAAATAGCATTAAAGTTCACATTATTCTGACGCAGAGAGAAGAGAGAAACCCGACTCGTGAAAAAGGAAAATGATGAGAAGTTCTCTTTGATTATTTACCTAAAAGAAAAAGGTTATTCACCAGGATATGAGAAAACATTTTGGTTTTGCTTCGTTTAAAGAGCCAATCATCCATATTTCATGATCATTTCCAATAACATTATATTATATTAGGTTTGGACAGAGGGGGGAGGTTTCACTCAATCGGATGATGAAAGAAATGTATAAACTAACGTGTTGTATCATCGCCTCGTTAGTGTCTGAGAGGAAAGCTCAGTTTATTAGTGTGTGTGTTGCTCCAATAAATCTCTGTGAATTGAAGAATCCGAATGTCCAGTGTGTTCTGTGGATGTGTGTCGGTAAGAGTTCCTGGTCTGTGAGGGTGTGTGGGTCCTCAGCACGAGTCACATAGATAAACGAGTTAGAGAATATAGGCGAAAACTGTTAAAACTGTAAAGAATTAGCCAAAAACAATGATAATTATGCGCCACTATACTTTTTTCTGGTATTATTTAAATACCAATAATTTCCTATTTATTGCCTTTCATTTGTCTCACAGGGATTACTGCCAGGATTGCAACCACTAGTCAAAGCATTGAAAAACTGTTGGTAAAAACCCATTTAAGGTGTTCAAATAGTACTGTACAGTCGGTTTATGACTACGATGGCTTCTCAGCTTAGATATTTCTTAAATGTTTGAACTTGTAAACCCTCTGTTTACTTTAAAATGTGAACAATGTTACAAATGAATCTATGACACTGCTGCTTAAAAGTGTCAGCCGGGGGCAAATCAATACTTGACAATGAGTATGAGTGTGAATGCTGCTTAAGTAGAGCAGATAATGGGAAATGTGCCGGTGATTAGTCTCTGTACGGGCTTCATGGGAAATGGAGTCCGGGAAGTCAATGCTCAGGTGATGGGGCCCTCCAGTGGCCATCAGAGGGAGCTAGAGGTCTGATTCATGACAGTTGAGTCAGAGGAAGAAGCTTCTTTTGAAAAACAAACAACTCTCTTTATCAACGGAGGTTCCTTACTCCATTTTTAACCACTACCCCCCTCCACTCATCAGAGACCCCTGGTTATATTCATGTTTATACATTTTCATATTTATATAGGAGATTCAAGTGATTTTTTAACTTATTTTTTATGTAATGGAAATAACTCAGGCACCCAATAATAATTTAAAATATAAAGCAGTATTGCTCTCAAATAGTGACGCTCCTGTACATTAACTCTTATCCCTTGTTGGCCTCCACCATAGCGTAAAACCAAGGCGGACTTCCGAATGCAGTGTTCTGCTGCAGGACATAAGACCCCCGAAAAGAGTGTTCCTTCACACCCAGGTGTGATCTCTCTCTCTCTGGGTGAAACAGCCCTGAGATCTGATTGGCCAAGCCACAGACACCACAGGGGTCCCCACAGGTTTCTACTGTGAGTTCCCCCCCTCACATTTTCTTTCCGAACTGGCCTTCGCCAGCGCAAGGTTAAAGAAAGCCCCCCTGCAAACTTTCTTTTCGGACTGACCTCAGGTCAGTGTGAGGTTAAAGACAGTCTCTCCTGAATCTTTCAGAACTGACTCTGGTCAATGTGAGGTTATCATTTATTTTCTCTCTTTTATGCCTTTTCTTTGGTGATGTAACGTAAAAAATGTAGATGTGTGTCCACAATCAAATATTTAACCAAACAAATATGACCAATTGATTATAAGACGATGAATAAACGCATAAAATGAGGAAGCAACAGAGTTACAGTCAACAACAACAATACAGAAAGTGAAAGTGACATTCCGTTCTGGAGATGGATGCAAACATGACTTCTCAGTATGTTTTTCACCTAATACTTGCTAGACTGATGGGTAAGTGCTAAACTATAGTTGGAATGCAATACATCTATCTGGGCCTGATTTATAATTATTAAGATATTGTTTCTCTATTGCTGTTTAAGTCCTGTACTTTAATTGAGCACAAGACACTAATATGTATCATTAACATTGTGTTTCTATTTAAAAAACGAACTGATGGTCATTCAAAATTCATTTAATCCAACCACTGTAAAATAACAGTCGGTGTGGTTATTCATGAATTCACAGTGAAATTGTGATAGTGGGGAAAGTGTCTGTGAGTAGCAAGTGAAAACAAATTGGCTTAAATCGTATCACTGACTCCAAATTTTATCCTGCTGTGCACTGAATTCAGAGTATTGTTCAACATTCAGTAAAACTCAGTAATGTGTGTAAGAGACGTGTTGAAATAATGATTTGGCACAAACAGTTGGACACACAAGAACACTAGTTTAAATATGGACCAAAATAAATTGAACAATTCAAGAAGTGAGATTATCAGTTTAAATGTTTCGACTTACTTTACTGTCATAATCCAAAGAAAACCTTAAAGACACAGTTCACCCCAGAATCAATGATATAAAAAATGTTTTCATCCCCAATGCTCCAAACAATGGCTTCAATGTGATTCTCTACATACCGCCACAATATCTTTTATTCATATTTTCACTTCATCAGTAATCTCCAGCACATCTGGATTCATTTGAGTTGGATAACTTTGGGGTGCAATGTTGTGCATAAATGAGAAATGGCAGACTCAAAGAAATTAAAGTTGACAATGTAATAGGTCTTACTCTTTATTTTTGTGCAAAAACCACCTGAAAATTAAAAAAAGAAGTCAGTACTATTATTTTTAATTCAAGTGTTTTATTATTGTGTGTTTTACTGTTTTTTTTCTATCAATGTAAAACACTTTACTCCGGATTAGCGTAACTATCTAAAAAGGAAGAGGAAGAGAGATGTTACAGTTGCAATTGCATGTTTAGGGAAGTCAGGAAGTAGCAAATTAGTCCGCGCAGCAGCCGTGATGCTGTTTGTCCGTCTGGGCTCACTAACCGACATGGATGTTCCTCTCAGAGTTCTTCTCATCCTCGCTGGACTCACAGATCAGTCACAGGGTAATTCTATTTGTTTGTTAAGTCAGGCTTACTGGAAAGGTGTGTTGGAATGAGTAATTAAATACTACACTTGTTTAAATGACACACAGGAGAGGAACACAGAATATGTCTCATTATTAAATGTTATTCTTTTATGTGAAAGAGAAATGTTGTAAACGGTTGTATATTTTCTTGTTGCAGGAATTCACAGCATAAGAGCCAGTGAAGTGTCAGTAAAGGCTGGTGGTTCAATCTCAATCCCGTGTCTCTATTCCTCACAACATACAAACCATGTGAAGTACTTGTGTAAAGGATATTATTGGAACTACTGCACTTTTGCAGTTAGAACAGACCAAAAGAACTCAGCAAAGTTTTCAATATCTGATGATAAAATCCGACGAATCTTCACTGTGACTGTAAATGAACTGACAAATGACGACTCGTATTACTGGTGTGGTGTGGAGATTAATGATGGAGCAGATGACGGGTATCGTTTTCACCTGTCAGTCACCACGGGTAAGAGTCTTAAAGCACATTCAAGCACTTCAAGTCCTTTACACTCACAAAAAATTAAGCTGTCTCATTATTGTCTTTAGACAATGTTTGTCTTTGGGACTCCACCATTTTTCTATTTGATTTCCCTGAAGGTACAAACAGTCTCTACGTGGATAATCAAGAGAAAACAGCATTTCTAGGAGGTGACGTAACCATCAAATGCCACCATCAGCGTAACCCTGGAGAAATGAGGTGGTGCAGGATGGGCAGCTCCTGTGTGACTCAACGGTCTGGATCAATAGATGGAACTAAGGTCACCATCGATACAAATGTCCCCAATGTTTTCAGCGTGACTATGAGAGGACTGAAGACGGAGAGCAGCGGCTGGTATTTATGTGACAGTGGAAACCCCCAGTTCCCTGTGCGCCTGACTGTTACTGAGCAACCTACCACAAGTAAGTACTACAATTATAAAAGAGAAACATATCGGCTCATGAATGTTTGTGAATGTCAATGAATTTGTGATCCTTTGATTAAACATGGAAGACAGAAGGAATAAATATTTTTGTTTTACTTATTCTTGTCTTCTGGGTTTTTTTTAATTACAAGAAGCACCGTTACAAGAAACAACGCATACAAAGACTCTCTACACCTTTTTACCCACAACGACACGTACAACAGTTCAGATGGGACAAAACAGGTTAGAAGGCTTTGAATTGACTTGCAGTGTTTAGAGAACTGTGTCCATTTAATGGTGAATATAACAATTATAAAGTGAAATGTATTTAAATGGAATATATTGTATATATAAATTTGAAGACTTAGTGGTAATAAAACATGTTGTAGTGTGTAATATGGTTGATGAATTCTATTTAATTCCTTTGCATTTTGTGTTTTTATTCACATAGAAGTGCTTCATTTGGCCGAACGGAAACCCTCATTCTTACGAGCGTGTTGATCTTCACTTTAATGGTCGCCTTGTTCTTCTGGATCATCTTGAAAAGACACAGTAAGCAGCTAAACTTAGATGAATATAATTATATCATTTACATTTTTTCTTTATGTTTTTATATTTATATTGACAGTAATCAGATTCTTTACTGTTTCACATTTAGAGCAGAATAAATCAGCATCTTCAGCAATGAAGGAGGTAAGATGAATAAATGTATTTTCACCAAAAAGAAGGAACCACAGAATAAAGACACTTCTTTGAGAGTGTAAATGTCTTTACATCACATTGATAGGGTGATCATTTAAGTGCAAAAAATTATACTTTGACTTGCACAACACTGCATCTTAACACCTAATATGTTGATGTGATATCACAGTAAACAATCAGATAGATTAACTGAGCTGTGTCCCAACCAAGGTCATTTCTGCTTTATATTATTTTTCATATTTGAGCAAGGCTGATTTTTTATTGAAAGTGATGTCACATTGAAACTGTGGGAAAGTGCATTAACGGGACATTCATGAACGTTTAAAGGACCCTCTGAATTGTGGTTTGTTCCTTCTGCGCAGGCTGAAGAGGAAGTAACATACAGTGTAGTGAAGCCCAGGAGGAAACCTTCACGCCAGGTAATCCATGACTGCAGAGATGATCATAAATCATATGCCATTCACAATTGCAACTAAATAAAACAATGTGTAATTAATCAAAAACAGAACCTGTTTGTTCTTCTCCCTCATATAATTCATTTCTTTTACCCAGCGGTCATATGTTGAGCAGGATGCGGATGTGACGTATAGTACTGTGGTTTCCGTGAGGCAACAAAGGGCTCAAAATGTAAATATAAAGAAAACCGAAACTCACTGGCTGTGACGTGCTTTTGTTCAGTACTTAATTTTGTTATTGGTCACACTAGATTTTAGAACTTTCTTTGCAGAATGAGACATTCTGTTCCTTCTTCCATTTTCCCATTTGTTGTTGTTTTCCCAACAGGTTGAAGCAGATGAGGAGAATGTCACATACAGCACGTTGGCTTTGGACTAGTTCTGCTGAGCACACGTGACGCCTGTTTGTTCCACCTTGTCCCTACTTATAATGTCCTGCATGTATTTAGAAAGAAGCCTTTCCCTGTTTGTTTGCAACGTGTTTCAGCATATGTTTGAATACACAACTCTTGGCTTTAAATGTTGTGTCATTATTCAATAGTGTTGGGATATGTTCATTATGTCCTCAGTTGTGGTGATGGTGTAGCACAGTGCTGATCTGTGTTGTGCATGAGCCACAAGGGGGCCCTCGTTTGCTTTGCTGTTTTGTTTGTCCCAAAATGTTTTTGCCGTTTTATATGAAGAAGTAATGAAGGCTGTCTGACCGTGAGACTGATGTGTCAGCGGCAGCTCGTGAAATAAATATGCCGAACACGGCTAAAGATGGCTCATCTGAATCGTCCGCTCTTTTCCTCCGAATGCAACGTTAGCTGCAAGAATGCGAGTTACGCAACTCAACAAATAGCATTAAAGTTCACATTATTCTGACGCAGAGAGAAGAGAGAAACCCGACTCGTGAAAAAGGAAAATGATGAGAAGTTCTCTTTGATTATTTACCTAAAAGAAAAAGGTTATTCACCAGGATATGAGAAAACATTTTGGTTTTGCTTCGTTTAAAGAGCCAATCATCCATATTTCATGATCATTTCCAATAACATTATATTATATTAGGTTTGGACAGAGGGGGGAGGTTTCACTCAATCGGATGATGAAAGAAATGTATAAACTAACGTGTTGTATCATCGCCTCGTTAGTGTCTGAGAGGAAAGCTCAGTTTATTAGTGTGTGTGTTGCTCCAATAAATCTCTGTGAATTGAAGAATCCGAATGTCCAGTGTGTTCTGTGGATGTGGGTCAGTAAGAGTTCCTGGTCTGTGAGGGTGTGTGGGTCCTCAGCACGAGTCACATAGATAAACGAGTTAGAGAATATAGGCGAAAACTGTTAAAACTGTAAAGAATTAGCCAAAAACAATGATAATTATGCCCCACTATACTTTTTTCTGGTATTATTTAAATACCAATAATTTCCTATTTATTGCCTTTCATTTGTCTCACAGGGATTACTGCCAGGAGTGCAACCACTAGTCAAAGCATTGTAAAAACTGTTGGTAAAAACCCATTTAAGGTGTTCAAATAGTACTGTACAGTCGGTTTATGACTACGATGGCTTCTCAGCTTAGATATTTCTTAAATGTTTGAACTTGTAAACCCTCTGTTTACTTTAAAATGTGAACAATGTTACAAATGGGCGGCACGGTGGCGTGGTGGTTAGCACTGTTGCCTCACAGCAAGAAGGTCCTGGGTTCGATTCCGCCCAGTGGCCTTTCTGTGTGGAGTCTGCATGTTCTCCCTGTGTCTGCGTGGGTTCTCTCCGGGTTCTCCGGCTTCCTCCCACAGTCCAAAGACATGCTCTGGGGATCAGGTTGATTGGGGACTCTAAATTGCCCGTAGTTGTGTGAATGTGAGTGTGAATGGTTGTGTGGCCCTGCGATTGGCTGGCGACCAATCCAGGGTGTACCCTGTCTATCGCCCGAAGTTGGCTGGGATGGACTCCAGCCCCCCCGCGACCCTGTGTGCAGGATAAGCGGTTTGACAATGGACGGAAGGATGGATGGATGGACAATGTTACAAATGAATCCATGACACTGCTGCTTAAAAGTGTCAGCCGGGGGCAAATCAATACTTGACAATGAGTATGAGTGTGAATGCTGCTTAAGTAGAGCAGATAATGGGAAATGTGCCGGTGATTAGTCTCTGTACGGGCTTCATGGGAAATGGAGTCCGGGAAGTCAATGCTCAGGTGATGGGGCCCTCCAGTGGCCATCAGAGGGAGCTAAAGGTCTGATTCATGACAGTTGAGTCAGAGGAAGAAGCTTCTTTTGAAAAACAAACAACTCTCTTTATCAACGGAGGTTCCTTATTCCATTTTTAACCACTGTCCCCCTCCACTCATCAGAGACCCCTGGTTATATTCATGTTTATACATTTTCATATTTATATAGGAGATTTAAGTGATTTTTTAACTTATTTTTTATGTAATGGAAATAACTCAGGCACCCAATAATAATTGAAAATATAAAGCAGTATTGCTCTCAAATAGTGATGCTCCTGTACATTAACTCTGATCCCTTGTTGGCCTCCACCATAGCGTAAAACCAAGGCTGACTTCCGAATGCAGTGTTGTGCTGCAGGACATAAGACCCCCGAAAGGAGTGTTCCTTCACACCCAGGTGTGATCTCTCTCTGGGTATAACAGCTCTGAGATCTGATTGGCCAAGCCACAGACACCACAGGGGTCCCCACAGGTTTCTACTGTGAGTTCCCCCCCTCAAATTTTCTTTCCGAACTGGTGTTCGCCAGCGCAAGGTTAAAGACAGCCTCCCAGCAAACTTTCTTTTCGCACTGACCTCAGGTCAGTATGAGGTTAAAGACAAACTGACTCTGGTCAATGTAAGGTTATCATTTATTTTCCCTCTTTAATACCTTTTGTTTTGTGATGTAAGCTAAACAATGTAGATGTGTGTAGTCCCCACCCATATTCAAATATTTAACCAAACAAATATGACCAATTGACTAAAAGACGATGAATAAACGCATAAAATGAGGAAGCAACAGAGTTACAGTCAACGACCACAATACAGAAAGTGAAAGTGACTTTCCGTTCTGGAGATGGATGCAAGCATGACTTCTCAGTATGTTTTTCACCTAATATTTGCTGGACTGATGGGTAAGTGCTAAACTATAGTTGGAATGCAATACATCTATCTAGGCCTGATTTATAATTATTAAGATATTGTTTCTCTATTGCTGTTTAAGTCCTGTACTTTAATTGAGCACAAGACACTAATATGTATCATTAACATTGTGTTTTTATTTAAAAAACGAACTGATGGTCATTCAAAATTCATTTGATCCAACCACTGTAAAATAACAGTCGGTGTGGTTATTCATGAATTCACAGTGAAATTGTGACAGTGGGGAAAGTGTCTGTGAGTAGCAAGTGAAAACATATTGGCTTAAATCGTATCACTGACTCCAAATTTTATCAAGCAGAAAAATATACTGAAAGAGAGTGCGACATATAGTACCACTGTAACGAAAGATAGCGTGCAACAAATGGTATGGGATTCATTTCAATGAAATTTTATAACTCTTTTACAGTATATTAGTTTATTGTAAGTCAGTAATGATTCACTGTTCTCCTCTCTGTGCTTGTTGTCTTCTTAGACTAAACCAGTATAAGGAAGTTTGATCTACAGCACACGACAGATTCAGAGAATGTGAGGACATTAATCTTGGAAGCTGATGAAGTAATCCTGCTGTACACTGAATTCTGAGTATCTTTTAACATTCAGTACTACTCAGTATTGTGTGTAAGAGATGTGTTGAAATAATGATTTGTCACAAACAGTTGGACACACAAAAGCACTAGTTTGAATATGGACCAAAATAAATTGAACAATTCAGGAAGTGAGATTATCAGTTTAAATGTTTCGACTTACTTTACTGTCATGATCCAAAGCAAACCTTAAAGACACAGTTCACCCCAGAATCAATGATATGAAAAATGTTTTCATCCCCAATGATCCACACAATGGCTTCAATGTGATCCTCTACATACTGCCACGATATCTTTTATTCATATTTTCACTTCATCAGTAATCTCCAGCACATCTGGATTCATTTGAGTTGGATAACTTTGGGGTGTGGTGCAATGTTGTGCATAAATGAGAAATGGCAGAATCAAAGAAATTAAAGTTAACAATGTAATAGGTGTTACTCTTTATTTTTGTGCAAAAAAACCCTGACAATTAAAAAAAGAAGCCAGTACTATTATTTTTACATTACATTACATTACATGTCATTTAGCAGACGCTTTTATCCAAAGCGACTTACATTACACTTTAAACCCATGGCTTTTCACATTTATACCTGGGGAGCAATTAGGGGTTAGGTGTCTTGCTCAGGGACACTTCAACATGGAACATGGGGCAGCCTGGAATCGAACCACCAACCTTGTGCTTCCCAGCACACCTTCTCTAACCCCTGCGCCACGACGACCCCGTCGTTTAATTCAGACTCTGGATAAGCGTAACTATCTAAAAAGGAAGAGGAAGAGAGAGGTGTTACAGTTGCAATTGCATGTTTAGGGAAGTCAGGAAGTAGCAAATTAGTCCGCGCAGCAGCCGTGATGCTGTTTGTCCGTCTGGGCTCACTAACCGACATGGACGTTCCTCTCAGAGTTCTTCTCATCCTCGCTGGACTCACAGGTCAGTCACAGGGTAATTCTATTTGTTTGTTAAGTCAGGCTTACTGGAAAGGTGTGTTGGAATGAGTGATTAAATACTACACTTGTTTAAATGTCACACAGGAGAGGAACACAGAATATGTCTCATTATTAAATGTTATTCTTTTATGTGAAAGAGAAATGTTATAAACGGTTGTATATTTTCTTGTTGCAGGAATTCACAGCATAAGAGTCAGTGAAGTGTCAGTGAAGGCTGGTGGTTCAATCTCAATCCCGTGTCTCTATTCCTCACAATATACAAACCATGTGAAGTACTTGTGTAAAGGATATTATTGGAACTACTGCACTCATGAAGTTAAAACAAACCAAAAAAACTCAGCAAAGTTTTCAATATCTGATGATAAAATCCAAAAAATCTTCACTGTGACTGTAAATAAACTGACAAATAACGACTCGCATTACTGGTGTGCTGTGGAGATTAATGATGGAGCAGATGACAGAGATTATTTTCACCTGTCAGTCACCACGGGTAAGAGTCTTCAAGCACATTCAAGCACTTCAAGTCCTTTACACTCACAAAAAATTAAGCTGACTCATTATTGTCCTTGGACAATGGTTATTTTTGGGACTCCACCATTTATCTATTTGATTTCCCTAAAGGTACAAACAGTCTCTACGTGGATAATCAAGAGAAAACAGCATTTCTAGGAGGTGACGTAACCATCAAATGCCACCATCAGCGTAACCCTGGAGAAATGAGGTGGTGCAGGATGGGCAGCTCCTGTGTGACTCAACGGTCTGGATCAATAGATGGAACAGAGGTCACCATCGATAGAAATGTCCCCAATGTTTTCAGCGTGACTATGAGAGGACTGAAGACGGAGAGCAGCGGCTGGTATTTATGTGTCAGTGGAAACCTCCAGTTCCCTGTGCGCCTGACTGTTACTGAGCAACCTACCAAAAGTAAGTACTACAATTATAAAAGAGAAACATATCGGCTCATGAATGTTTGTGAATGTCAATGAATTTGTCGATCCTTTGATTAAACATGGAAGACAGAAGGAAAAAATATTTTTGTCTTTTTTTTTTAAATACATGAAGCACCGTTACAAAAAACAACGCGTACAGAGAATCTCTCCACCTTTTTACCCGGAACGACACCTACGACAGGTCAGGAGGAACAAAACAGGTTAGAAGGCTTTGAATTGACATGCAGTGTTTAGAGAACTGTGTCCATTTAATAGTGAATATAACAATTCTAAAGGGAAATGGATTTAAATGGAATATATAGTATATATAAATTTGAAGACTGAGTGGTAATAAAACATGTTGTAGTGTGTAATACGGTTGATGAATTATATTTAATTCCTTTGCATTTTGTGTTTTTATTCACATAGAAATGCTTCATTTGGCCGAACGGAAACCCTCATCCTTACGAGAGTTTTGATCTTCACTTTATTGTCCGCCTTTTTCTTCTGGTTCATGTTGAAAATACACAGTAAGCAGCTGAACTTTGATCAATACAATTGTGTGATTTTACTTTTTTCTTCATGTTTTTATATTTGCATTGACAGTAATCAGAATCTTTACTGTTTCACATTTAGAGCAGAATAAATCAGCATCTTCAGCAATGAAGGAGGTAAGATGAATAAATGTATTTTCACCAAAAAGACGGAACCACAGAATAAAGGCACTTCTTTGAGAGTGGAAATGTCTTTACATCACTTTGATAGGGTGATCATTTAAGTGCAAAAAATGATACAGAACAACACTGCATCTTAACACCTAATATGTTGATGTGATATCACAGTTAACGATCAGATAGATTAACTGAGCTGTGTCCCAACCATGGTCATTTCTGCTTTATTTGAGCAAGGCTGAATTTTTTTTTGAAAGTGATGTTTCATTGAAACTGTGGGAAAGTACATTTACGGGACATTTATGAACGTTTAAAGGACCCTCTGAATTGTGGTTTGTTCTTCTGCGCAGGCTGAAGAGGAAGTAACATACAGTGTCGTGAAGCCCAGGAGGAAACCTTCAAGCCAGGTAATCCATGACTGCAGAGATGATCATAAATCATATACCATTCACAATTGCAAGTAAATAAAACAATGTGTAATAAATCTATAACACAACCTGTTTGTTCTTCTCCCTCATATAATTCACTTTTTTTACCCAGCAGTCATATGTTGAGCAGGATGAGGAATTATAGTTCTGTGGTTTCCGTGAGGCAACAAAGGGTTCAAAAGGTAAATATAAAGAAAACCGAAACTCACTGACTGACATGCTTTTGTTCTGTACTTAACTTTGTTATCTATTTAGAAAGAAGCAAATTCATTATCATTAAAGCTCACATTATTCTGACAGAGAGAGCAGAGAGAAACCCGACTCGTGAAAAAGGGCAATGATGAGAAGTTGTCTTAGATTATTTAACTAAAACAAAAAGGGTTTTCGTCAGGATATGAGAAAACATTTAGGTTTTTCTTTTTTTAAAGAGCCAATCATCCATATTTCATGCTCATTTCCAATAACATTATATTATCTTAGGTTAGGACAGAGGGGGAGGTTTCACTCAACCGAAAGAAATGTTTAATCTAACGTGTTGAATCATCGCCTCGTTAGTGTCTGAGAGAAAAGCTCAGTTTATTCGAGTGTGTGTTGCTCCAATAAATGTGTTCTGTGGAAGTGTGGGTCCTCAGCACGAGTCAGATAAACCAGTTAGACAATATACAGTAAGAGAAAATAGCCAACAACAACAATGATAATTATGCCCAAAAATACTTTCTTCTTGTATTATTTAAATACCAATAATTTCTTATTTGCTGGCTTTTCATTTGTCTCACAGGGATTACTGCCAGGAGTGCAACCACTAGTCAAAGCATTGTAAAACCTGTTGATAAAAACCTATATAATGTGTTCAAACAGGACTGTACTGCCTCCTTCAGTCGGTTTATGACTACGATCGCTTCTCAGCTTACATATTTCCTAAATGTTTGAACTTGTAAACCCTCTGTTTACTTTAAAATGTGAACAATGTTACAAATGAATCCATGACACTGCTGCTAATTAACATGTTGCAGGCCGAGAACAGATGATCTTACAAAACAGATAAAGTGGGGAAATGTACTTGCTACACATGTCAGAGGAAGAAGCTTTTCTTTTTTTAAACAAACAACGATCTTGATAAACGGAGGTTCCTTATTCCGTTTTAACCACTGTCCCCCTGCACTTGTCACACCGCGGGGACGTCAAGTTGGGGTTTTGTCTGGCCATTTCCCGTTTTCAAAGATTAACCTTCCTCTCGTTTCAGGTCACTTGCCCCTCATGTGTCACCAGTCGAATTGTCTTCCCTGATTCCTGATTGTGTCCACCTGCTTCCCATTGCCCTCATGTGTCTTATAGTTTGCGCCTCCCTTCCGTCTGCCCAAGCCTGCCACCACAGACGCAGTGAGCCTCGCCTCGCCTCCTCACGAGTGATTTTTAGTTTACAAGTTTTCTTAAAAATGACCTTGAGTTTTTTCATAGCATGTTTGGTTTTCCTCCTAATGGAGCGATTTTAAGTTTTCTTTATGTATTCCTCTGTGAAGAGTGATTTTCTGTTTATAGATCATTTCTTTCAGATTTTGTTAATAGCTTTTTTCATAGCTGTTTATTTCATCCAGTGTGGGAGAGCCTAATAAAGACGACCTAATATGTCCACCCTTCTGCCCCGGAGTCCTTTTTAAAGTCCTGGTCTGACAGCGCTCATCAAAGCCACCTGGTCATATTCATGTTTATACATTTTCATATTTATAGACGAGATTGAAGTAATGTTATAGTTCTGCTCCTGTACATAACTCGTATCCCTTGTTGGCCTCCACCATAGCGTAAAACCAAGGCTGACCTCGGAATGCAGTGTTCTGCTGTAGCGGTGAATAGTAGCGGCGACGCGCTCCAACAGCGCCAAACGAGTCGATGTGAATAAAACAACTCTGATCAGTCAGAAGAAGTCAGCCACGTGCACAGATGGACCCCTAGTGGTGCTCAAGCACCCGCACTTTTGCCCTGGATGAGAAAAGTGCCCCTTCTGCTCAAGCCCTTTTTTTTCTTCATTCATCAATATTTAAAATAAAAATTACTCTCTTTGCCATCAATTCCCCGCAAGTGTGTTTTGATATCTGACCGCATCGGCGTAACCACGTATTCTGTGGGTGAGTCGTGTCCCCCCCAATATTGAAAAGGTACCAATCTGTCCCCCCAATATACAGCAGAGAATATGTAAAATATATCTATGTACTTATATGGACCGTACAGCCGGCCCGCGTTCGGTCGAAGTGGGCAGAATCTGGCGTGAACCTGAAATGAGTTTGTCACCTAGAGTAATGGAGGATTTTAGGTTGCCTAAAAAGAAGGGAAAACTGTGACAGCAGCCGAGCATTCGCAGTTTTTTTTCAGATCCTAAGAAACTTGATATCGAGCTAAATGTGTAAGCAAATAAAACGAGTAGCCTCATAAAAGCATGAGTCGCTGTTTTTCTGATGAAATGACGCGTGGTCACAATGCAGGCGTCACAGAGAGACAGGCAAGATGAAAGAAGTGGCCAGACAGTGGTGCAATGTTGTGCATGAATGAGAAATGGCAGACTCAAAGAAATGAAAGTTAACAATGTAATATTTCTAACTCTTTATTTTTGTGCAAAACCCCCCTGAAAATTAAAAAAAGAAGTCAGTACTATTATTTTTAATTCAAGTGTTTTATTATTGTGTGTTTTACTTTTTTTTTTCTATCAATGTAAAACACTTTACTCCAGATAAGCGTAACTATCTAAAAAGGAAGAGGAAGAGAGATGTTACAGTTGCAATTGCATGTTTAGGGAAGTCAGGAAGTAGCAAATTAGTCCGCGGAGCAGCCGTGATGCTGTTTGTCCGTCTGGGCTCACTAACCGACATGGATGTTCCTCTCAGAGTTCTTCTCATCCTCGCTGGACTCACAGGTCAGTCACAGGGTAATTCTATTTGTTTGTTAAGTCAGGCTTACTGGAAAGGTGTGTTGGAATGAGTAATTAAATACTACACTTGTTAAAATGGCACACGAGAGGAACACAGAATATGTCTCGTTATTAAATGTTATTCTTTTTTGTGAAAGAGAAATGTTGTAAACGGTTGTATATTTTCTTGTTGCAGGAAGTCACAGCATAAGAGTCAGTGAAGTGTCAGTGAAGGCTGGTGGTTCAATCTCAATCCCGTGTCTCTATTCCTCACAATATACAAACCATGTGAAGTACTTGTGTAAAGGATACGATTGGATCTCCTGCACTTATCAAGTTAAAACAAACCAACAAAACTCAACAAAGTTTTCAATATCTGATGATAAAATCCAAAAAATCTTCACTGTGACTGTAAATAAACTGACAAATGACGACTCGTATTACTGGTTTGCTGTGGAGATTAATGATGGAGCAGATGACAGAGATTATTTTCACCTGTCAGTCACCACGGGTAAGAGTCTTCAAGCACATTCAAGCACTTCAAGTCCTTTACACTCACAAAAAATTAAGCTGTCTCATTATTGTCTTTAGACAATGTTTATTTTTTGGACTCCACCATTTTTCTATTTGATTTCCCTGAAGGTACACGCAGTCTCTACGTGGATAATCAAGAGAAAACAGCATTTCTAGGAGGTGCCATAACCATCAAATGCCACCACCAGCGTAACCCTGGAGAAATGAGGTGGTGCAGGATGGGCAGCTCCTGCGTGACTCAACCGTCTGGATCAATAGATGGAACAGAGGTCACCATCAATACAAATGTCCCCAATGTTTTCAGCGTGACTATGAGAGGACTGAAGACGGAGAGCAGCGGCTGGTATTTATGTGACAGTGGAAACCTCCAGTTCCCTGTGCGCCTGACTGTTACTGAGCAACCTACCACAAGTAAGTACTACAATTATAAAAGAGAAACATATCGGCTGATGAATGTTTGTGAATGTCAATGAATTTGTGATCCTTTGATTAAACATGGAAGACAGAAGGAATAAATATTTTTGTTTTACTTATTCTTGTCTTCTGTTTTTTTTTTTTAAATACAAGAAGCACCGTTACAAGAAACAACGCATACAAAGACTCTCTACACCTTTTTACCCACAACGACACGTACAACAGTTCAGAAGGGACAGAACAGGTTAGAAGGCTTTGAATTGACTTGCAGTGTTTAGAGAACTGTGTCCATTTTATGGTGAATATAACAATTATAAAGTGAAATGGATTTAAATGGAATATATTGTATATATAAATTTGAAGACTGAGTGGTAATAAAACATGTTGTAGTGTGTAATACGGTTGATGAATTCTATTTAATTCCTTTGCATTTTGTGTTTTTATTCACATAGAAATGCTTCATTTGGCCGAACGGAAACTCTCATCCTTACGAGCGTGTTGATCTTCACTTTAATGGTCGCCTTGTTCTTCTGGATCATGTTGAAAAGACACAGTAAGCAGCTAAACATAGATGAATATAATTATATCATTTATATTTTTTCTTTATGTTTTTATATTTATATTGACAGTAATCAGATTCTTTACTGTTTCACATTTAGAGCAGAATAAATCAGCATCTTCAGCAATGAAGGAGGTAAGATGAATAAATGTATTTTTACCAAAAAGAAGGAACCACAGAATAAAGACACTTCTTTGAGAGTGGAAATGTCTTTACATCACATTGATAGGGTGATCATTTAAGTGCAAAAAATTATACTTTGACTTGAACAACACTGCATCTTAACACCTAATATGTTGATGTGATATCACAGCAAACGATCAGATAGTTTAACTGAGCTGTGTCCCAGCCAAGGTCATTTCTGCTTTATATTATTTTTCATATTTGAGCAAGGCTGATTTTTTGTTGAAAGTGATGTTTCATTGAAACTGTGGGAAAGTGCATTCACGGGACATTCATGAACGTTTAAAGGACCCTCTGAATTGTGGTTTGTTCCTTCTGCGCAGGCTGAAGAGGAAGTAACATACAGTGTCGTGAAGCCCAGGAGGAAACCTTCAAACCAGGTAATCCATGACTGCAGAGATGATCATAAATCATATACCATTCACAATTGCAAGTAAATAAAACAATGTGTAATTATTCAAAAACAGAACCTGTTTGTTCTTCTCCCTCATATAATTCACTCCTTTTACTCAGCGGTCATATGTTGAGCAGGATGCGGATGTGACGTATAGTACTGTGGTTTCCGTGAGGCAACAAAGGGCTCAAAATGTAAATATAAAGAAAACCGAAACTCACTGACTGTGACGTGCTTTTGTTCAGTACTTAATTTTGTTATTGGTCCCACTACATTTTAGAACTTTCTTTGCAGAATGAGACATTCTTTTCCTTCTTCCATTTTCCCATTTGTTGTTGTTTTCCCAACAGGTTGAAGCAGATGAGGAGAATGTCACTTACAGCACGTTGGCTTTGGACTAGTTCTGCTGAGCACACGTGACGCCTGTTTGTTCCACCTTGTCCCTACTTATAATGTTCTGCATGTATTTAGAAAGAAGCATTTCCCTGTTTGTTTGCAACGTGTTTCAGCATATGTTTGAATACACAACTCTTGGCTTTAAATGTTGTGTCATTATTCAGTAGTGTTGGGATATGTTCATTATGTCCTCAGTTGTGGTGATGGTGTAGCACAGTGCTGATCTGTGTTGTGCATGAGCCACAAGGGGGAACTCGTTTGCTTTGCTGTTTTGTTTGTCCCAAAATGTTTTTGCCGTTTTATATGAAGAAGTAATGAAGGCTGTCTGACCGTGAGACTGATGTGTCAGCGGCAGCTCGTGAAATAAATATGCCGAAGACGGCTAAAGATGGCTCATCTGAATCGTCCGCTCTTTTCCTCCGAATGCAACGTTAGCTGCAAGAATGCGAGTAACGCAACTCAACAAATAGCATTAAAGTTCACATTATTCTGACGCAGAGAGAAGAGAGAAACCCGACTCGTGAAAAAGGGAAATGATGAGGAGTAGAAATAGATATTTCTTAAATGTTTGAACTTGTAAACCCTCTGTTTACTTTAAAATGTGAACAATGTTACAAATGAATCCATGACACTGCTGCTTAAAAGTGTCAGCCGGGGGCAAATCAATACTTGACAATGAGTATGAGTGTGAATGCTGCTTAAGTAGAGCAGATAATGGGAAATGTGCCGGTGATTAGTCTCTGTACGGGCTTCATGGGAAATGGAGTCCGGGAAGTCAATGCTCCGGTGATGGGGCCCTCCAGTGGCCATCAGAGGGAGCTAGAGGTCTGATTCATGACAGTTGAGTCAGAGGAAGAAGCTTCTTTTGAAAAACAAACAACTCTCTTTATCAACGGAGGTTCCTTACTCCATTTTTAACCACTGCCCCCCTCCACTCATCAGAGACCCCTGGTTATATTCATGTTTATACATTTTCATATTTATATAGGAGATTTAGGTGATTTTTTAACTTATTTTTTATGTAATGGAAACAATTCAGGCACCCAATAATAATTGAAAATATAAAGCAGTATTGCTCCTGTACATTAACTCTGATCCCTTGTTGGCCTCCACCATAGTGTGGCAGCACGAGATTACATAATCGCGCCAATTTATGGCGATTTAACTACAGTGCCACCTTGTGGCAGAACAGGGACCAGCAACGCCACCCTGGGAATTTCACCCGGGGAATACTAGCTAATAAGGTCACGCAGGTAAGTATCACAAAAGATGCCAAAGACGTGGTTCAATGTACAAAAAGGGGTTATAAGTGTATTACAATAAAATACGAGGATCCATAAAACAATTTAAAACACACTCACAATCTCCACAACAAAAGGGGAATTAATGGGGGTAATAATGGTAAAAATAATAAACAAAATAATGAACGCTGAGGCTTACCAGTGGTTGTGGAGGGGACACGAGGGCAGCGGGGGAGGTTTCAAGAGAAGACACCCGTGAACATAAAAACAAAATAGTGAGCACAGCAAAACAAATGAAAACGAAAGACCACAGCAAACAAGCGAAGGGATACCACCACCGGGACACCACACCACCACCTTCGGCGTTCAGCTCTAAAAAAGAATAAACTAACAACAAAACATTAAACACGCGTACATACAACCGGGGTCACTCACCCGGTTATAAAGAAACAAAAATACAGAACAAACTAAACAATAAAGAAAACAAGATAACTCCGTCGACTCAATAAGTCACGGGGAAGGTGAAGATCGAACGTCACGCTAAAATTGTTCATCCGGGTAAAGCCGTCCGAGGAAAACGGTGTAGGCGGTCCGGCCCAAAACAATTGAGGCAACGCAGTCCAAAAAAACACATGTACGCAAATCGAGGTAGAAGGCGTATAGGCAAAACAGCAGCTAGTTGGACTGCTAACGGTGGCCAAGATCCTCCGGTACGACCGCCCAGTCCCAATTGAACAAGTCACTGACGTCGCCGTGAAGGAGACAGTTCGGGCAATCACGCCGCTCGGAAAGCTTCGTGGCGGTCGCTCTAGGTTAGGGAGCTACGCGGCTCCTACAGCCGGGGATCTATGGGGATCACATAAGATATATAAAAGGCAGCTGACGGCAGTAGCAAAATAAAGTGCGCGGAGACAGCCAGTTCACCACCTTACCTGTAGCAGCGCCGAACAACCATGCAGGGTGAATGACGCGGAAGACTGACACAGTTCCGTCACCTGGCCAAGAGGGCGATAGGAGGGAGGAGACTACTGTGGTTTGTTTATACCGGTCCCTGCGCTCTGATTGGTCCCGCGGGCATCCGGTGATTAGGAGTCTACTCCTACTGCTACAATCTGCCCCAACCCTTTTGTCCTCGCCCCGACGATAGCCAAATGGAACTCACAATACCCAAACCTAACTCCAAGGTCGGAAAAATGCCACTATAGTGTTGGAGACTGGTCTCGGGAGGTGATGGAGGTTGGGATGCTGACCAGCTGTTGATCGTGCTGTACGGCGTACGCCCACTTCACGAACTGCAGGGACTGATGGAGACCGGAAAGCAGAAGACCCAGGGGGCCTCTCTGCGGCCCTGGCAGTGGTGGTCACTAAAGGGGCTGGTAGGGGCCGACTGCGAGGTGCGATTGGAGGGGCCGCAACTGCTTGGGTGGGAACTACAGGGGGAGCTTCCGACCTCCACACAAACAGGTCGTCCCCGGGCAGCTCGTCCTCTGACAGGGGCGAGTCATCTAAAGGTGAACAAGGTGCGGCAGGGTCGTTTGGAGGGTGGGCTCTAGCCACAGCCTTCAGGAGGGCACGGTTGACCTGTCTGGCCTTTGTTGGTTCGTCCACCGGTGCAATGGTATACACCAACCCCCCCCTCTCTGGGCACCTTAAGGACTTGGTATTGCACCGGGCCGAAAAGGTCACGGAGCTTATGCCGCCCCCGTGCCGAAAAGTCCCGAAGCCACACCAGTTGGCCTACACTGAGAGGCACAGCTCTCACCTGCTGATCGTGGTTGTTTTTACGACGCTTGGCAGCAAGCCGAAGCCGCTCGGTAGCGCCTTCAAAGGCCAGCTGTAAACGGGCCTGATGTTCTTGGATCCACTCGTGGACATGTCCACCCACAGGATCCCGAACTCTGCCCAATAGGAAGTCTACCGGTAATCGGGGTTCCTGTCCGAACATCAGCAAGAATGGAGATTCGCCCGTCGACTGATGAGGAGTGGTGTTATAAGAAAAGAGGACCTGTGGCAAGCAAGAACTCCAATCCCTCTTCCGTGATACAGGCAAGGTGCGCAACAAATTGTGAAGCGTCCTATTAAATCATTCACACTGGCCATTACCAGCCGGATGGTATGGCGTGGTACGAGATTTTTCGATGCCGTAAAGGCAACAGAGCTGGTGAATAAGCGCGCTCTCAAAGTTGCGGCCCTGATCGGAATGGATGCGGGCCGGGACCCCAAACTTTGAGAACCACTCCACGACTAGAGCTTGAGCCACAGTGGGGGCTCGCTGGTCTCTGGTAGGGACGGCCAGAGTGTATTTGCTAAACATATCGGTCATGACCAGGACGTTTTCTAACCCACTCGAGGTGGGTTCTAGCACCGTATAGTCGACAGCGACAATTTCGTTTGGCCGTGAGGCCAACAGGTGCCCCATGAAACTGGACCTAATAGGTCGGGAGTCCTTGGCGACTTGGCACCGCTCACAGGTCTGGCACCACTGGGACACGTCAGAGGACATGCCTGGCCAATAGCAGCGTTGGCGTAGGAGCTCTAACGTCCGTTCTACGCCCTGGTGGCCATGCTCCTGGTGGACTTTCGTCAACACCTCTTCCCTTAGGGAAGCAGGCACTAAAACCTGCAGAACTGCTTCTGCCCCATCGGGACGGAACATCTGGCGATACCAGACCCCACTCCTCTCGACCAACCTGTCCCAATGGTGGAGTAATGCCAGAGCAGGCTGGGAAGTTCCTTGACGCTCTTCAAGGGAGGAACGCTGTCCACGTCTCCAGAACACAAGAGCCTCCTGAATAACCGGGTCAGCTTGCTGTAAAATACAGATGTCTGAAGAGGTGTGATGGGGCAGGGCCATAACGGCTGTTTGGGTCGCTTCAACCCGCGTCTCGTGAAGAGCCTGCCGCAGAGGGTGGGGGAGGGATGTTCCAGGAAACATAGTTTCCATGTCATCTGGGCCAGGGGGGTGCTGACGGGATAAAGCGTCCGCGTTGTTGTTGTTTCTGCCCGAGCGGTATTTTACCTCAAAGTCAAATGACGCCAGCTGGGCTGCCCAACGTTGTTCAGTGGCACCCAGCTTTGCAGTCGACAGATGGCTGAGCGGGTTGTTGTCGGTGAAAACCACACACTTATGGCCCAACAGATATTCCCGGAATTTCTCCGTCATGGCCCACTTGAGTGCCACAAACTCTAAGCGCATGGAGCTATAGTTCACCATATTGCGCTCAGTGGGCCTCAAGCCTCGGCTGGCATAGGCTACAGGTCTAACTTTCCCCTCTTGTTCCTGGGATAGCACAGCACCCAGGCCACCATAACTGGCATCTACTTCCAGGATGAAGGGAAGGGAAAAGTCAGCGTAAGCAAGCACTGGAGCAGTGGTAAGCTTGGCCTTCAATGTTTCAAAGCTATGACGGCATTCCTCCGTCCAATTGCCATCAATAGCTTGCTCCGCTTGCCTCCTCGACTTAGTGGCCCCCAGATGCGCCACCAGCTTGTGTAGCGGGGCTGCCAACTTAGCAAAACCCTCCACAAAACGCCGATAGTAGCTGGGAAACCCAAGGAATGACCGCAGCTCTGAGGCCGTAGTGGGGGGCTTCCAGTTGGCGACTACCTCGATCTTACTGGGATCTGTGGCCACACCCGTACTGGAGATCACATGCCCCAAATAACGCACCTCCGGCTGGAAAAAGGCACATTTGGTGAGTTTGGCCTTGAGGTTCTCCCGCTTAAGACGATCCAGCACCACTTCCAACCTCTCCACATGCTGCTGGACGGAAGAGGAGAAAACCACAATGTCATCCAGATAGAGCAACAACGATTGATTCTGTTGATCACCAAATAGCCACTGCATCAGTCGCTGGAAGGTGCCAGGGGCATTGCAAAGGCCAAAGGGCATGCGATTCCACTCGAAGAGCCCAAAGGGCGTGCAAAATGCGGTCTTGGGGCGATCTGCTTCCGCCACTGGAACCTGGTTGTACCCACTGGCCAGGTCCAAGGTCGAAAACCAGCGGGCACCTGAGAGTGCGTCCAACGATTCCTCAATGCGAGGAAGAGGAAAAGCGTCTTTCCGAGTTTTGGCATTGAGCTGCCTGTAATCGACGCACATTCTCAAAGTGCCATCCCTCTTTTTGACCAGGACAATTGGGCTGGAATAAGGGCTGCTACTCTCCCTGATCCCCTGAGCCTCAAGTAGTTGGTGAATGTGCTCCTTTACGACCTCGTACTCTGAGGGGGAATACGCCGACGGCGTTGCCTAACCGGAATGTTATTAGAGAGAGGGATGTCATGGGCGATCAGGTCGGTGCAGCCCAGGTCTCCATCATGCGCAGAAAAGACCGAATTGTATCTTCCTAATAAAGACTTCACTTAGCGTAAAACCAAGGCTGACTTCCGAATGCAGTGTTCTGCTGCGGGACATAAGACCCCCGAAAAGAGTGTTCCTTCACACCCAGGTGTGATCTCTCTCTCTGTGGGTGAAACAGCTCTGAGATCTGATTGGCCAAGCCAGAGATACCACAGTGGTCCCCCAGGTGTATACTGTGAGTTCCCCCCCTCATATTTTCTTTCCAAACTGGCCTTCGCCAGCGCAAGGTTAAAGAAAGCCCCCCTGCAAACTTTCTTTTCGGACTGACCTCAGGTCAGTGTGAGGTTAAAGACAGTCTCTCCTGAATCTTTCAGAACTGACTCTGGTCAATGTGAGGTTATCATTTATTTTCTCTCTTTTATGCCTTTTCTTTGGTGATGTAACGTAAAAAATGTAGATGTGTGTCCACAATCAAATATTTAACCAAACAAATATGACCAATTGATTATAAGACGATGAATAAACGCATAAAATGAGGAAGCAACAGAGTTAGAGTCAACAACCACAATACAGAAAGTGAAAGTGACATTCCGTTCTGGAGATGGATGCAAGCATGACTTCTCAGTATGTTTTTCACCTAATACTTGCTAGACTGATGGGTAAGTGCTAAACTATAGTTGGAATGCAATACATATATCTGGGCCCGATTTATAATTATTAAGATATTGTTGCTATATTGCTGTTTGAGTCCTGTACTTTAATTAAGAATTTCAATGAATTTATATAACTCTTTTACAGTATATAAGTTTATTGTAAGTCAGTAATGATTTACTGTTCTCCTCTCTGTGCTTGTTGTCTTCTTAGACTAAACCAGTAGAAGGAAGTGTGATCTACAGCACACGACAGATTCAGAGAATGTGAGGACATTAATCCTGGAAGCTGATGAAGTAATCCTGCTGTACACTGAAATCTGAGTATCTTTTAACATTCAGTACTACTCAGTATTGTGTGTAAGAGATGTGTTGAAATAAGGATTTGGCAAAAACAGTTGGACACACAAGAACACTAGTTTAAATATGGACCAAAATAAATTGAACAAATCAGGAAGTGAGATTATCAGTTTAAATGTTTTGACTCACAAGTCACTTTGACTTGGTGCAGCTTTTCCAAACCGATTATCTTTATATTGAATACTGTCATGATCAAAAGAAAACCTTAAAGACACTGTTCACCCCAGAATCAATGATGTAAAAAACTAAACATTTTTCTAGTTATGAATCTAGATTGTTTTGCTATGTGTTGCTAGTGTTGGTTTTATGTGCTGAAGAGATATTTGCCTTCTCTCCAGCGTAATGGAACCTGATGTCGTTCGACTTGTGGTGCTAAAATAGCCCCAAAAAAACATGCCAAAAACTCAGCAGCATTGTCTATTTCCAGAGATAAGAAGGTGTTGTGAACAGTCCCTTTTATGAGTTTTCATCCCCAATGCTCCACACAATGGCTTCAATGTGATCCTCTACATACCGCAACAATATCTTTCATTCATATTTTCACTTCATCAGTAATCTCCAGCACATCTGGATTCATTTGAGTTGGATAATTTTGGGGTGCAATGTTGGGCATAATGAAGAAATGGCAGACTCAAAGAAATTAAACTAAACAATGTAATAGGTGTTATTTTTGTGCAAATAAAAACTGAAAATTAAAAAAAGAAATCAGTACTATTATTTTGAATTCAAGTGTTTTATTATTGTGTGTTTTACTTGTTTTTTTCTATCAATGTAAAACACTTTACTCCGGATTAGCGTAACTATCTAAAAAGGAAGAGGAAGAGAGATGTTACAGTTGCAATTGCATGTTTAGGAAAATCAGGAAGTAGCAAATTAGTCCGCGCAGCAGCCGTGATGCTGTTTGTCCGTCTGGGCTCACTAACCGACATGGATGTTCCTCTCAGAGTTCTTCTCATCCTCGCTGGACTCACAGGTCAGTCACAGGGTAATTCTATTTGTTTGTTAAGTCAGGCTTACTGGAAAGGTGTGTTGGAATGAGTAATTAAATACTACACTTGTTTAAATGTCACACAGGAGAGGAACACAGAATATGTCTCATTATTAAATGTTATTCTTTTATGTGAAAGAGAAATGTTGTAAACGGTTGTATATTTTCTTGTTGCAGGAATTCACAGCATAAGAGCCAGTGAAGTGTCAGTGAAGGCTGGTGGTTCAATCTCAATCCCGTGTCTCTATTCCTCACAATATACAAACCATGTGAAGTACTTGTGTAAAGGATATTATTGGATCTCCTGCACTTATGAAGTTAGAACAGACCAAAACAACTCAGCAAAGTTTTCATTATCTGATGATAAAATCCCAAAAATCTTCACTGTGACTGTAAATGAACTGACAAATGACGACTCGTATTACTGGTGTGGTGTGGAGAATAATGATGGACCAGATAACGGGTATGGTTTTCACCTGTCAGTCACCACGGGTAAGACTCTAAAAGCACATTCAAGCACTTCATGCCCTTTAAACTCAAATAAAAATGAAGCAGTCTCATTATTGTCTTAAGACAATGTTCGTTTTTGGGACTCCACCATTTTTCTATTTGATTTCCCTGAAGGTACACGCAGTCTCTACGTGGATAATCAAGAGAAAACAGCATTTCTAGGAGGTGACGTAACCATCAAATGCCACCATCAGCGTAACCCTGGAGAAATGAGGTGGTGCAGGATGGGCAGCTCCTGTGTGACTCAACCGTCTGGATCAATAGATGGAACAGAGGTCACCATCGATACAAATGGCCCCAATGTTTTCAGCGTGACTATGAGAGGACTGAAGACGGAGAGCAGCGGCTGGTATTTATGTGTCAGTGGAAACCTCCAGTTCCCTGTGCGCCTGACTGTTACTGAGCAACCTAACACAAGTAAGTACTACAATTATAAAAGAGAAACATATCGGCTGATGAATGTTTGTGAATGTCAATGAATTTGTGATCCTTTGATTAAACATGGAAGACAGAAGGAAAAAATATTTTTGTTTTACTTCTTCTTGTCTTTTTTTAAAAAATATACAAGAAACACCGTTACATGAGAATGTCTCCACCTTTTTACCCACAACGACACCTACAACAGTTCAGATGGGACAAAACAGGTTAGAAGGCTTTGAATTGACTTGCAGTGTTTAGAGAACTGTGTCCATTTAATAGTGAATACAACAATTCTAAAGGGAATTTGATTTAAATGGAGTTTATGGAAAATGTGGTAAAAAAAAATGTTGTAGTGTGTAATACGATTGATGAATTCTATTTAATTTCTTTGCATTTTGTGTTTTTATTCACATAGAAGTGCTTCATTTGGCCGAACGGAAACCCTCATTCTTACGAGAGTTTTGATCTTCACTTTATTGTCCGCCTTGTTCTTCTGGTTCATGTTGAAAATACACAGTAAGCAGCTGAACTGTGATGAATACAATTGTGTGATTTTATTTTTTTCATCAAGTTTTTATATTTGCAGGGACAGTAATCAGATTCTTTACTGTTTCACATTTAGAGCAGAATAAATCAGCATCTTCAGCAATGAAGGAGGTAAGATGAATAAATGTATTTTCACCAAAAAGAAGAAACCACAGAATAAAGGCACTTCTTTGAGAGTGAAAATGTCTTTACATCACATTGATAGGGTGATCATTTAAGTGCAAATGATACAGAACAACACTGCATCTTAACACCTAATATGTTTATGTGATATCACAGTTAACAATCAGATAGTTTAACCGAGCTGTGTCCCAACCATGGTCATTTCTGCTTTATATTATTTTTCATTTTTGAGCAAGGCTGATTTTTTGTTGAAAGTGATGTTTCATTGAAACTGTGGGAAAGTACATTTACGGGACATTTATGAACGTTTAAAGGACCCTCTGAATTGTGGTTTGTTCCTTCTGCGCAGAATGAAGAGGAAGTAACACACAGTGTCGTGAAGCCCAGGAGGAAACCTTCAAGCCAGGTAATCCATGACTGCAGAGATGATCATAAATCATATACCATTCACAATTGCAAGTAAATAAAACAATGTGTAATAAATTAAAATCAGAACCTGTTTGTTCTTCTCCCTCATATAATTTACTTTTTTTACCCAGCAGTCATATGTTGAGCAGGATGAGGAAGTATAGTTCTGTGGTTTCCATGAGGCAACAAAGGGTTCAAAAGGTAAATATAAAGAAAACCGAAACTCACTGACTGACATGCTTTTGTTCAGTACTTAACTTTGTTATCTATTTAGAAAGAAGCAAATTCATTATAATTAAAGCTCACATTATTCTGACACAGAGAGCAGAGAGAAACCCGACTCGTGAAAAAGGTCAATGATGAGAAGTTGTCTTAGATTATTTACCTAAAACAAAAAGGGTTTTCGTCAGGATATGAGAAAACATTTAGGTTTTTCTTTTTTTAAAGAGCCAATCATCCATATTTCATGCTCATTTCCAATAACATTATATTATCTTAGGTTAGGACAGAGGGGGAGGGTTTCACTCAACCGAAAGAAATGTATAATCTAACGTGTTGTAGCATCGCCTCGTTAGTGTCTGAGAGAAAAGCTCAGTTTATTCGAGTGTGTGTTGCTCCAATATTTGTGTTCTGTGGATGTGTTGGTCCTCAGCACGAGTCAGATAGATAAACCAGTTAGACAATATACAGTAAGAGAAAATAGCCAACAACAACAATGATAATTATGCCCAAAAATACTTTCTTCTTGTATTATTTAAATACCAATAATTTCTTATTTGCTGGCTTTTCATTTGTCTCACAGGGATTACTGCCAGGAGTGCAACCACTAGTCAAAGCATTGTAAAACCTGTTGATAAAAACCTATATAATGTGTTCAAACAGGACTGTACTGCCTCCTTCAGTCGGTTTATGACTACGATCGCTTCTCAGCTTACATATTTCCTAAATGTTTGAACTTGTAAACCCTCTTTTTACTTTAAAATGTGAACAATGTTACAAATGAATCCATGACACTGCTGCTAATCAACATGTTGCAGGCCGAGAACAAATGATCTTACAAAACAGATAAAGTGGGGAAATGTACTTGCTACACATGTCAGAGGAAGAAGCTTTTTTTTTTAAAACAAACAACTATCTTGATAAACGGAGGTTCCTTATTCCGTTTTAACCACTGTCCCCCTGCACTTGTCACACCGCGGGGACGTCAAGTTGGGGTTTTGTCTTGTCATTTCCCGTTTTGAAAGATTAACCTTCCTCTCGTTTCAGGTTACTTGCCCCTCATGTGTCACCAGTCGAATTGTCTTCCCTGATTCCTGATTGTGTCCACCTGCTTCCCATTGCCCTCATGTGTCTTATAGTCTGCGCCTCCCTTCCGTCTGCCCAAGCCTGCCACCACAGACGCAGTGAGCCTCGCCTCGCCTCCTCACGAGTGATTTTTAGTTTACAAGTTTTCTTAAAAATGACCTTGAGTTTTTTCATAGCATTTTTGGTTTTCCTCCTAATGGAGCGATTTTGAGTTTTCTTTATGTATTCCTCTGTGAAGAGTGATTTTCTGTTTATAGATAATTTCTTTCAGATTTTGTTAATAGCTTTTTTCATAGCTGTTTATTTCATCCAGTGTGGGAGAGCCTAATAAAGACGACCTAATATGTTCACCCTTCTGCCCCTGAGTCCTTTTTAAAGTCCTGGTCTGACAGCGCTCATCAAAGCCACCTGGTCATATTCATGTTTATACATTTTCATATTTATAGACGAGATTTAAGTAATGTTATAGTTCTTCTCCTGTACATTAACTCGTATCCCTTGTTGGCCTCCACCATAGCGTAAAACCAAGGCTGACCTCGGAATGCAGTGTTCTGCTGTAGCGGTGAATAGTAGCGGCGACGCGCTCCAACAGCGCCAAACGAGTCGATGTGAATAAAACAACTCTGATCAGTCAGAAGAAGTCAGCCACGTGCACAGATGGACCCCTAGTGGTGCTCAAGCACCTGCCCTTTTGCCCTGGATGAGAAAAGTGCCCCTTCTGCTCGAGCCCTTTTTTTTCTTCATTCATCAATATTTAAAATAAAAATTACTCTCTCTGCCATCAATCCCCCGGAAGTGTGTTTTGATATCTGACCGCATCGGCGTAACCACGTATTCTCTGGGTGAGTCGTGTCCCCCCCCAATATTGAAAAGGTACCAATCTGTCCCCCCAATATACAGCAGAGAATATGTAAAATATATCTATGTACATATATGGACCGTACTGCCGGCCCGCGTTCGGTCAAAGTGGGCAGCATCTGGCGCGAACCTGAAATGAGTTTGTCACCTTAGGGTAGAGTAATGGAGGATTTTAGGTTACCTAAAAAGAAGGTAAAACTGTGACAGCAGCCGAGCATTCGCAGTTTTTTTTCAGACCGTAAGTAACTTGATATCGAGCTAAATGTGTAAGCAAATAAAACGAGTAGCCTCATAAAAGCACGAGTCGCTGTTTTTCTGATGAAATGACGCGTGGTCACAATGCAGGCGTCACAGAGAGACAGGCAAGATGAAAGCAGTGGCCAGACAGTGGTGCAATGTTGTGCATGAATGAGAAATGGCAGACTCAAAGAAATGAAAGTTAACAATGTAATATTTCTAACTCTTTATTTTTGTGCAAAACCCCCCTGAAAATTAAAAAAAGAAGTCAGTACTATTATTTTTAATTCAAGTGTTTTATTATTGTGTGTTTTACTTGTTTTTTTCTATCAATGTAAAACATTTTACTCCGGATAAGCGTAACTATCTAAAAAGGAAGAGGAAGAGAGATGTTACAGTTGCAATTGCATGTTTAGGGAAGTCAGGAAGTAGCAAATTAGTCCGCGCAGCAGCCGTGATGCTGTTTGTCCGTCTGGGCTCACTAACCGACATGGATGTTCCTCTCAGAGTTCTTCTCATCCTCGCTGGACTCACAGGTCAGTCACAGGGTAATTCTATTTGTTTGTTAAGTCAGGCTTACTGGAAAGGTGTGTTGGAATGAGTGATTAAATACTACACTTGTTTAAATGTCACACAGGAGAGGAACACAGAATATGTCTCATTATTAAATGTTATTCTTTTATGTGAAAGAGAAATGTTGTAAACGGTTGTATATTTTCTTGTTGCAGGAATTCACAGCATAAGAGTCAGTGAAGTGTCGGCTGGTGATTCAATCTCAATCCCGTGTCTCTATTCCTCACAATATACAAACCATGTGAAGTACTTGTGTAAAGGATATAATTGGAACTACTGCACTTATCAAGTTAAAACAAACCAAAAAATCTCAACAAAGTTTTCAATATCTGATGATAAAATCCAAAAAATCTTCACTGTGACTGTAAATAAACTGACAAATGACGACTCGTATTACTGGTGTGCTGTGGAGATTAATGATGGACCAGATGACGGGTATCGTTTTCAACTGTCAGTCACCACAGGTAAGAGTCTTAAAGCTCATTCAAGCACTTCAAGTCCTTTACACTCACAAAAAATTAAGCTGTCTCATTATTGTCTTTAGACAATGTTTGTTTTTGGGACTCCACCATTTTTCTATTTGATTTCCCTGAAGGTACACGCAGTCTCTACGTGGATAATCAAGAGAAAACAGCATTTCTAGGAGGTGACGTAACCATCAAATGCCACCATCAGAGTAACCCTGGAGAAATGAGGTGGTGCAGGATGGGCAGCTCTTGTGTGACTCAACCGTCTGGATCAATAAATGGAACAGAGGTCACAATCGATACAAATGGCCCCAATGTTTTCAGCGTGACTATGAGAGGACTGAAGACGGAGAGCAGCGGCTGGTATTTATGTGTCAGTGGAAACCTCCAGTTCCCTGTGCGCCTGACTGTTACTGAGCAACCTACCACAAGTAAGTACTACAATTATTAAAGAGAAACATATCGGCTGATGAATGTCTGTGAATGTCAATGAATTTGTGATCCTTTGATTAAACATGGAAGACAGAAGAAATAAATATTTATGTCTTTTTTTTTAAATACATGAAGCACCGTTACAAGAAACAACGCATACAGAGAATCTCTCCACCTTTTTACCCGGAACAACACCTACGACAGTTCAGAAGGGACAGAACAGGTTAGAAGGCTTTGAATTGACATGCAGTGTTTAGAGAACTGTGTCCATTTAATAGTGAATATAACAATTATAAAGGGAAATGGATTTAAATGGAGTATATGGAATATTGAAATTTGAAGACTGAGTGGTAATAAAACATGTTGTAGTGTGTAATACGATTGATGAATTCTATTTAATTTCTTTGCATTTTGTGTTTTTATTCATATAGAAGTGCTTCATTTGGCCTAACGGAAACCCTCATCCTTACGAGTGTGTTGATCTTCACTTTAATGGTCGCCTTGTGCTTCTGCCTCATGTTGAAAAGACACAGTAAGTAGCTGAACTTTGATCAATACAATTGTGTTATTTTATTTTTTTCTTTATGTTTTTATATTTGCATGGACAGTAATCAGATTCTTTACTGTTTCACATTTAGAGCAGAATAAATCAGCATCTTCAGCAATGAAGGAGGTAAGATGAATAAATGTATTTTCACCAAAAAGAAGGAACCACAGAATAAAGGCACTTCTTTGAGAGTGGAAATGTCTTTACATCACATTGATAGGGTGATCATTTAAGAGCAAAACTTTGACTTTGCAGAAGTTTAACTGAACAACACTGCATCTTAACACCTAATATGTTTATGTGATATCACAGTTAACGATCAGATAGATTAACTGAGCTGTGTCCCAACCATGGTCATTTCTGCTTTATATTATTTTTAATATTTGAGCAAGGCTGCATTTTTTGTTGAAAGTGATTTTTCATTGAAACTGTGGGAAAGTACATTTACGGGACATTTATGAACGTTTAAAGGACCCTCTGAATTGTGGTTTGTTCCTTCTGCGCAGGCTGAAGAGGAAGTAACATACAGTGTCGTGAAGCCCAGGAGGAAACCTTCAAGCCAGGTAATCCATGAGTGCAGAGATGATCTTAAATCATATACCATTCACAATTGCAACTAAATAAAACAATGTGTAATTATTCAAAAACAGAACCAGTTTGTTCTTCTCCCTCATATAATTCACTCCTTTTACTCAGCGGTCATATGTTGAGCAGGATGCGGATGTGACGTATAGTACTGTGGTTTCCATGAGGCAACAAAGGGTTCAAAGGGTAAATATTAAGAAAACCGAAACGCACTGACTGTGGCGTGCTTTTGTTCAGTACTTAATTTTGTTATTGGTCACACTAGATTTTAGAACTTTCTTTGCAGAATGAGACATTCTTTTCCTTCTTCCATTTTCCCATTTGTTGTTGTTTTCCCAACAGGTTGAAGCAGATGAGGAGAATGTCACATACAGCACATTGGCTTTGGACTAGTTCTGCTAAGCACACGTGACGCCTGTTTGTTCCACCTTGTCCCTACTTATAATGTTCTACAAGTTCTCTTTGATTGTTTAACTAAAACAAAAAGGGGGTTTTGCCAGGATATGAGAAAACATTTTAATTTTGCTTATTTTAAAGAGCCAATCCTCCATATTTTATGCTAATTTACAATAATATTATGTTACGTTAAAATGGCATGTCTGATCACAGACAGACATAATAAGACTCCAAGCATTAGGGTTGTAGAGATACGGAGACGGACGAGTCTGAGGATTGAAAGGACCACGAAGAGGTAGTGCAGGGACACTAGCAGTGGGACACGGTCTCATGAGTGTGTGTGTGTGTGTGTGTGTGTGTGTGTGTAGGCGCGAGGAGACAGAACGGGGGGTGTGAGACGGAGTCAACGGACAGCAATGAGGAAGCCAGGCCGACATCGACGTAGCACAGAGGGCGGGGGTGCTGGTGAAGGGGGGGTAGTGTGAAATTATCAAAAGGACAGTTCTGTTTGGACAGAGGGGGGAGGTTTCACTCAATCGGATGATGAAAGAAATGTATAAACTAACGTGTTGTATCATCGCCTCATTAGTGTCTGAGAGGAAAGCTCAGTTTATTAGTGTGTGTGTTGCTCCAATAAATATCTGTGAATTGAAGAATCCGAATGTCCAGTGTGTTCTGTGGATGTGTGTCGGTAAGAGTTCCTGGTCTGTGAGGGTGTGTGGGTCCTCAGCACGAGTCACATAGATAAACGAGTTAGAGAATATAGGGGAAAACAGTTAAAACTGTAAAGAATTAGCCAACAACAATGATAATTATGCCCCACTATACTTTTTTCTGGTATTATTTAAATACCAATAATTTCCTATTTGCTGCCTTTCATCTGTCTCACAGGGATTACTGCCAGGAGTGCAACCACTAGTCAAAGCATTGTAAAAACTCATCTAATGTGTTCAACTGCCTCCTTCAGTCGGTTTATGACTACGATCGCTTCTCAGCTTATATTTTTTAAATGTTTGAACTTGTAAACCCTCTGTTTACTTTAAAATGTTTGCTGTGAATTATGTTACAAATGAATCCATGCGTATGACATGAAATGTCCTCAGCCGACACTGCTGCTAATATCCATGCTGCAGGCCGAGAACAAATGAGATTACAAAATAGTAAAAGTGTGGAAATGAACTTGCTACACATGTTGGGTCAGAGGAAGAAGCTTTTTTAAAAAACAACAATTGTTTGCAGAATAAGGAACCTGTGTTGATCAAGATCGTGATCAACGGAAGTTCCTTATTCCGTTTTTTTTCTTCATCAAAGCCACCTGGTCATATTCTCAGGGCTCTCAAGTCACACATGTCGCTCTCTAGTCACGCACTCCCGCCACACATCCAATTTCTCATGCTGAAAAAAGGACTTGGCCCCAGCGACAAAAATGTCACTCCAAGGTTTCTTGAAAAGTCGAGAGCCCTGTATTCATGTTTATACATTTTCATATTTATATACGAGATCCAAGTAGTTTTATGTCTGCTGAATTGAGCGCAGTTTAGACTTAGTTGTAAGAAAGTGCCACAAGGTACCAGTTCCATTACTTGTCACATCCCCATTTATAGTTAGTTATAACAGAGACATAAGTGTACCAGTATCCCACATTGAAATTATTTAGTTGCCAACTAAATCCTGCGGCCAACTGGTGGTAGTCTTGTGGCCAACTGGTGGCACTCTTCTTCCTTTTTTTTTTTAACCGCATTACTTCCCAGAAAATAGACTTGATTCGTCACAAATCTTCTTATACTCAGACAATCGTTTATACTAAATAAGAAGGCCTAACGCCACCGTGAGGTAAATTACGTGAAACCATTTTTAGACAGGCACTCGTGCGGCCGCCGTGGGTCCTGGGCCGGTCTGTGATAGGTCCGGATCACGTTGCAGCAGAGTCTCCTTCAGCTCGCCCTTCTACCGGTGACGCCTGCTTCGGCCGTGCAGAAACATCTGATAAAGTCGCTTTAGTTAACGACTCGCCTCATCCTCTACTGGTAAGAGAGCCATATATTCGGCTCGACGCTGTTATTCAACGCCACAACAGGCGTGGGGCAACGTTAGTGTTTTGGCTTTCTTCACGCAAACCGGCATTCTACAAGCTAGCAAAGTTAGCTAACGTTAAGCTAGCCGCACTCGGCATGCTGCGGCTGACACGTGACAGGTCAAAGCAGCGGGTCAGTTACCCGCAAATTGTCACGTTGCGGAGAACGCTGTCGGTATTTTGCACAGCTACTTTATTATATCAACTTTTGACGACTTTTAAAAACTTAAGAAATCATATTGTTAACCTCTCCCCACATTGGGCCTAGTTAGCAGTAGTGAGTTAGCTGGAAGATAACTCGTCAACTACTGGTCCCACTAACGTTAATTGGCCGCGACATGCCAAGCTGCCATGCTTCCCACGCCCAGCTCTCCCTGCCCATATTCCCGTCCACGAGTCACGTTCGTGTTATAAGAGCCACGCCTGAAATAGGCACCTCGGTACGGTAAAATGGCTCCGTCCTGGCTCCGTAACCTTTCCGTTAAGCACTTGTTCTTGTCTTGCTGAGAGTACCTGTAGAACTGGTATCCTTTCGCTTCGTTGAATCTGAAGTGCGACCAACTTAATGGAAGCGAAAGTAAACAAACTAGCGCAACCGTTTTTAACTCATTAAAAAGAATAATGCTATATTAATAGGCAGTCCGATACAATGCAGGGAAACCGTCTGCGTCAAACACTCATGCTTCTTAGTAACAACATGGCAATGGTTTGCTTATGAATGCACACTAATGTAAAGCTAGCTTTCCCCACGGGTATATCATCCACACTGGTAATATACATTTTCGTGTCAATCAGGCCTCTTTTCTTCAAGAATAAAAGCTTCACCATATGCAATATCCGTCGTGAAATTAAAGATTGCATTTTGACAAGGTGGGGGGGATAAACTATACTCGCAAAGAGAACAAAATGTATTTTTTGTCTACAGATACGATGGCTGTGCCTCCTTGCTATGCTGACCTGGGCAAGTCTGCCAAGGACATCTTCAACAAAGGCTATGGTAAGGTTTCATACAGTTCAAACAAGAGGCACTGATGTAAAAATGCCAAATCTAATTGATATTCTAAGCTTTGAAATAAGTTAAACAAACCAATTGTTTTTCTTCAGGATTTGGTTTGGTGAAGCTTGATGTGAAGACAAAATCAGCCAGTGGAGTGGTAAGCTCATTTCCTTTTGCATTAAGAATAGAAACTATAATAAACTTCATAGAGACTAAAGTGATGTAATAGCAGATTACGGTTGCGTGGGCTAATGTAGATTCTTGCAGTTTAAAAGTTAATGTGATTTTTATTACACCAGCTCATTGTGCTGGTTGAAGAACACTTTACCTGAAATGTGAGTGAAATTAAGTTCAACCACAGTAACTGAAAGTCGTGAACCACAAGGTAGCACCTTGATATTGCTTGTTTTGTCTGAGCCTCATTCCCAATAGTAATCAAGGTGGAAGGGAAAACACTTGAATTTAAAAAGCCAAAATCTGCGACGGCTCGACTGGTTTTCTTGTTGAGCTACTCAAACATGAAATCAAAATGACCGTTTTCAGGTGTCAAAATTACACACACAAGTTTTATTTCTGATTTAAGATAACTTCCAATATTTTTGGGGAAGAGAGAAATTGCAATAGCCAGCCAAAGCGATTGTCTGCCGAATTGAATGATCGTTTTATGACTTCCTTCTCATCTAAAGTTTTTTCAGCCACGGTTTTTCTTTTGAATGTCTTTAAATTTGTCACTTGCAGGAATTCAAAACAACTGGTTCCTCCAACACTGATACCAGCAAAGTTGCGGGTAACTTGGAAACCAAGTACAAGAGGGCTGAATATGGCCTGACCTTCACTGAGAAGTGGAACACTGACAACACCTTGGGAACAGAAATCACTGTTGAAGATCAGGTCAGGAAAATAGTCACTCATTGTTCAGTTGTTATCTAACAAGACTGCCCAATAAGAATGCCAACATCAATTCATCTGAATGTCAAATTGTTTTCTGCCATTTCTCACAGATTGCCAAGGGACTGAAGTTGACTTTTGACACCACCTTCTCACCAAACACTGGGTAAGAGGATTGTTCTAATATGTAAATGAATAATTCATGAAAAGTTAACTCCGTATGATTTTTCCTCTGACTCCAACCGGAGTCATTTTAGCAACCTGATATACATGCTTCTGATGAGTGTGGTGGTCGTCCACGTGACCTCAGTCCCAATATGGAACACGTCCATTGTATCACGTTACTGTGATTGGTGTTTTGCACGTATGCAATGTTTACCAGTGTGCCCACCTGTTTGCTTTGTTTGAGCAGAGGAAGCGTAACTGCTTTCATACTAACTGGATGATGATTGTGGTTATGTGGCCACATCGGGATAGCAGGTATCACGGTTGCAGTCTCATGCTGGGAAGTAAACACCAGCACGTTCCTGGTTCTTAAGGTGGTTTTCATAACGCTTTTGAGGACAGACACGGGTGCATGAGATTTTTATAAGTAGTTGTTTGACAACCTAAAAAGATGGTTTCTTCCTCAAATATTACAGTATAACCTGGGTTTTCTGAAGGAAGTTTGGGAAGTTTTCTGGGCAGACTATATTTCTATCTGCAATGCAGTTACAATACCCAGTGTCTAAGCCGGGATTTCTGCCATGTCGTACATTTGTCGGCTCTTACAGTGAGCGCATTGCCACTATCTGATTTTAACAAGATTTCTATATCGCAACAAATTGCCTAAAAACATGCTGTGGCAAAGGAAACCCAACACACTTATGTATTGCTTGATGCCTAATTTGACTTGACATCAGTTAAAGTTGTTTCTCCTCAACAGCAAGAAGAGTGGCAAAGTTAAGACGGCCTACAAGCGCGAGTACGTTAACGTGGGCTGCGACGTCGACTTTGACTTCGCCGGCCCCACCATCCACGGCGCTGCCGTCGTCGGCTACGAGGGATGGCTCGCCGGTTACCAGATGAGCTTCGACACTGCCAAGTCCAAGATGACCCAGAACAACTTTGCAATTGGCTACAAGACGGGAGACTTCCAGTTGCACACCAATGTGTGAGTATTTACATAAGGTAGTGATTTCTTGAATAAGATTTTTATGGGCTTTTTTATATAATTGATAAGACTGTCTTATGAAGATGGAAGTGACGTTATCTAAAGATGTACGGGTTACTTGTGTAAGGTACATGGGGACATTCCAACATAGGAAATGCACAGCTTTAATTACCTCAAGTATTTGCAAATTTTTGAAAATTCCAGCTACTGTTAAACTGATTGAAAACCGACTAAAAGACAACCTGCCTATGTTTTAATTCCTTAAACAGAATGGGCTGTCTGTAGTTATATTTCAATCAAAAGATTTGGCTATAAACCAGACCACCATCAAGTAGTGATCCATGGTGGAAGGCCGGGTTGTTTTCTGTACCTGCGTCCTCCCAACCAGTGACGGCCAATCATCACCATACCTGCTACAATATTCATAAGTACGTGTGTGTGTGTGGGGAGAAATACATACTGATGGTAAAACCTCCAACTCCCTTTAAAATCCAGACGTTATCTTCTGTTGCATGAGATTTCACGTATGCTTTCAATTTTTGAAGCAATGACGGCGCTGAGTTTGGAGGCTCCATCTACCAGAAGGTGAGCGACCAACTGGAGACGTCAGTCAACCTGGCCTGGACCGCTGGCAGCAACAGCACACGCTTTGGTATCGCCGCCAAATACCAGCTGGACAAGGACGCCTCAGTCAGCGTGAGTAGTGTAGCAGAGGCTTCTAGAATGGGCTCATTGAAAATGTGGTTATTGATTGTCACGACTGAATTTCTTTTTTACTTCTCTCCATAGGCTAAAGTGAATAACAATAGCCTGGTTGGTGTTGGATACACCCAGACTCTTAGACCAGGTACGGTGGTCTTTCTGCAGGTTCATGGCCGGCTGAAAGATGTTTACCAAAAATGTTGCCATCGATGACTAATGCATTTTAATTTGAAGTGCATTTTTGAGCAAATGCGCTTCAAACAATTCCCTCCCCCATGTTTGAGAAGAGTAATTTTTGTATTTGCTAATGTTGGTCCTCTTCCCCGTGCAGGTGTGAAACTCACCCTGTCTGGCCTGGTCGATGGTAAGAACATCAACTCAGGAGGCCACAAGCTGGGTCTGGGCTTGGAGCTGGAAGCCTAAGCTGTCAACATGCTGCAAGGGACTCTGGAATATCAGAAAAATCTGGCCTTAAATGTCCAACTCTAACTAGCAAGGAGATGTCTTGGAGAGGTTGGTTTAAAGGCTACCACGACAAACTCAACTTGTTAAGTACCTCTTCAAGTTGGTGCTTCTGTCATTGGTATATTTTACCTTTTGTGGCTTTTTACTTTGTAGTTGCATCTATTCGGGAGACAGTTCGCGGCATATTATTTATAAAACATGTCTTTTTTTCCGTCAAGCAATGCCATAATTAAATCCAATAGAATTCTTTGCCTGTCATCAACTCTGCGCGGCTTTCTTGTGATTATTCCCAAGCGGTCTACATCATTTGACTGTTAAGTGTGGTGAGCATTATCATACCTTTCTGATTTTACCATCCTTGTCATCTGATATTCCTTTGTCGTCTTCAGTTTTAATTTCCAAACCGTGTTAAGTACACTAGTGTCTTTATACCTAAATAGTGCGGCACCCTTTCTGTTCATGTTCACATGGACAAAGTAAAGCTCTGTAACGTTTAATGCCGGCCGTCAGGGTTTGTGATCTGTTGAAGCTGCACATGTGACCTTCCCTTAAACCTGGTCTGAAAGTTTGAAGGAAACTGTACACTTGGCCGACTATGCAGAATTACTTATTTTTTTTCTTCCTCTCTGTAGCAACAGACAGCTAAAGAGTACATGAGCAATGTTCACAGTAATGCCAAATCATCGTTGTGTGGAAGAGTTGTAACTAAAAATTGCACTCCTGGGACGTGCTCTCCTGTACTGGGCAGTGACAAAGCCCTCAGGAAGTCTGGCAGGTCCTTATGTGTATGTATACATTATCAATAAAGTCTTTGAACTCCACAAATGTATCGTTTGAGCTTAATGAATTTGTTTAAACAGTTTATGACATGTTTAAAGTAAAAGTAGCCTCAAAACTAATCTTCACATTTTTCTACTTTTTGTTTTTGTTAAATGTTTTTTAGATGACGCTTTAGGTCATTAACAATGGCGCTAATTTTCGACGACACCCCTTAGCATTTGGTTTCAATGGCCTAGCAGCAACGCTGTAGTAAGTGAAGGTGTGTTTTGCCACAGAAGGGAAACTGCTGCGGGTGACTGAGTACAGTGGATCAATCAGAAGCAGTGTGTGAGCACACACTTCTCAGCAGCACACGCAATAGAATTTGAAGTCAGCGATATTCTGTGGATTGATAGTTTATTGTTCCTCGCATACCAAAGCAAATGCTAGTAACAATTTTTACATTCATGATTCAATAATCTAAGTGGTGAGTCAAAACCATTGCATCGCATTTAATGTCCAAAGGCAAAGCAGTTTGTCATCAGAAGAATCATGCTCTCCTCTTTATAACGGTCACACAAGAGAAACGACCGCCTGCTTCTTTGCTTGGCTCAGTTCATTCTTGGAATTAGCAATCAGCAGTCGTTAAGCCATTCTCTATTTTTAGCGTTGCTATCCCTGATAATTGCCTGCCAACTGACTCACGGTGGAAATGTATATCCTCCCTTTTTTTTTAAACTTTTTCTCTCACTTTTTCTCTGCCTGGCTACTGTCCACCTTCTCATTCTTCTCTTGCAAATCTGTTATTCTCTCTGAACCTTCAGACAACTCTGATACCTGAGCCTGGCTGCTCTTTGCTGTACCCAGATGCAGCGCAATGATTTCTGAATTGTCTGTTGTCTGGTCCCTTGTCTCGTTCCCGCCGTCGGGCTTCTGATCCGCCGCTTCAGGAAGACTTTTCACATCGGATTTAAAAGACGCTTCGTCTTGATTCTTATTGCTGCCCTCTTGAACGCCTTTTGCTACCGTATCCTCAGTTTGCACAGCGTCAGATTTACTGATTCCCTTTGTGTCTGCATGACTTCTTTCCTTTTCCTTCCTCTTGGATGTTGCACTTGAGGATACTTGAGCTTTTTCTGAGATCTGGTCTGTCTTTACAGACAGAGTGCTCTCTGTCTCTTCTGTGAAATCTGCCGTTTTCTCCGCTGTCTCTGAAGCACGAACCTCATCTTGCACTTGAATAGTGCCGCGCTCTGCAGTTGTGTCTGGTCCTTGAGACACTTTGGAAAAGGTCTCGTCATCAGGTTTGTTCATTTGAGCTGAGATGAAACCCTCTTTCTCTGAGTCTGCTTTTTTTAAATCGGTTTCATTCAAAGGTTTATCCTCCGCAGGTGTGACCATTGTCACTGCAGCTTCGTTCGCTTCTGCGTTCTCGGCTACTCTTTGATGTGGCTCATTTTCTTCGTGATCAAGGCTCTCACTTAATAAAACTAAATTCACTCCTGATGCTACTTGATTCTGCTCACTATCAGGCACCTGCTCACCTTCTTCCTCTCCATTGTCTTTATTATCGTTCTCTTCCTCACTGCCCCCTTTCTCTCTTTTGCTACACACCTGCTGATCTTTTTCCGCCTCTGTATCCTCTGATCCGGTCTCCTCAAATTCTGACATCTCAATTTCCCTGGTGGTCTCAGTTATGATCTCCTCCACGAACTTGTACCGGGGCTCAGCCCGCCCGGGCGGGCCTCCCGGCCGGCTGAGGCAGGGCAGGGTGTAGACGGGGGACTGGTGATAGATGTATGGAAGGGACACGTGGGTGTCCGGCATCATCGACAGCCGAGCCTCCTCACCGCAGAGAAGTTTCCTGCAAGGTAGCAGACATGGAGATTAATCTTGATTGAATAATGTGCACATGCAGAGGTGATACTGAATTTATTTTAATCGTCTTTAATGACGTATTTGAGATGGTATCTTTAAATATACAGTCTTTGAGGTATCAGCACAACGTACCTGTAGGACATTATTTCCACATCCAAAGCGATCTTCACATTCAACAGGTCGTGGTATTCCCGCAGGTAACCAGACATGTCAAATTTGCAATTGATGAGCTCATTTTCAAGGTCTTTGATTGCGTTCTGCAAAGAGGGAGGGGACAACATGAGTTATCATTGGAACACTAAACATGAAGTTATTAGATGGAGAGAGAAAAAAAGAGAAAACAGCTGAACCTGGTAATGAATCATTTCTTCCTCGTGGCGGTCCTCGAGGTCATGCAGTTGTTTCTCCAGCGCTTCCTGGGTGCCTTTAGCGCAGTCCAGTTCCACGTCCTTGGCCTGCAGGTTCCTCCTGTTCTCCTGAATCTCCCGCTGGGTCGCTTTTAACGCCGCTCTCTTGCTCTCAGCCGCTTCCGTTAATCTCGCAAACTGAAACTCTACCATCTGCTGGACGCCGGACACGGTTTGACTTTCCAGCTGTGCCCGGAGGTCCCGCAGTGCCGCAGTGACACCAGGGTCTCCCAACTCCAGCTCCTTCACGGTCACTTGCGCATTCTGGATTTGGTCAAACATCTCGCACACCTCGGCCTCGTGGTTCTCCTTCAGGAAGTGGATTTCCTCCACCAGAGCCTGCGCTTTCTTGTCCAGCTGGAGTTTCGCGCGATACGCGTCGTCGATGTCCCTCTTGAGGACCACAATGTCGCTCTCTGCCTCCGATCGGCCGCGCGCCTCCCGTTCACGTTGTCCTCGCAAGGTGAACACGTCTTCCTCCAAATGCCGGTGCTCGAGTTCGATCCGGTGCTTCTGATGGGTGATATCGCGAACCAGCTGTCTCAATCTCCCGACCTCCGCTCCGTACTCCTCCTCGAACATGGAGGCGGGCTTGGCTTTCCCTCTGATCTCCCCAATTTCTCTCTCCAGCAGGTGATTCTGGTGCTCCAGGCGGTGCACCTTCTCGATGAATCCCGCCAGGCGGTCGTTCAAGCCGCGCATCAATTCTTTGTCGTCTCGCTTCCCGGGCGTCGGGCCGGTCGCGGTCGAGTTCCTGCCCGAGGGCACGACACCGGATCCCGGACGTTTCGGCCCGCATTGTAGACCTCGAGTGGTTCCGTGACGGGAGAACTGTCTGCTCGCCATGCTGTGACGCGGGCTGTGCGGGTGAATCTGCGGTGCAGTGATGCGGTCTCTCTTTTTTAAAGCCGTCGCCATGTGCTCCGTGTGCAGGACGGAGCTGTCCGCGGTGCTGAAAAGGTGTCTCATCAGCTGGCGGTTTAATGAGCGCTAACTCTGCGTTCTGTCGCAGTCAGGTGGACTGTTGATGTCGGTCCCAAAAAATAAAACCCAATTCTCTGTGCATTATTAGTAACAATTCATAATTTCAATCCCTGGTAGAACAGAGCGTTTAACTTGACTCCATATAATATAAATCCCCGTTATCTCCGAACTAACCTGCTAGAAGATGCATCTTAATGGTATGAATCCAAAAGAGAAGCCTGAGAGTAATTGGGTTTGAATATTTATTTTTAGTGGTAGCATGTAGCCTATAGGAATAACGTTGAAAGACTTTTGAACAGAAATATTATATATTATATTATATGTGGCTTATTTCTTTACACCCGTTCTATTAAAGATTTTTTTCTTTCCTTATTTTTCTGGTAAAAACACAATCTTACCATTAACCCCACAATCTTTTATAGACTAATAGACTTGAACGATGTCCTTGTTTGTGCTCATATCTACTTTATTATATAAGACATGGAGTCTTGCCTGCCATCAGTTAGTTCTAGAACAATGTTTCACGTTTCAGCAAGTTTGACCATTTTAAACACATTAATAGAAAAAATATATATTATGTAGAAATACATTTAAGTAACTTGGCAAGCTTTATTTATGGATGAGCTATGTTTATCTGAGTAAGTGAAGCTTATTTAAAATAGGTATTTTGGCTTTGCATAACAGTATTTTGATGTTAGAGCTGTTCCAGTGTAATGGCTGCAAATAGAACCTTTTTATATAACCGCATAAGACAAATCTCATGTTTCATGTTTGGTTTCAAAGACATCCTCTGTTTTATGTTAATTTGTATCCTCGAGCCAAAGCACTTTGGCAGGTATTGATTTTGGAATGATGTCATTTTGACAGCTACATTTTTTTTCTCATTCATAGCTCTTTAATGAATGCTGTCCTGGTAAAAACATTAAACACAGAGACTAAGTTGTAAAGTTTTATAATGCTGTGAAAAAGAAATTCAGCAGAGTATGGTTGCAGTTAAAGAATACAGAAGACGATGTATTTATGTATGTTTAATACCAAAGCCAAAGCAACAACATGACATATTTAACATTTTCAACACCACAGGATTTTAGCGTTTAATGCAAATGGTCAGCCCGTCGCCCACCATGAGCATGCTCAGATCAATCCTCTGGTCGTTGTGTAGCTTCTTATTGAGGGCATCGAGAGCCTGGGAGGTGAGGTCATTGGGAGCAGGGTTCACGACCTTCCCACTCCACAGCACCTTTCCAATAGAATAACGACAGTGTCGTTTTATTATCTTCTGTCAATTCAAGCTGTACACCTGTCGCTACCACAACGTTTCAGATCCTGCTTGTGAGACGTGGATACTTACATTGTCAATTGCAATGATGCCCCCCGTTCGTATGAGCTTGAGGGACTTCTCGTAGTATCTGTCATAGTTGAACTTATCAGCATCGATGAACACAAAGTCATATGTTCCGGCTTCCCCGGCTGCTATCAGTTCATCTGATGAAACCGAGATGAAAGTCAAGATACAAAAAGGACTCTCCGTCTTTGTGAGAACTTGTGCGATTTCTCAAAGCACTTACTCAGTGTCTTCATGGCTATTTCGTGGCGTACATCTATCCTATCTTCAACTCCAGCCTAGAGAAAAGGTTCAACTGCATGAGAGATGGGCGGGGATCTTAATTTGTCTTTTAAAGACCCTGTAAGGGAAAACTAAAACAGGAATTGATTTTGCATCTCAATTTGAAACAGTTGCCTGAGCAGACACTTTTTTTTGACTCTCCAGCCGACAGGGGAGAGTAAAAAGGGTAGATGTGCACGATGTACAGAGTGCTGTCCGCCGCACAATTCTGCTCTGACGGAAGCTAAAATCAATCTTACTGCCAAATGTAAATGTTACACAAGGGCTGGGTTGGGTAATACATGTACTGAGAAAATATTTTCATGTACAAATGCAACTTGTTACAGTATTCTCTCGCAACTGTGTCATGCTGTTCAATAAGACACTTGCTCACCTCTTTAAAAAACGGCTTGGCAATGTCCACATAAGTGTCTTCTATTTCACAAGCTACAACTCTTCCGTTCTGTGACATGGCCAAAGCCATGCTCAGTGCGTTGTACCCTGTGTACATCCCTGCAGGAAAAAAAACATGTTTGATATACACTAAATAATCACTTTTCTTATATGGAAGCAAAGGAAAGACATGCAACCGAACTTCGAATTTCTTAAAACCGTACTGCTGAAATATGCACAGCGCTAAATTAAAATCAGGGAAAAAACAATGTTAATATGGTTTAAAAATGTAAAATTCCCATTCATTTTGTGTACTTTCAAAATCTTTTGAAGGTGTCTGCTTTAGACAGGTGAGACTAATTATTATTGATGGGAATGTCAATTATTGATTAACCTTGCTTAAATTCAATCGGTCATTTTTTGACATAACATGTTATTGGTTAAGATTCTGAAATTTAATATGAAAAAATCAAACTTAAAAATAAAATGAGCCAGACTTGAATCAACCACATCCGTCCTGGCAGTTATAATTGGTTTGATGGTTTTCAGTGGGAAAACATGTTTTTATGATGCAAACGTCATTTTATTTTGAAAATTCAATGCAGTATTCTGCTGCGGTGTAAGTTCACAGTATCATGACCCTTTTTGCTTAGTCTTCTTTTTGATCTCACATAATCTTACCAATTTCAATAGCTTTGGTGGCATTTATCAGTCTGATGAGATTTGCCATGAACTGGGCTTGTTCACTGGCAACCATCATTATGTTCCATCGGTCTTCAAGAGTTCTCTGAAAAGATAGAGATAAAAAATTCCCACATAATATTCTCTTATATAATGAATGGAACAGATCACTGCAATCAGCTGCGAGTTAATTTTAAATGTATTTTTTGGTAGAAAATAATAGAATTCAGATGGGACATAAAATAGAACTGAAAATGGGAAAAAATAAGTGTCAAAAAAATCCCCCAGTTCTAAAGTTGAATCCAAAGTTTAGCAACAGCTTCAAAGCCACAATCAACCAGCTGGTGCCTCGTCAGCATGTTGATAATTGTTAGCAGGCGCCTCTCTGAAAGGTTAACATTTAAAGATATTGACTATCCTGATGACGAATATTCACACAAAAAACAAGAATTACAATAAAAAAAGGATGAGACACTGGTTCATGTTGGTTCTCTTACCAGTCTGAGTTTGGTGAGAACAGGATGCTCCCTCAGTGAGTTGTTAACAACGTACTGCAGCACAGTGTTGTTCTTCCCTCCGCTGTGGCTCTTCCCTGAAAAGGCAGACGCTCCCACGCCTGAACGACCAGAAAGAGAACGCCATCAGCCATTGGGTTACCAATGCAATGGATCTCTGTCAACATGACACACAAAAAACCTCATATCCTACCTGTTAGTACTACAGCAAAACAAATCATGTTGATCCCTTTAGCCATTTTCAATCTTTTTTTCGTCTGGGTTTTGTTAAAGAAAGGTTGAGCAGCTTCAGGGTAAATCCACTGAATCTCTCAGCCAGTCATATTTGTACTGTCCTATCTGTTTGTTTTGCTTAACCTTTTTAGTGGGAGTCACAACTTATCGATTTTGTTTAGGTATATTGCGCAATTAAGAAGGTTTCGGTAAAAAGCAGCATATGTTTGTATCAAGATGTTAGTCTTAACATATTACTTTTAAAGAAAATACAATATTAAATCACTGCAAACTAAGTACCAAGAAAAAGGCATATTTTTATTTTAATGAGTTTGCTCTTTTTGACATCCTGAAGCTTGGACACTCGAAATAGATCCGTCAGATAACGTTTAGTTCAAACAAGCACTAGTTGTTCAAGTTCTGCCTGAATGAACACTCTTACTCAACGCTGTGAATCACTGCAAGTCATTTGTAAAATTGGAAAACTTTGTATTTCACAAGATGACATCCTCTGTGCAAATTCTGATGTGAGTAAAAGTATTAGAGTATCCAAGAGAGTCCAGCCACTCTTCAATGAACCTTTAGTAAACAGAACTATCCCAAATGTATATTTGACTGTTTACAGTCCAATTGCTGAGGCTATCTCAGTTAAAAGTTGTATACAATACTGCCTCTTAGTGGTGGAAAAGGGTTTATTCCTTTATTTTCTAGTTCAATCAATAGTTCCTTTACAGTATCTTTGTCCACTTGGTTTCTTTGTAATCAAATGTTCTTGCTTTATTCTGAAAGGTTGTGGCATTCAACAGCAAAGCATAGCAAGAAAAAAAGATTACAATCTGTTTCAAAAGTCATATGATCCCTGTGGCCCCAAACATCACAGTTGTTTGTGAGTGTTCAAGAAGCAAAGATGAAGTTATTTATTTTAAAAAAAGCTTAGTAATAGTGTAAAAAGTGGTGAAATTAAATTATAGTTTACTTTTTTGTACTAACTTCCCGTTTGTTAGTGCTTTCATTATTTCCGGTGTCACCTGTAAAAGTACATTAGGTCCCAAATGCAAGAAGAGGCTTTAAAGAGAGACTGGTAGCATTACGTGGCTGGTGTTGGCTAGCAGACAGATGCTGCTCTGTGACTGACATCCATTAATTAGTGCACTTATTAGTGTATTCTCTGCAGCACCGTCCATTTATGGTGCTAGCTATGCTCTCATAGACACCGCTTACGTTTGATATATATAGAAACTGGACACACAGCTGCAGAGCGAGAGGTCAACATGGACACTTTAGCCTGTCAGTGCCAGCGAAGTGAGTGCAGCAGCTATACTTTCATGCAACATCATACAATCATTTCAACAGCTTAGAAACGCAACTATCAGTGTTACACAATTTTAAAAACCCTTCTTCTTAAGAATTGGATTTTTTTTTTTATGCTTTACAAGGAAGTATGTATCAACTTTGATTTTCCAAAAGAGAGACAAACATTTTCTTTGTGCTTATCTGTAAAGTAGGTTTAATGAGCACAGTTTTTCGTAGAGCAGTGGTGGAGTGTTTCCACGAGCCACACTTCAGATCACGTCTCCTCACAACTTCAAAACGGGAACAGGGGAAGACGGTAGCCAGGGTTCTTCAAAAAGGGATTTTGGGGACGTGAGTGGGACGTGAGGTCTCTCCAAGGACCCAGAGCTTCCTCTGTCTTTCCCCTAATTAAGAATGCACCAATACAAACAAAAACAACGCCGGCAACAAAGCACCCGTCAATTAAATGAGCGGAGACACAAACTGTCTTTAAAAGATAGTGTTTAAGTCGTGACGAAGAAAAGGAAAAGGGGGGGGGGGGGGGCTTCTGTTTTCCGACCCCCCCCTCTCTCTCTCTCTCTCTCTCTCTCTCTCCCCAGCTGCTTCAGGCCTCTGCTCATGTGACGCTAATTGTTTCTGCTACTTGTGCCAAGTACCTACTCTTCCCCAGCACATTCTACAGACAGGCCCTGGTCCCTCAGCTGCTTTTTGTGTCTGTTTAAGGAATGAAAAAATGTGTGCTGCCATCTGCAACGAGCGCACCCCTGCCCCCCCTCACTCCCCCCCTCACTCCCCCCCTGGCCGTGACTGTCAGAGTGCCACAATGATACACATTCACACACACACACACACACACACACACACACTCTCGGAGGTGGAAGGAAGAAAAAAAAAGTATGTGGTAGAGAAACAAGAAAACAAAACTGACACATACAACTGCTAATATGAAAAGAAATAATTCAAGAGGTTCCTGTTTTGATGCATTTAGCGCCGGAGAGGAAAGACACTGTACTTCTTTAAAAAAACAACAACTGCAGAGAAGAAATATATATATATGTGGTTGATTTAAAACCAGGTCTGTCTGGCGTGTATTTTGTTTTCAAGCATTACCTAGAGGGAACAAAACTCCTGCTCCTAACTCCTACCCCCCCCCACAAAAATAAATATGAAAACTGTTCAAACTGCTTTCCAGTGTCCTTTGTGGTTCAGTACCTAAAGGTGACCAGCAAGTGGCAGTGTTGTTTAACCCACGTCACTTTCCACGTTCCGAGGCTGGTGGCACAAAAGAGAGGCGGGCCTTCCCACCGCTGTCTGAGGAGTCATATCACTTTCCTCGTGTTGAATTGACCCGTGACACCATCACAGACTACAGAGAGCGACACACGTTGACGCGCTTGTAACGTCACATGGCTGTTACATCCTCTGTTTGTTTGCGACGGGGAGGCTGCTTGTGATGCACTCCAATAACAGCAGTCAGTTTGGCACCGTCTCAGCGGGCAGATAAGCGCGCGTGAATATTAAGTGACGCTAATCACAACAGAGAGACCGACGTCAAAACGACTGACAGACGTTTCTCGGCATTCAATTGACATCCTCAGACGTGTCCTCTATTTGACAGCAGCGTCTCCCGACATGACAGGCCCTGTTTAAAAGCTTTCCGGAGGAGGCTCGCGCAACGTGCACAGGCACCGGCGCGCCCCATTTGAGATGCATTGACACTGATTTTGCTCAAACTGGGCCACTGTGCTGCTGTGCAAGACCCCAAACGAGTGTTTCACATGCACAAACATGCACACAAAGAGCATCAGTTTATGTAGGCCACTTGGAGGGTTGCAGAATATAGATGAGGATGTAGCACAATATTCCCGGCGAACTGCTTTTCAATCACGGAAATCTGGATTTATCGCTGCGGTATTAAACTAGAAAGTACTTTGAAGCATGAACGTTGAGGATAAGTCATTCAATTCATTATCATCCTCTCTTTGTGTATCCGAGCCGCACCGAACAAAACAGAGGATCTGCTTCAGGGAAGAAAAAAAAACGGAAATAAATGGCAGGTGTGGTTGTTTGACTTTCAAATCACCCAGGCATCTTTTCTATTAACCTGGCGTGTAAATAAATACATAATTCAATTGCCATGGAGTCACACAATACGTTGACAGTCCTCCAAAAGATCAAACAGGCTGCTTCAGGGCACGTGAGCCACACTGAAGAAATCGTGGCTATATGAAAGGTGTTGACACCGCGAGCAAAGCCACAAGAAGAGACAAACGTCGTATCCCCAGAAACAATTACCGGGTGAGCCACCGGTTCTTAAGCCAGCAGGTCTGCCAGCCACAGCGTTGTGTACACAGCAGAGCTGCTCCCACATCACCTCACAGTGGCTGTCAGTCAGTTTCACAGGAAAAAAACGCTTCGCCTTTGTAGCAGTGCTGAATACTTAGATTTAATATCATATTTACTTACATATAACTGCCCTATTTCCCTTCAACAACCTACTTTCCTCTGATGTTATGTGCGCTGAAAGTCACATTTATATTGCGCCCCCCCTACAGAGACAAACTCAATCTTTGCCTCAGTTTGTGTCCAGAGTCACTTCATCCTCCCTTCCTATTAGTCTCACTCTCATCTGACTGCCGTGTCCCATTGTGATCGCACTCGAGGCGCTAATGGTAATTTTATAACCCCGACCAATTTGCCGTGGCAATCAGACTCGCTTAATTGAGTTGATTAGGAGCCCTCAGTCTGAGATGACCCCCTCCGGACTTGGGAAAAGGGAACAGAGGGAGACGCAGGGTGCGGTTGCAGGGATGGCCGCTTTCTTCAGGCATCCCGTCAGTGTGCAGGAGACACATGGGATATGACTGTTTGGAGGCATAAGCAGACACATGTGTGTGTGTGTGTGTGTGTGTGTGTGAGACAATTCTCCATGTGTGGGTTGTTGGGAGATGGCGTGTTGGGAGAACAGGCCTTCAGGGGGGTGTAAGGGAGCAGTGGGACAGTGGCGCTGACGGGGGAAGGGGGGCTTTGAAATCACAACACTGCCTCCGTAATAGACCCGGACGCAGACCACATCTGAAGTTAATCCAATCAGGGAGAAGCACGGCGCTCCCAAACGCTCAAGACACACAAACATAAGGTCAAGAGCAGCTTGTATTAGCGCGATGATGTCAGGGAGAAGTGGTGCAGTTAATTGACTTTCGCCATGTTTAAGGGGCCGAGAGAGACGGAGAGACGGAGGAAAGCGGAAGGTTTGCAGCAGGTCCATGAACGAAAGATGTAAATTGAAGGCTCAATGAGTGGGTGCGTTATTAGCTGCTTGAAATCCACATTTCAGAGTGATTTTGACCATTAATCTCCGGCTCAGAGCAGTCGGTTACTCTTTTGCTTGTGACCCTTTAATGCAAACCAATCCCGTTTACATCCAGGCCTCATGAATAATACTGTGCATCAAACCCTAATACTCTAATTGCTACAGTTTTGTCTATCTTTTTTTTTTTTAAGTGTCAAACGTTGGGTCAGATTTGCTGTGTACTTATTCTTTGGTAATGTAGTTCTAGGTCTAAATAGAACTTTAGAATGAAATAGAAGTTAAGTTTTCTGGTACAGCTGCTTGTGTTCAAACCTTTGACCTTTGAGAAGTGTAGCTCTTTTTGTTAAATTAAAGATACCTTTGTATACCTCATACTATAGCATCATTTTGGTATTATACCGAAAACCAAAACATAGGCATCCCCATTTAGTCAAATATTAGAAAAGAAGAGAATTATGTAAAAGAGATGTTTTTCTTGTAAATCCCAGAAAGTCCCCCTGTGATG